CGCTGGATCTTTGCACCGCAGACTCCACACTTGCCTTCCAAACAGCTCGAAACGAGGCTTTTCTTTCTGCTTTGAGTTAATGATGTCACCAAGTACACGCTATATAGCCATCATTGAAAAGGCGTATATAAAGAGCCTTTAGCTCGCAACTCAATTGAAGGCTGAGAAGATATTTTTTCATTAAACAAGCCGACAACAGTTCCTCATTCAAGTCTATAACTACTCCAGTCTAATATCTACCGCAATCAATCTCATATCCTCATCATCATGGCATCAACCGAGCCCAAGTTTGTAGGATGGGTTGCCCACGACAAGGAATCCGCCAACGGCAGCATGGTCTGGGAGGAATTCGAAGTGAAGCCCTGGGAGGAGACAGACATTGACATCAAGATCTCACACTGCGGTATCTGCGGCACAGACTTGCACAAGCTCCGATCCGGTTGGGTAAGCAGTTTGTTTGAGTTGACAAGTTTTCTAAAAAAACTCTAAAAACTGACACACATCTTCACAGGGCCCGACAGCATATCCCATTGTAGTCGGCCACGAGATTGTCGGCACAGCCGTGCGAGTTGGCAAGGAGGCAGCAGCTCAGACCGGAATCAAGGTCGGCGACCGAGTTGGCGTCGGTGCCCAGAGCGATTCTTGCCAGTGCCGCAAGCCCCCTCAGACCAAGGAGGATCACTCAGACTGCGAGGCCTGCGCAACTGGTAATGAGGTCTACTGCCCGAGATCAGTCAACACTTATGGTGCTCAGTTCCTGACGCCTGCTGGGGGCAAGAGCATGGGCGGCTATGCTCTGTACCACCGAGGCCCGGCCAAGTTTACCTTCAAGATCCCCGACGGCCTTGCCAGCGAGCATGCCGCGCCGATGATGTGCGCCGGCGTGACGACCTTCTCGCCATTGGCGCACTTTGGTAACCAGAGCGAGCCCCTGGAGAGGCGGCTCAAGGGCTTGTCAGTCGGCGTCGTTGGAGTTGGTGGCCTGGGCCACTTTGGCATTCTCTTCGCAAAGGCCATGGGCGCAGACCGAGTTGTGGCCATCTCTCGCCGCGCAGATAAGCGCCAGGACGCCCTGGACCTCGGCGCAGACGAATACATTGCCACTGCCGAAGACGCAGACTGGGCCAAGAAGAACGCGCGAACGCTCAACCTCATCATCTGCTCCGTCTCGAGCTCCAACATGCCCCTGACCGAGTACATCAGCCTGCTCAAGCGCGACAGCGTCTTCTGCCAGCTCGGCCTGCCCGACGACGGCCAGTTCAAGATTGGCGCGGGCATCATCTGCGCGGGACGACGATCACTGACCGGAAGCTTCATGGGCTCGCCGCATGAGATCAAGGAGATGCTCCAGTTTGCTGCGGATAAGGGCATTAAGCCGTGGGTTGAGAAGTTGCCCATGAGCGAGGCGAACAAGGCCATTGTTGATATGGATCAAGGAAAGGCAAAGTACAGATATTGCTTGGTTAACGACCAGTAAGTGGAGTTTTATGTATGGGGGTTGTTATGATGGCATTGGGTGTTATTAGCATGTAGTATGAAAACGGCTTTGGCTAACAAGGCTCTTGTGATATAAAATTGCAGAATAAAAAGCATTTATGAGAAATTGTAGCATTTCGACTATAACTACATGATCCGGACGGTGGAAGCGAGAGACTCAATCATACATGATAATTTTTTTTTACCAGCACCTCAATTCACGAAAGAGATATGCCCGACAATGCTTTTCGAAGATGGTATAATCCTTCAAATTGCCGAGGATGTCTTTAGACATGACCATGCCCCCCATCGGCCCTAAAATCTACTAGGCATGCAGCATCGTCACTAGGATCGCCGCAGGGGCAATATTTCCTCTACAATTGCAGCCATCGTTAGCCATAGAATAAGAAGAAATGGAATGGAATTTACATACGCCGCTACATCCAAGACACGGCCAAGCATCAGCCCGGCACACAGGCAACAGCAAGCAAGACTGTCTACATTTGTAGTGCAACCACCTCGGGCGAATACTGCCCCATGGTCGACAGTTGGAGAGGCGGTGGCAAGGGCCGCACAAAAGGCGATGAGGCTGATGTATCCTTTCATGGTTATGGGTTTGATGATCTTATTTCTTTTGAGATGAGCTGAAGAATCAGGGCTCAGTTTCTGAGACGGCTTCCCCTCTTAAATGTATCTACAAACATTTGCTGTTGGGTCCGTACACGCCGTTTTCAGCTTGAGTTTTGATCACACTGATCGCATGTTGGCTATAAAGCATCAACCAACATTATACAATTTCCATATTTCCACAGACTATCCCATTGTTATCTCGGGAAGCCAACTGGAATGATATATTTTGATACAACGCCAACAATGGCCTCGTGACCCTGTATGAGAAATTTATAGCATTTCGCCTATGGCTACACCAATCTAGACTATAGAAGCGAGAGACGGAATCACACTGCTCATTTATTAACAGCATTCTATTTCACAAATGCCCAACAATACCATTTGAAGAAGATATAATTTTATAAAACGCGAAAACCCTAATTGGCTCTTAGACATTCTTTTATGCCGCATTACCCCCATCTGCCATAAATGATACTGGGCAATAACCATTGTGGAGGTCGCCGTAGGGGCAAAATGTTGACTATTATGATAGTTATCGTTAACCAAAGACAGAAGAAGAAGAAAGGGGCATGCCCTCTAAAATGTGCAATTACTTACCGTTTTGCATCCAATACATGGCCAAGCACCAGCCTGTGCACAGAGGCAACAGCACTCGGTGTCATCGTCAGAGCAGCCGCCTCGCTCATTTAGGGCGATGGTTGCCCTATGATTTGCCGGAAAGCCGCTATTTTTCCCGGCGGGTGAGGCGGTAGTAAGGCCTACACACAAAGCGATGAGACTGATGTACCATTTCATGGCTATGATTTTGAAGAGGGAAAGTGTGATGTAGTGTTTAGTGGTTATCAAGATGAGCTGTAATTGAGATGAGTTGGAGAAGAATTAACTTCCAGTCTGTAAGATTGGCTCTTTATATAGATATTGACATGCTATTGCCTAGAGCCTTGATCTTACTTATTCCACAATCTCTTTGTTCAATACTTGAGATTAATTAGAATCGCTTCATTGAGGGGTTTACAGTGTATTTGTACATGAAGTTTTCAGCCTAGGCTTCGATCACGCCAACCGCATGCAAAGGTGCTACGCGATGAGAACAAAGCATTAAGCCCATACTACTCCCATACTTGAAAGACCACTTCATTATCATTTGTTATCATTTCGAAGCGCCAACTAGGGTGTCTTCTTTCTTACAACGCTAATAATGTCCTTGTCACCGCTGGTTCAGCCTTGCATCATGCTTACTGCAACACAAGGTCTTTGGAAATGAAGATTAAGTTATATCTAAAGTTGTGTTTATAATCAGTTATTGACAGCTGGTATATCTATACAAATCGTATGATAACTCTGTGATAATTACCCTTCCATAACCCTCGGCACCTGGTTCAGCGTACTGCAAAGCAGCTACTCCTTCCTTTCGATTATATTAGGGCAGATATACTTACACACATACAATTCTGACGAGAGACCGAACACCCAATTATATCTATCGCTCTTCTGTTTACAGCACAAAGAGATAAGTTTGCAGTGATGCTGTTTGAACGAGATATAATCCTATAAAGCATCGAAGTCGTCATTATTACCAGGGCAATTTGTTGTATGGGAGATAGTTTCCATTCTCGTCAAATCCCGTCATGAAAACAATGTCCTCAATACGACCACCTTTGGTGCAGAAATGTGCCTATAGTAGCCATTGTTAGCCAAAAGAAGAGGAAGAAGAGGTGCACGCCCTCTGTTTTGTAGAGATACTTGCCTTGTTTATGCATCCGACACACGGCCAACTTCCAGCAACGGCACACTGGCAGCAACAGTCGTCGTCGTTGTTTGGACAGTGGCCTGGACCACGACGTGCGAGCGTTGCTCCTTGATCAACTTCGATGGCTTTCTCGGGAGTTGGAGAGGCGGTGGCAATAGCCGCGCAAAGGGCGATGAGACTAATAGACCACTTCATGATTATGGATTAAAAGAGGAAATTGGTGATTTATCAATTTATTTGTTATTGAGATGAGTGAGTTATTGACACGATTTGTGTATCGAGATGTGTTGTTTGTTATAATGAGTTGGTGAAGAATCTGTTTCCAGTTTCTGGAATGAGCTCTATTATATATTCAGAGATACCTTCGCATTCTTGCCTCAAGCCTTAATTTTTGCCTATTCGCAATGTCTATTTTCATCAGAGGTAGCTTAAGAGAATCGATTCTTTGAAAACTTTACATGTATGCTGTGTTCACACATGGCGATCTCGGAATGGGCTTTGATCTCGCTAATCGCGTGCAGAAGCTCTATGCGATGACTCCTCTCATGCTCAAAAATACCATGTTGTTATGATTCGTGAGAGCTAATTGGGAGTCTTTTCTTGGGCTGAACACTACATGTAATATTGTCCTCGTGACCACTGAGATTGTCTTTCACCTTTGGCGTTACTGCCAATGCTTCAACCTCATATCGTCCTCGTGATATCTCAGGCTCTCCGAACAATTAAAAGACCAAATTATGTCTATAATTCGTCCCACAATAATTAGATATGACTATTTGTCTACACAATGCTCATGCCAACTCCAAGATAATGGCCCTTCCAGAGCCCCAGCATCTGGTCCAATCATACAGCGTACTGTACATCAGTCTCTCCTAAACAACATTTGAACATTGAACACTCCCCGCATGCCCTCGTTGCAAATCTCCACCTCTTTTCACAAAGAAAATATACATCAAATCATGCAACCTGAAAAAAGAAAAACGGTATTAGAAGAAGAGAAAAAAAAACCTCCCAGTCATTTCATAGGCAGTCTTCTGGAAACGCCCCAAAACCCATACAAACTCCGCAGTCGAAGAACAGCCGCACGCACGCAAATAAACACCAGAATTGCATCTACGCCTCCTCACTCGAATCCAACCGGCTTCTAGTGCATCCGCTCGGCGGGAAGCTCAACCGCAGGAGCTTCATGCGCCGGCAACTCTTCCGGAGGCGCATCAGCCGGCGCTTTGGGCTTGTTCATCAGGCCGCTGTACTGCGCCAGTTCCGTCGGAGGCGCTGCGTCTTGTCCATGAAGCTCCGTCGGCGTGCTTGACGAGACGACCTTGTTGTACTGCTTCCGCTTCCTCCACCAGAAGAAAAGTCCGGCCAGCAGACCGAGCACAACGACCGGTATAACAACGCCAATTGCTGCCTTGGCACCCGTTGATAACCCGCCAGACGATGAATCGCCAGAGTCCAAGCCGCTCGTGTTTTTTGCTCCTGCCGACTTTGTTCCCGTCGTCGCTGCGGTTGATCTCGTTGTCGTCCGTGTCATGGTCGTCGACTCCGTGTCGGACTTCTGATAAACCATCCTGATGCCATAGGCGTTCAAGCCCCCCGGAGCAGTGAAATCGCCCGCCACCGTGCTCGTGATGCCATTGTCGCTCACCGTCATGGACAGCGTCGTGCCGTCTCCATCCGGCGCAATCCACGTACAAAACAACGTTGACCAGACACTCTCCAGCGTGCTCGTCGTGACGCAGGATAGCGATATGTCGGAGGCCAAAGTCGGACAGCAGGTTACGGTCGTGATCCTCGAAGCGCCAATGTTATCGTGGCAGGCCGAGTAGTAGCCCGAGGGACATGCCAGGCCCGGCGAGAAGTACGAGGTCTGGTCGGTGTGGAAGCCTTTTGGGAGGCATGATTTGGGAAAGTCTATTCCGCTGAGGAAGCCGGATACAAAGACGCCGTCGCAGTCGGAAGGGCGGGAGAAGGTTGTGGTGAGAGGGTTGAAAGGGAACGAGGTGACGACGGGGACGGCTGGCTTGGTTAAGGCGTGAGTCGCCGAAGAGTCTATGGCCGCCATTATGGAGGACGGATCAAACGTAGCGTATAATGAGGAAAAGAAGAGTGATTAAAAGAATCTGGAATGCTTCAACGTAGCAAAACGTGCTCTCTCTATAGCAATGGTCCGATTGATGCTGGCATGAAGAGGGTTCGCTCGCTAACCACCAAAACGCAAACTCGGCCAACTACAAGCACATGACAGACAAATGGGCAGAAGAGAATGATTCAAATCACAGGGGAAAATGAAGAAAAAGAAGAAAAGAAGCAGAAAAATTGAGCGAAAAAGGCGAGACCCGACTTGAGCTGTGTGTTACGTGAAACACCGGCAAGGCCCAAAATCCACGTCCCGCCTCGCAAGACAACAATCCGCTTATTCCAAATCCCCCTGCTCCCATTCTTCTGACTCCCCAATTTCCCTATTCTTCAAAAGGGAACTACATCAGCCTGCATACTCGCAAATCCCAACAGCAGCACCAGCCACTCACAAGCGGCCCCAAGCCTGGGACAGGCCTCTTACTTTTGGAGCGAAGGATCGTCCTCCATGCCCGCGCCAGAGAAAATCCACGCCAAGAGAAGGCCACGGCACTTCAGCTATTGCAGCACGAGCCAATGAGAGAAGAAATACAGGTGGAGTCTTGTGGTTTATCTTCCTTGGGGGGGGGGGGGGGGGCCCCAGTCTACCTATTCTATTTGAGCTCTGGTACGGGCTGAATGGAACGAGGTTTGGGCTTCTGTTGCACGGAGGATTTTAGGGAGATTCTGTAAAAGGCAAAAGAGGTAGGAATGGTTGCCAAGATGTGACAACGGGCAGTAAGCAGGGTTTTGGTACCCGGTTGATTCGCTTTTTAGTCGTTCTTAATTTCGGCTTCCCATACATGTCCTAACCTTCAAAACTGCTCTCTCTTCTATTGCTGCTTCTTCTTCATGTACTTAGCAGGTTGTCTTGTCTTCAAGTTAGCCTCAATGCTTAGTTACAAGAAGTCTATTAATAAATCGGGTTGCTTGAGACGTGTTTTTCTTAGCTAGTTTCGCAACTAAACTACCAAAAGTAGCGACACCGCCATAACGAACCGGTGGGAGAAAAAGAGGTGAAGAACGTGACGATGATGATGATGGACCCCCTGCAGCAAGACAGACACGCCATGGAGCGCTACGCAGCTGCAGGGGGGTGTTTTCGAAACCGTGTATTGGCTGTTTCGCGTGGCTGATGGCAGTGAGATTTGGATCCGTGGGATCGGCAAATACACGCCACCAAGGCAACTTTTAGTGCTACCGACAAGACGGAAAAGTAAGGCTCGTATAGCTCGGGCTGTGGTTAGTTGTCGAGGCGTTGTTAAGCGCTCAAGGTGGCGGTGATGCATTAGCAGGAACTTAATTAGGAGATGCTAAACACGCTGGAAGCGGCTATTAGCAGCAAATTAGATACTTGGCATTATCGAAATGCTCAACAATATTCGAGAAATTGAATGGCTTTTTTCCTTTTGAATTCATTCATAACTACCTACTATTCTTCTCAACCGATTGGGGCATCCCACTTTGTGCCGTCGGGAATAGTCAAGACGATCAGCAATAGGTACCTACTATCACACAGAGCCTGAATTTAGCGATCCCAGGACCCAGCAGCAGCCCCTCCTCGCTATAATCCACAGGGCGGGCATGTCAATGCATAGCCGCCGCAACCAGAACTAGCACCCTGTTAGCCTCTTTTCATCCTCACAACCAACCGCGATATATCTCAACGACACAAAGAAAATCCCTAAAATAGGACTGGCCTATCACCGCCCAGTCACGCATCTCCATATTCTGCGCTTCTGCTAGCTATCGGAGCTCTCACAGAACTGCAGTCGACAAAGTGGAGGGAGAGCAGCTAACGAGGTGAAGCTGTTTCAAGCAGACATGGATCGCTCACAGCCAGCCTCGTCCAATTTGATGGGTAAGTCCGTGTACCTGGGGTTACTCTGTGCTATTTTCCATTTGACGATGGCTTCAATTTGCTTGTGTGTCTGCTGCATGCCATAGATGTCATAAACATGTGCCACAAAGCTATGCCTGGCATCATAATCACAGCCCAGTCCTTCATCTCATTTTGCATTGGCTATTCTCAAATCTTTATAGCACTTGAAACCTCAATCTCACTCTAACAAAACACAAACACAGACACCCACAACCGTCTCATCGCCGACATCCTCACCCGCTACCGCACCCTCATGATGCTCGCCACCGTCCAGGCCGAGCAGGACCGCAACAACGCCAATCCCGAAGCCATGGCCGTCACCGGCATATCCATCAAGATGGAATTTGATGGCTTAGTAAGTTGGTTATAAAGGCATTATCAAACAGCACAGCTCACACCCTCTCTACTAGTACACCTCCATCAAAGAATTCCTCACCCTTTCCCGCAAAATCAAAGAACTCTGGATCTTCGGCCCCCTCGGCACCGAAGACCAAGGCCGAAAGGCCAAAGAGGAGCAGCTCGACCAAGACGTCAACCGAGTGTCTGAACTTCTTAACCAGATGGAAGCCTCCAAGATGAAGAACCTGGCCGAGAGCAGCGGCGGCACGTGGCAGCCGCTTGTGAGGGAGGAAATGGAGAGTATGATTGCGGCGGCTGCTTCTGCCGCGGCTGCTACATCTACGGTACCTGCTGCTGCGGCTGGTCGATGATATTATTCACGTGCTTTGCTTATTTTTATGGATTACCGGCGTTGGGTTATGCACAGAAGGTTAGGTACGGGTCATGGAACATGTAGACAAAAGATACCATCAGACATCGTCGAAACTACAATATCAACTACAATATCACTCCCAGGTAAAAAGGGGGGAAGCGAGAAACATATGCCTCGAAAAAGAAACAAAACGCCTGTTGAGAGCCCACCAGGACAAAGGATGAGCACCCTGTCTATAGACCCACGTCTAAATATGTACAGCATCAGCGTCGGCCCCTTAGCCCTCTCCGCCTTCGGGATCCTCCTCATCCTCGTCACCAAGCTGCTTATCCACATCCTGCAGCTTTCCATTCGACTTGTCAATCGTAGCAACCTTCATGCCTCCAGCGGTGAGCCACAGGAAGTGATTTGACCTAAATTGATCAATCTGCGAAAAGAAGCTGTGGAATCTGTTGCAAGGGGTCGTTAGTTAGATGTCATCAAACAGATTGCCAAAATAAAAAAAAACTTACGAATTCTCCTTTTCCTCGACTCCAAAGATACGCGAGTAAATCTGCTCCTGCTTAAACGCCTCCAGCTTCTCCTCATACCTGTCAAAGTCGATATCCTCTCGCCCCAGCGTCTCCGTCGCTCGCTTGTTGTAGTTTTCAAACACGGGCCGCTCCAGCAGCAGACCCAGGCCGGGCATCTTGGGAATAGCCATCTTCTGCGGGCCATAGCTCTCCTTGATGCGGTCCAGCGTCGTGCCGCAGCGCACCATCAGCGTCACCAAACCGACCATCTTTCGGATCTGGTGCATCATGAAGCTCTGTCCGTGGACCTTGAGCGACAGCCATTCCGTATCGCCGATGATGATGGGCTTGGGGTTGACGACAAATGATCGAATGTGTCGCTTTGATGACGGGTCGCCGTACGATTTCTGCACGGTGTAGTTGTGGAAGTTGTTGGTTCCGACGTACTGGTCGAGGGCTTCTTGCAGTCTCTGGATGCGCTCGGGAGACACGCGATAGGCACGCTTAGCGCCAATGTAGGCTGCCTTGATGTCGCGCAGGGCAAAGTCCACGGGGCCCAACTCGCGGCGCTTGGGCTGAACCGTCTCGAGGACGACTGCAGGTCTTTGGGGAGTAGCATTGTCTCCTTCGGTCGCGGTGGCGGGTTCGGCGTTTTCTGATGACGGCTGCTCCTTGTCAACCATGACATAGTCTCCATCTTCCTTTGCCGTCTCCTCTTGAGCAGCAGCTGGCTGTGTGCTCTCAGCCTTTTTAGACTCTGCATTTTCTTCGGAAGCTTGTTCGGAATGTAGGCTCTCCAAAACGGCAGCCCTAGTCTCTTCATCCAGTCCGGCCAAAATAGGTTTAATATCCTTCTCCTCCACTTCCGACCACCAATCCTTGACATCAGCCAGTCTTGCGTTGGTCTCTTCCTCAGCGCCGTACTCCTTGTTGACTTCAACCAACTTCTTTCCGAGGAAGCTCTGAGGGTGCGGGGGCAGAAGACAGTAGCTCGGCATGAGATACTCGTACCATCTCGAATCACAGTACTGATAGCAGTTGTAGCTGTTGTTGGTTCTCTGGATACCCCAGACTCGGATCTGCGGCGGGAGAGCCTCGTTGATCTTGTCGACAATGTCTTCGTCCTCGATAATCAGCTTCAAGCTGATGACGTTGCCCGCAGCATGCACGCCCTTGTCCGTTCGCGCGCAACGAGCCAAGCTCGACTTGCGAGGATCGTCGGCGTTGGCCTTTGAAATGGCGCCGGCCTTGATGAAGGCCTGGAACAGATCGCGCTCAATCGTCTCCTCGTCACCGTTGAGCTGCATGCCCTTGTATCCGGTGCCGGCATAGCCAATCATGACGGCAACCTTGCGCTTCGGCCGACGGCTCTCCGCCTCAATCTCCTCTTTGGAGAAGGGGTTCGCCTTGGGGTTGTCGATGTCGCTAATCTTGCGGCGCTTGAATTCTTTATACTCGTCATGGCGCTTCCGCTTGTCTACCTTGGTGCGGCTACAGTCTGATCAGCGCCGTTGGTAAATGTGGCAAGCCCTCCAAAAAAAAAACCCCCCAATTGTTTTAACTGGGAAAATCAACACCTACCTCCATTCTCCTCGGCCTCTGTCGCCCTTCTTTCCCTTCTTGCCGCGGTTGTTCCCAGAGCCCTGGTGACCCTCGCCTGATGCCATTGGCTTGTCTTGGTTGCGCTCATTTGAGGGCGCGCTAGCAGCGACAGGAGCCTCGTCGCTGGCCGCCATGTTTGCATTGAGGATATTGAAGAATCCCAAGTGGCTGCTTGTCTGGCGGAGGAAAAGTCGATATGCGATACGGCGGGTTAAACTTTTGGGGACCAGGAAAGAATTTCCTCCACAAGGCGGTAATAGTGGGGTATCGATAAGTACCCACCACGGCTACCAAGGTACGAATCTAGGCACGAGTGGCAATCTCAACAGAATGCCTGAACGCAATACCCTGTAAATGCCAGGAACAAGCAGGATTGTGCAGTGTAATGCTTTGATGAGTAGAAAAATCTACCTAGAAAGGATTTTGGCATCCAGCCAGAATCAGCTGAAATTGGACATTGTGGCTCTTCTTGTTAGTAGACACTGTAAATTCATTGCCATGAATCCATCTAGTCTCATCGTCACATGTTTCTGTTGGAGTAATTCCATCCCCAACATGGCTGCGTCAACGTAGCATCAGCAGAACAGCAAATATGGAATAGCTAAATGATCTAGATATCTAGAGAGTATTAGATAAAGAATGGCTTGGATTATATTACCCGACTTGAGACTGTATCCACGTGGCCGGTTGCCTCTCAGCGCCATCTCCACAAGCTAAACATTTGAACAAGGCCAGCGCCGAGGGCGACGTCATACAGTCGAAACGATCCAAACCCACCAATTTCTAGCCTCGCAGCCTGCTTCCTCCTCCAGACAGTATTTCAGCACTCCCTTTCCCAACAACTCTCCATGTTTGCGCCAAGCTGATAACCGTCTTTACGAGCATCCGTGCCTCTCACTCATTTACCATCAAATGGCTTCGCAACGCCGCGCAGCCAAGACTGCTTCATACCCTCCATCTCCATCCACCAACATCGACATGGCCGCCGCGACAACCCAGACCGAGTCCTCAAGGCGCAACCCGCCATTCCTGCCGACGCCCCTCGAGAGGCTTTTCCTCGCCGTCTTCCCCGCCATCCTCGTCTTCGGCACAATCTTCTCCCTCGTTTCGCCCGACATTCGAGCCTCTCCGTACGACCACGTGTCGCAGTCCCACCACCAAGACCCGAGCCTCTCGCCGAGCTACTTTGCCCGAAAGAACAATGTTTTCAACGTGATCTTCGTGAAGCGAGGGTGGGGATGGACCACCTTTGCATTCGTCTTTTCCCTCCTTGTGCAGCCAACCCGCAATACGCCTCCCGCCGTCGTTCTGATGAGGAGGATCCGCGCAGGCATCCGCTGGGCAGCCGCCACGGGCTGGTGGTTTTTCGTCACACAGTGGTTCTTCGGCCCCCCCATCATCGATCGTAGCTTCCGCTGGACCGGCGGCAAATGCGAGCTGGCGCAGCGAGAAGTTGTCATGGGCGAGGGCGACGTGAAGCAGCTGTTGACAGCCGTGGCTTGCAAAGCAGCAGGAGGCAAGTGGAAGGGAGGCCACGATATCTCGGGTCATGTATTTCTCATGGTACTGGGCACTGCATTTTTAATGCAAGAAGTTGGCTGGCCGGCCCTCAGAGTCTGCGGGTGGCTCGCTGAAGAGAGATGCGTTGTCATGCCTGACGGAGCGGTTAAGAGCGCGAGCGTCGAGTCGGAGACGGGAGCTGGAGAGGGAGCAGGAGAGCCCGTGTTCAACATTGCTGGAAAGACAGCCATAGGCGTTATGGCGTTGAACTTGTGGATGCTGCTCATGACGGCCACATACTTCCATACATGGTTTGAAAAGGTAAACCTCGCGATTTCCTCTGGTGTATGTGTTACGAAAGGCTAACGTTTTTGTCACAGCTTACTGGACTTTTGACTGCCATGATTGGTGTATATGCCATATATTACGTCCCTAGATTTGTGCCGGCTGTGCGGGGGGTGATTGGTTTGCCTGGGATATAGATGGACGAGCATGAGCATGAGCATGAGCATGAGCATTGGATTAGATATTGTATGAGTGTGGGACGAAGGATTCTGTATAATGCCTGCATGAGAAGAGATGATAGTCTTATTGAATAATTAATGATACCCTTCTCCTGGAAATTACTTCATGAGTCTCTATTAATCACCAGATTGGAGTCATTGGCGTAACGTGAAATAGAGCGTGGGATTCTGCAATGGAGGGGCATCTCAGCGATCCCCGCACAGACCTCAAACTTGCTTCTCTACTAAACACTGACGTCTTACATACCACTTAGACATCCCGTCATCATACTCTGGTTATACTATCGCTGCCAAGTTATAAACAAAATCGCTCTTTTTTACTAAGGCTTTGATATTCTCATTCACAATGTCACGACTCAAAGCTCCTTCAAATCTCCATGAACTCGTCAGAGCCACCTTCTCCAAGGCCGTCTCTGCAAATGAGCTTCGTTATTTTCCCACTCAAGTCACCGTCTTGCATGTCAACTCAATCCCAGTAAGTGAAATAGAACCTGAGAGGAACTCATTAATGGCTAACGAAACTTCCACAGTTCCAACTGCGATTCTCCCCATCACTAGCAAATAAACCCAAAGGCCCTCCGCCAGATCCGTCCAAGCCGCCCTTTGACCCCTTTGCTCATCCTCCCGCCTCTCTCTTCATCACTGATCTAGGCCCATCCCATTTCCTCGTCTTGAACAAATTTGCCGTTGTGCCAGAGCACTTTATTCTCGCAACGAAGGAGAACAAGCCGCAGACTCATGTGCTCGAGGAATCTGATCTGGAAGCCGCGCTTGCTTGTATCGAGGCTTACGAGCAGGCAAGACAATCTTCAAGCAATCTTGATGGAGCAGCTGCTTCTTCAAGAGAGAAAGGATCGCAGGACGATGGCCTATTCGCCTTTTTCAATGGGGGGCCTCATTCCGGAGCGAGCCAGGCCCATAGGCATCTTCAGCTGCTGCCAGTCTCCCGGATGAAAGAAGGCTTGGAAGATCAATCTGCTTGGGACGTGCTCGCACAGCGCGCCGATGCGCTGCAGAAAACCCCCTTTGTTGCGTTTTCCGAACCCATCAACACGAAGATGTCCTCTGTGGATCTTTTTGCCGCCTATTCCCGTGTCTACACAAAGGCCTGCCAAGCAGCCGCCCAAGACGCGGGATCCAAGGCAGAAGCGGTTCCTACAACGGGCGAAGCTCTCATCAGCTACAACATGGCCATGACAAAGGACACATTAGTCATCTGCCCTCGCAAACAAGAAGGCTGTCCAATCAAAAGCAGCGACGGGCGCGAGACTGTTGGATCGCTTGCTTTGAATGGCACAGTCTTAGCTGGCACGGCACTGGTGAAAAATGAAGCAGAGTGGGAGGCGTTAAAGAAGAGTCCAGACCAGCTCCTCGCGGTGCTACGCAGCATCGGAATCTCAAGAGGCGAGACGGAAGATGGTCAGAATAAGTTGTAGATGATGCAGCGGTTTATGATGAAAGATTTGTATTTAGAACAAAGAGCTCTGACAGAGAAGAAGAAAAAGAAAAAGATAGGAAAAGACATATAGAAAAAGACTAATCCTGTGCATTGTATTCAGAGAAATTCCGAATGTCCACGGTTGACGGGTATATGCCCCAATGCGCCTTTAGCGAATGCAAAATACCATGACAAAAGAAAAAAGAAAACGAAAGAAAACGAAGAGCCCCTTGTCCATCCTGTCCAGACTCCGATGGTGTGGGTGACTGTTCTCGTTCTGAGTAAATGCAGTCCATAGAAAATAAAGAAAATAAGAGAAAGGAAAGAATCGGCCAAGAACACAAGAAGAAAGCCACCAATGCGTACAAAGGAAAAAGGTGCGTGTGTCTGTCCGAGAATGCGAGAGCGTATTATCCGCCATGTGTAGCATCTTTCTCAGTCTTCAGCCGCAATTGCAGCATTATTTCTCTTCCACATAGTTGCCTTCGTCGGCCTCGTCGTCATCCTCGACTTTGGGCTCATCTTCGGCCTCAGCCTCGACGCCCTCCATCTCATCATCGACAGCCTCTTTCTCATCCTCGTCATAGGTTTCCCAGCTCTGGTCAAACACGTTGTCTCCGAGCTGTCCAGTGCTTTCGAGGTACAGCCATCTCCGATGGCAGGTATTGTATCCAAAGGAGTACGTGCCGCCATGGTTCTTGATGTACTGCGACACCATCATCCATGATATTCCCGCCTTGTCAGGGTGCTGACTGCCGGCGTACACTTGGACTGCTTCCTTCAAAAGTTGGATCTGGCGGAAACAGAAAAGATCAGACCATGAGGAAAATTTCAGGGGAAAAGAAAATTGAAAACTTACGTCTATTGGTGTCCATTGAGGATCTCGGACTCGGTCCTCCTTTGATTTCGTCAGGGTTCGAAAGCGGCCACGAAGGGTCGACTCTGCCTCCTTGAAGCGGCCATGTATTTTGATCATTTTGTACGAAACCTCAAGACCTCTTGCTTCAACGAGGAACCTGTCCTTGGTCTCTCGATCGGCGCCATGCGGCAACCAATCGACTTCCACAACAGGCTTGGGACCCTTGCGGCGTCTACCGGCGAGTCTTCGCCGCCTCGCTTTCTCTACTTCGGCCTTGGTGCCCGCCAGGACAAATGGGATTTTAGGATGAGAGCGAGCAGGTCTCTTCTTGCCGGGGAGTTGCTGCTGTTGTTCTTGGGTGTTGGGGGAAATCGCCGTGAGAGGCTGTGCGGGAGAAGCCAGCTGAGAGTTTGCTTCGGCGTTCTCATCGAGAGCTACTGCATCATTCGGATTGGTGCCATCAAGGGCCTGGGAATGTCCAAAAAGATCGCCTTCGTATGTGGCCGCCCATCGTGCATCCAAAAGAGAATCTTGAACAAGATGATCTGGCATCACAGGATACTCGAACGGCAGAGGCTCATAAGATCCGTCGCCATGGGTGTACAAGAGCTCTCCGGCTTGGCCTTGGATGCCTCGTACGTCCATGATTGCAGCTTGGTCAAGGCTTGGGGATACCCACGACTGCATTGCCCGATATTCATCAAGTTGCTGGTGGTACTGCTGCTGGGTGTAATCGTTGCCAAAATAATTCGGCTCCTGTATTCCTCGTGAGTCAATCGATACAACATCTACCAGACATAAAGGTAAGCCTGAGGTCAAGCAAGGGACAAACATACGACAAAGTAGGACGAGGACAGGTAGTGCTGATTCTCCGCCATTGCTGATATGGGAAATGGATATAATTGCTGGTCGGAGCCCGGGCAATCCCATGGGAGATATGGCTGGTTCAAGGGGTCATATACAACTAGTTGCTGCTGTTGTTCTTGCTGCTCCTGTTGCGTCTGCTGTTGATGGTATGGCGTCTGATTGAGAAACTCTTCCAAAGAGCCAAAGGCTGCTATGTCTGGGCCGCCGATACTTATGGCAGATAAATGACCGGCCTCCTGGCTACACGGGAGACTTCCCTCCAAAGCAGAAGAACCGCCCGCTTGACCTATTCCCCTGTCAGTATGTCTTGTTTCAAATCATCAAACGCAGCCCCAGCTCGACTAACCGTTGCCATCCGTCTTAAGGCTATTCATCTCTCTCTCTCGCTGCTTCCGAGTGGCAGATCTTGTTTGAGGCATAACGGCGATGTAGGCTTCCGTATGAAACGAGCGGGATGAACAAGAAACAGGGGCAAGGATCAACGATGCTCGCTGGCTCAAACAAGGTTGAATGGATAGATGGATCGAGACGGATATCTGCTTCAGTGGGAAATGATGAAATGATTCTGAGCGGGAACCAGGGGAAGGAACGCGTGTGTCTAAAGTGATCTCAACGATCAAAAGAAAATAGAAAGATGCCAATATAGGGCTTATCAAAGATGAAGACGAGATTAATGGTGATGCAAGAATGGCTATCCAGATGGTGGCAACGTCAAGGGGTGTCAAGGTTCTGAATCTGAAAATGAGGCTGAAGAAGAAAGAGAGAAGGAGGGAGCAGCTGTTTTTTTCTCGAGGAGAAATTCTGCTTTTCTACGTTGCTGCATTGAATGGTTTGCCAGCTGGCAGCTGCAATTCGAATAATAATATGATGGCTTCTGAAGTTTTGTCACTTGGCAGCTAGCTTGGCTGCAGATGGCCTTGATGAGCTTCCCCTTTGCACATTATTCTACTACTACTAGCAATTCGCCCTCTTGGATGAATAATTGAGTTGAAACAATATAAACTGTTAAACCTTTCATTATATCAGTTCAGCTTGCTCATGTTTGCAGTGGCCTTCTTCCAATCTCTCCTTGACTTCTTATAAAGCGCCGGGTGTGTTTTGATAGCAGGCAGCTTCACAGCCAATGCTCCCCGTGCAGGGAATACAACGATGGAAGAAATACGACAAAGAGCTACAATCTTTCATTCGAAAAATTGAGACGGAGCGGGTAAAGCTCCAAAATGTCTGTGAAAAGTTACTGGATTGTAGATATCAATAAGGCCTCCATTTCGGATTGATAGACCCGCAATAGTCCAAACATAGCTTTGTTCATTTCTTCCAGCCGTCATGTTTCAAAGACCCCGAGACGTTTTAGTGTAATAGATTCATGATCCATGCTTTGAAGGCTTCCCGCCGGCTGTGAGGGATGAGCCGGTAGATCGACGGAGCAGGGGTAAACGAAGTAATTATAGATGCCAATCAGCACGCTGTAGGATGACAACAGATGGCAGCTATAGGGAGGCTACGAGAAACACGATAGAACGAAATGACAGCGGATGTTTGCATGGCTGCCTCATTTAAAACAACATCACAGGCCGCTTTCCCGCATGGCTGCTCTTCTAACGGCCCCAATGCCGTGGCACAGAAAACTTGCTGTCAGGGTTGGCACCAGCCGTTGAGTCCCAGCAGCTATTGAACCGGGGCATTGGAATCTATCCGTTCATTTACTCACTTCATCCAATTTAATTTGGTAGGAGCCCGGATGGCATGCATGTCTTTTGTCATTGCTAAGTTACACAAGATGGTATTTGTGCAAGCGGCAGCTGAGAAATTGAAGCTTGTTGGCGGGCTGTGTCACATGTGTATCTAAAAAAAGAGTATATAGCACCGGCCGGAGGAATTATGAGAAAATTGTTATAATTGATGTTCTTTCTAAAGGAATAATTAACTGTTTGCTGCATTGTGATACCGTTGTAGGATTACAAAGGGAGCGCTTATTCGGAGATGTAGTATCGGACGTGGTAATATAGATCCCAAGTACATCGTTTGCCGTCCTCCAGAAAATCCCTAACAGCAGATTCTACGTCGATCTACCAATGCTGCGTGAACCATCCAGGCAAAGGATGTCCAGCATTGATGCGAGGGCTTCTCGCGCAGGCAAAAGGTCAAAGGCCATCTTGAACAAATCATGAAGTCTAAGCCTTCTTTCATCTCGTCATAGAGAACGAGTCTTTTGTTCTTTCTTTCACCATATCATTCAAAAGCATTACAAAATGAAGCTGACTTTGATCTAATTTTTGGAACGGCTGGTCTCACTTCCACCTCCATGGCCGTACACCGAGCAGTCAAGCTGATACTTGTCACACAACACATCCACGTTGGAAACACAGACTTTCAACAAAAACGCAAGGCCATAAACTGACAAAGCATTAAAAGACAAGGTATTACCGGCTCTGTCATTTTGCGGCGGCAAATTTGCTGTCTCTCTGTCGCGTGTTAGTAGAATATAATGTGCACGAATGCTATAAGCAGAACATATTGTTCTGGGTACCTACATGTAGCTTGCACTTTATTTTATACTACTAGAACTAGTGATTTTTAATGGCTCGTTATGGGTATGCAGCTCTAGGTCTACATGGAACAAATATTTGTCATTTGAAATCAAGGTTTCTAGAAAGGCGATTATTTCATGACACGTCTCTGGCCAAATGGCGTGTTTGCTCAGTACATATATACGGTGCAGCCCTCAATTGGGCGTGACTGACAAGCGGTGTAGAGACTCTGTCACAAGCCATTATCGGGATATCGATTGTCGGTCTCGTGAGAAATGAACATCATCATCAATATAGAGGTACTGTATTCAGGAAAAGATAGCTTCAATGTAAGTTGAGATACGTATTCTTTATCCTCGCTCTTCTTCCCATATATTGATCATGTGATCTGCGCTCATCGTGTCTTATGAACCTCAATCGTTTTGTCTCAGAAGCAGAACAGTACGCCGAATGGTGTTGCTCTGTACCTATTCACTACTATCTGTCGATAACCTTGAACGAGGCCTGCCACTTTGTACTGCAGTGGGTGATAGACTTAGATGACCACGGAATTGAACACTTCCTTCTTTAATAGCTGTTGATATCAATTAAAAGGGGAACAAGGGCCGTGATACACATGTGAAGATTGCGACTTCCATCGGGTGGAAAATTCCAAGACTCAAGACTTAACATTGGGGCTTTCAGGAGGACGATGCATTCTTTACTGATGGTAATTACCCTGTTAGTTCCTTATTTCAATCTCATTGTAACAATAGACTATAATGAGAAGCAAATATAAATGAGAAGAAGCTTCACCCAGCCTGCGGCACAAAGTTCTCTTCATGAAAATGCCTACTTCGTTCCATTTCCCAATCATATTAGTCAACACCGCATTCAGCCAACGCAGAAACAAAACGAGAAGAAGGAAAGCGCCAGTCTTTTTATGTCCCATCTATGAGCTATCTGCCTATTTCTTCGTATGCCCAATGACAATCTCATGCTATAAAAAAGCCCCCAAGCAGGTATCCAAATCGTATACAACGCATTCTTCCATAGTCATCATTCTGAAAAAGGAGGTTTTCGCAGGCAAGATTACGATCAACGTACTCTCTTCGAGCGCGCCTCCCCTTCTACCATGAATACCCTGCAAAGGACTAAATGCCCGAATAATAAGAAGAAAAGGAAGTGAAAAAAGGGTAAGAATAGGCATGTAAATATATGTACACCCAAACGAGAACAACAGTGTCATTTACGGCTAACACCAAAAAAGAGTCGCTCTCGCAAAAGAACCGCCGGCCCTAGAAAAAAATTAATACATCAGGCATGCAAGCCATATGAAGGCCGAAATCCCTAGTCGTCCCATTCTTCGTCCAGCTGGTCTATCAATCGGTTCTCCGCTTCGTTATTCCGGCTCGATCCAATATGCTGGTAGCCTCGCCTGCTCGGCAAAAGGCGTCCGCACGACGACAACAAGATGACGAATAAATCCTAAAAATAAAAAAAAACACGCATATACACATTAGTTTAAAAAGGTAGCCCCGCCTTGGGCCGGGACGGACGCACGTTGAAAAAGCTCCCAATACCGGCCCACAGACTGTAGTTGGGCAGTTGCCGCCATCCTCGGGCGTGCGCAACGGTGCGGTTGTAGAAGACGCCGCCGAGCACGTACACGAGCACGGCGATGACGAGGATCAGTCCGAATACGCCTCCGGGCCCGACGCTACCGGGCTTGTGAGGCTCCGCGTGGGCGCAAGCATATGCGGAGCGGGCTTCGAAGAAGTAGGAGCATTCGTCGGGGTCGACGCCGACAAACGAGACGGCCGTGGTGGTTCCAGGATCCCGATCGCACAGGAAAGATATCGTGGCCGACTTCCGCCTGGTCTTGGAAGAGCTATCGCTTTTCTCGATCGTCTCGATTTCGTGGACGTGGGTCGATGTTGAGAGGCCTTCGCTGTATTGCTTCGTGTCCCTCTTGCGATAATCGTAATCGTCGTCATCGTCATAGTCATCCTCGTCCTTTGAGCTTGATTTATGATCTCCGCAAGGTGATCCGCCAGTGTACTGCAAAACGAGCTTTCGCCCTCGACTATGCAGATCTAGCGATACAGAGCTATAGCAAACCGTTAGCGCGCAGAAACCATGTCTTTATCCGCAAAAGCCTCAAACAAACCCAATTGAGTAAACGCTGTCATGAGACGTATAATACGCGCTGACATTCGCCCACTGGTTCTTCTTCAAACCAACCACATCGCTAACGGGGTCGACCACCGAGCCGCAAATATTCAACGTGAAGTTCTTGCCGTAATCCCAGCCCCGAGAATGATAGTCCTTGTATGTGCCTGACTTGTGGGTTTTCCCATTCTCGGGGGGCGCCACGGCTGTGTCCGGCCGCAGATCGAAGAATCCACCAGTTGTTAAAGATGTCGCTGTACACGCCGGCGCAGGCGTCGTAGCCGTGGCAGTACCGGCGGCAGCGTTGACTCCGGCGGCGGCCGTTGCCAGAAGCATCAAGAGGTGAGACGGTGAGGTGATCATGCTGGGCAGTCAGATGACGTCTCGTCGGTCGCTTATGCTTATGAAGTCTGAAGAAATCTCTGATCTAGTCGAACGAATGGCGGGGAGTTGAATTCGCCTCGAGGGGCTCTGTGCGTTGCGATGATTGCGCTATCAACCAACAGTCGCGTAATATGGGATAAATATGAAACACGGAGAGACTGAACGACTCTCTCTTAATCAAAATCTCTCGAAAGTTTGTGGCTTGTCGCAAAGCCTGCTTAGCGTCAAGAATTCCACCAGAAGCAGCAACTTTCGCAGTTCGATGCCGCAAAAGAATGGCGTTTGTATGTTAGTCTCAGCCTCGTATTAGCCAGCCCCAGCGCCACGATACCAGCTGTCAACCACGATGCCAGTTATCGTCAAGTCACGGGATCCGCACCCGTTGCTGCCCTCTGGTTGGCTGGTTCCTGGATGGTGACGTAAGTCGGCAATCTTGATGCACGCTGGTCGGGAAAATGTGTTTGTCCGCCTCAATGGGCTCCATCCGCAGCTACTGAGCGCTAGGCCCAACCGGGCGAATTTGAGATCACACACGCGCCCCCGTGAAGGTGGCATTTGGAATTCCGAATTCCCAACTACGCCCGCCAATGGCTTGAGACAGTGCCCGTATTCGTTCACGTATACGCTTGTCTTGGAAATTGGAGAGACTATTAAAGGACAGAGCATTGTCACAGGAAGCCTGTTCTAGGACGGCTCTCGGTTTATCATCGACGGACGTGTCACAATGGCTCCCAAATCCAAACGAGCTGCCACGGAGCAGCCTCACGGCTACGAATTTGGAGGACCGTAAGTTGCCATCTGACAGCAAAGCAAGAGCAACTGCATAAATTGACACAATCCTACTAGTCTTGGTGCCTTTGGAATTTCGTTCGGTCTGCCGGTTCTCGTATATCTCTTCACCTTTGCTTGCAACGACGTTTCGGGCTGTCCCGCGCCTTCGTTCCTGAGCCCCAAGACTCTATCCCTAGACCAACTGAAGCTCGAGGTGGGCTGGCCTGCGGATGGCATCTGGGGTCTAGCTAGCTGGAAGGCTTCTGGAGCTCTTGCGGCGTACTACTTCCTCAACCTGATCTTGTACGCGATTCTCCCCGCCGCCGAGGTTGACGGTACAGTTCTGCAATCTGGTGGGCGTCTCAAATACAGGTTCAACAGTACGTGATGTGGAAACCAAGTCATGACGTGTCAGGAGCAGTCTGCTAACTTCGCCCAAAGCAATGTACTCGAATATGGCCACTCTCTTTGCGCTTGCTGCGGGAACGATCGCCCAGGGTGCCGAATTCCCCGTCTGGACCTTTATCAGCGAAAACTACGTCCAGCTCCTCACTGCGAGCATTCTCCTCTCCTATGCCATCGCCACATTCGTGTACGTTCGAAGCTTCAGTGTCAAGGCCGGTAACAAGGATAACCGCGAACTGGCTGCGGGTGGCCACACCGGGAATATGCTGTACGACTGGTTCATCGGACGCGAGCTGAACCCCCGTATCACGATTCCCCTTATTGGAGAGGTCGATTTGAAGGAATGGTGCGAGCTTCGACCCGGCATGATGGGATGGATCATCTTGAACTGCTCTTGGTGCGCTCAGCAGTACCGCAACTATGGCTATGTCACAGACAGCGTTGTCTGCATCACCGTCGTGCAGGCTCTTTATATCATCGACTCGTGGGTGAACGAGGCAGCTATCCTGACCACCATGGATATCACCACTGATGGATTCGGCATGATGCTGGCATTTGGTGACCTCGTTTGGGTCCCGTTCGTGTACTCCCTCCAGACTCGCTACTTGTCCGTGTACCCTCGTTCACTGGGCCCTGTTGGACTCCTCACCACGGGTTCGCTCATTTGCCTTGGCTTCTACATCTTCCGATCTGCCAACAGCCAAAAGAACGCCTTCCGCACCAATCCGAATGATCCCAAAGTCGCTCACCTCAAGTACATTGAAACCAAGACTGGCAGCAAGCTTCTCACCACAGGCTGGTGGGGAATCGCACGCCACATCAACTACTTTGGCGACTGGATTCAGGCCTGGCCATACTGCTTGCCCACCGGCATTGCTGGATACCAGATTCTTTCTGCCGGCTCCACCTCAGCGGAAGGGGCTTTTGTCATGGCCGATGGTCGACAAGTGATTCAAGGCGAAGCCAGAGGCTGGGGCATGCTCATCACCTACTTCTATATCGTATACTTTGGCGTCCTCCTAATCCACCGAGACGGTAGAGACGATCAAAAGTGTTATCGCAAGTATGGCGAGGACTGGGTCAAGTACAAGAAGATTGTACGATGGAGGATCATTCCTGGCATTTACTAATGTCATTTGGCGAGGCCAGCTGATCGTCGAGCTTGAGCAAAGGGACGTTTGCTTACCTCTTTGCCAAGAGAACCGCAGAGGAAGTTGAAAGACCCTCGATTGGACACACATATGAGTTAGGGCGCGGTTGACGTGCTCAGGGTTTGGAATGAAAGGATCGTCAATAGTGTTATGGAGTTTGCAGCCACCTGCAGAAGCCATTCGGCGCTTCTTACCAACATATTAGAAACAAATAGCAATAGTCTATATGTAATGTTAATTTCCATGTAATACAAACTGCAGTTGGCCGATAACATTTGTGCTCTGCAGGCGAGCTAGGAACGCTGCCGCAGAATTAGCCCCTAGCGTTCGGTGTAAAGGCTCGATACGATCTGCAGCTTTGCACAGCAAGGTGGAATGACGCAGTGTGGACGACCTCAAAGCCAAAAACCAACGTGGGTGGTATTCAGTCCATGCATTTACCGTATAAAAGTGCACAATGAATAGACGAGACGGGCCGAACCAGTCCAACTGATTCTTAATCACGGCATCGCCAAGCCGCCTCCTTAAGCTGCTTATTTTCAGTTAACCTAGAAGGGTAAGAGACAGCATCTTGTTCGGGTCATATCCCAGACCCAGCGACGCGGGGGTCCGGTGTCATGGAATATGTCGAGGAGTTTTCAGCTCAGAGACTTCCATATGCCATCAGTAATCCGTACTTACCTAGAACGCAGGTGTACTCGATGGTGTACTCGATTTTCATATGGCCATCTGAACCTTGAAGGTGATGATATGTTGGAGAAGCTCTCCGCTTTGCACGTGTTGGCTGTTGATCAATGCAACGATGCAACGATGCAGCGTGCTGAATGAGGCCATCTCAGATCTACGCCTGCGACTTGGAATTGGAGAAACCCTAAACAAGTGTACGATCCGCTGGCGCTGGATAAACGAACATCCTAGAATGCTTCTTGGAGACGTTCTAAACTGAGCTGTGGTAGCGAAGAAGATTGGTGGAAAAGTTACAGCGTACCCTATTCAGGATGGATCCAGAGTAATTGGCGAAACTCCCCGATGGCCTCTTTGCTCACAATCAAACGGCCCGAACAAATTGGCGCTAAACCAGGAGTCAAGGAGGAGCTCTGGCGGTCGATATTTGGGGTAAGTTGCGGGGAAGTGCGAGAGCGGAGCCTCTGCCTTTGATCGGCACTCGATTTTCTTTTTTTCGTGGCTGAGTTTGGTGCGCATCGTATTGAAAAAGATTCTTGTTTTGGAGACACGAACTCTGCCAAATCGGGGTAGCATGGCATGATTTGAATCCTTCAAGAGGCAGGAAGCGCTGCATCACACAGATTGTCAGGGCAGAGCCCGTGAAGTGTAAAACCTTGTAGTTTTCGTATTGCAAGGAGTGCCTACAGCACGTAGCATGAGATATCGTGGCCATGTGCCACTCCAGCCAGGATGACAGTCAGTGAATATCGGAGGTTTCCCGCAAGGCTTGACTAACAGCCAGGCCGGGACTTGGTGCCTGAGTGGCGCTCGGGAGAGACAACAAAGCCGGCGGCTGGGGTAGTGCTATTGGCAATGGGGGGAATGGAGAAGCTCTCCACGATGATGACGCTCCGCAGCGGGGCCATGCAAAAATACCACCCTAGCATGTTCATCAGCGACCCATCGGCCGTGGTAGACGGATCTGGGCATGCCAAAGTAACGAACAACAGCTTGGCAGAGTGTCTGCGCCCGTAGCATCTGATGTTTTGCTATCCCTTTGTCGAGAACGTTTTCTCCTAGCGTGATCCGAGTCTCTTGGTGTCGCCTCGCCATGGTTGCATGTTACCTCGCCTCAGTATTGAGTCTGTGTTATGCCATGCTTAAAAGCATGGTTGTTTAGTCACCGTAGCGGCATTGATAGTTTGGCGTTGCCGGAATAGGGAGACAGCACGGCTTCTGCCAACCTTTCTCTTTCAGCGTGTCCGTGCTGTTCCCAGTAGTAGATGCACTTGCATAGCTTAAAGCCACTACAACATCCAGTTCAAAAGTGCCAAAGCCCATATAAGTGACAACATGCTGGCCGGCTCGCTTGGCCGGCTGCCTGAGCCGGAAAATACTGGTAGCCCGTCTTTTTGTGGTGCGCAGGACCAATGCCACCTGTCGAAGCAATGAAACGATCCATCGTAGATCGGAAATGGCCAAGACATTGCTGCTGGCTGGAAGGCGTCGATGGAGAAGAAAAGCTCAAAAGTTCTTGTGACCTCGGACCCAGGCGGCTGAGGCCCCGCAGCCGGCGGAGATGTGCTCCGTAGCAAGACGCCGTGCCCACGATGCTATTTCGCCATTTCGCCGCTCAGCGCCAGCCGAGATGTCAAGATGAACATGTGGACGAGGCTGGCAGAGCATCGAACGGCTGTTCGGCCCTTCTCCAGCTTCTCCCACTTCTTGGCGATGCAGGATGAGGCCCAACGCCCCTCGCTTGCATTTGGCGTCTGTCCAACTGCTCTAGGATTTATTTGCATTGCATTGCGCTTTCGGGGAGGATCCCAAGGAACTTCACCCAGTGCCTGGCCGATGCAACCCTCTTCCATGTAGGCACATTGCACATTGAAATCGTAAAAGGGACCGGCGTTCTCGGGTCGCCACCCCGGTGGTGCTTCGTGGCGTGTTACTGTAGTATTCCTTGTAGGATTGGCAATGCATTCGGCCAAGGGGATGCAGTTCCATTGCCAAGTAGCGTATTCTCGCCGTTCTCCGAATACGCGAGAGCAGACAGCTCCGGTCACCAATTGTCCACCGCCGCTCTGGCTAGCTCTGGGTGTGTACGACAGGCGGTTGTGCGAGGTCGAGGCTGAAATGAAGGCTGTCGTGATATGAGAGAGAGACATTGAACTGTATCATCTGGATGCTACCTATTGGCTCTGGCTCTGCCAGCTTATTTTACTGTACTCGCACAAGTGGTACCATGAGGTCACAGGTACACCTTTGTGTCTGACACGGGTCGGTACAGACAGTTACATGGAGGAGCTGCTCTTTGTCCTACCAAGATTGCATGCTCGCGCGTTGAACCCCTCCATCGGTTCTTGGTTCCAGGCATTGGATGCCGCTGTGGTTGGCGTACAGCGCAGTAGCAGGAAACTTGCAGTGCTACGAACGCCAATGTAGCGTAAAGTTCTCCGTACCTGGAGCTAAAAAAGGTACATACGCGGAAGGCGCTTTCCTTTTTTCCTGGCGTCGAGCCCCTTCCGTTTCTGGCTTCTTTCTAAATTGCATACCTAGAAAACAAATACGCAGTCGAAATAATCCGTCTTCCGATAGCTGCCTGTGTAATGCGTCGTTTTGTAGGCTGCAATCGTATCTTCATTCTCCATCCGCCTCCTGCTCAGCGTGACGTCGCGATCGACAAAACAGATGACGCTGCAAGGCATAGCAAATCGTATAGGTGCTAGTCTCGAACCGCCAAGCTTGGGCTCCTATTCTTGTGCATGCTTCGAACGTGTGCCTTGACTACAGGTTAATCTCGAGGGCGCATCCCGCGTTGCACAGCGTGCGAATCCTGTTGCCATTCCGGAGGATGGAATACACCGGCGGCCGCCATGATTCTCACCTGTGCTCTGCTTTGAGCTCGTCCAGAGGCCCCTGCCCGTGCCGTGCCATGGGGCAGTGGGGCTGTAGCTGGCAAGAGATTGCCTGCTCAGCTTCTCCAGGCCCGGGACCAGGGTTCAAGGCGGTAGCTCGCATACAGGGGGGAAAGGCGGAGAGAGACACCAAGGCCGAGCATGGACGTTAGCTGCAGCGCCGTCGTGAGCAGCGTGGAGGGATGGCGGGAACAGAGAATGCATGGCAGAGAGGCGAGGACGCAGGGAGAGGGGGCGAGGTGGGCATCAGATTCTGACAAGGACTGTCGATGCGACTCTGGCCCGGAGTATATATGATGGACGTCCGCCCTCGTCATGGACGGCTCTTACGGCTCTTCAAGCGAGAATCTCATCGCCAGCCGCCGATCCTGAGTTCCTTTGGTCGCGGCCACCCAAATTCACCATGAAGACCTTGTCAGTTTTCGCCGCTGCCCTTTTGGCGGCAGTGTCTGAGGCCGCTGTCAATGTACGTTGCGTTCCTGCTTTAGCCTTCATTTCATACCAATTGCCTTGAGACATTGGCCCTCCCCCTTTTTGCTTGAATATGGATGGCTGTTTCTATGGATCTTGGGACGCCTTATTGGCAGTCCAATGGCACGAAAGTACCTGCGAAACGCGCCAAGTCGCGAGATCCTGATTCACCTACCAGCCAGCTTTGCTTTCCTGTCTATTGTTATAGTGCCTTGATTCGCTTGACAAGCCCTTTCCCTATTCACATCTCCATTGATCATGTAAGAAGATTGAGCGCGGCCAGGCACGAGGAAGGCTTATTGAGCATAACTGGCAAGGCGATCCTGCCCTGTGCTGCTTCCTGCGCGTTTGCTGCAACTTGTATATCTTTCGACTCACAAATTCGTTTGTTTTTTGTATCTTTTTTTTTTCTTCCCCACGCATCTTCACGGCGCTCTTAGCCATCACTTTCTTTCGCCATGAAGACATCACTTTTTTTGGCCGCCTCTGCGGCACTCATTTTGGATCTTGTTACAGCTGCTAACAATACCGACTCGCAGCCTCGCTTTGCCCTGTCGAACACCTCTCAGCCCTCATCCGAGGCGTACTCACCTCCTTTCTACCCCTCACCATGGATGGACCCCAATGCCCCAGGCTGGGAGCAAGCCTATGCCCAAGCCAAGCAATTTGTGGCAGGCCTGACTCTTCTTGAGAAGGTCAACCTCACCACTGGTGTTGGGTAAGTTCTTTGGCTGTTATAGTTTGCCGATGGAGCAGCTGCTAATGTTATTCATAGTTGGATGGGTGAGAAATGCGTTGGCAACGTCGGTACCGTTCCTCGCCTGGGCATGCGCAGTCTTTGTATGCAGGACGGCCCCCTTGGTCTCCGATTCAACGACTACAACAGCGCTTTTGACGTCGGTTTGACGGCCGCCGCTAGTTGGAGCAGAGCTCTCTGGCAAGCCCGCGGTGCTGCCCTGGGTGCCGAGGCAAAGGGCAAGGGTGTCGATGTCCTTCTCGGACCGGTAGCAGGTCCTATTGGTCGCAACCCCAACGGCGGCCGTAACGTCGAGGGCTTCGGACCTGACCCAGTTCTGGCTGGACAGGCTCTCGCTGAAACCGTGGTTGGTATCCAGAACGCTGGCACCATTGCCTGCGCCAAGCATTTCCTTCTCAACGAGCAAGAGCATTTCCGTCAGGTCGGAGAGGCCAATGGCTACGGATACCCCATCAACGAAGCCCTCTCGTCCAACGTCGATGACAAGACCATTCACGAGTTGTACGGCTGGCCTTTCCAGGATGCTGTCAAGGCTGGCGTCGGTTCCATCATGTGCTCGTACAACCAAGTCAACAACTCGTATGCTTGCCAGAACTCCAAGCTTCTCAACGGCTTGCTCAAGGAGGAGTACGGTTTCCAGGGTTTCGTCATGAGTGACTGGCAGGCTCAGCACACTGGTGCTGCGTCCGCCGTTGCCGGTCTTGACATGACCATGCCTGGTGACACTCTCTTCAACACCGGTGCCTCCTACTTCGGAAGCAACCTTACCCTTGCTGTTCTCAACGGCACTGTCCCTGAGTGGCGTGTAGACGACATGGTTATGCGTATCATGGCTGCCTTCTTCAAGGTTGGCAAGACTATTGATAGCCTCGTTGAGACCAACTTTGATTCTTGGACTACCCAAGACTACGGCTTTGTCCAGGCTGCTGTCAATGAGAACTGGGAAAAGGTCAACTACCAGGTAGATGTCCGCGCCGACCACGCCAACCACATTCGCGAGGCTGGTGCCAAGGGAACTGTTATCCTCAAGAACACCGGCATCCTCCCTCTCAAGAAGCCCAAGTTCCTTACCGTTGTTGGTGAGGATGCCGGCGGCAACCCTGGCGGCCCCAACGGCTGTGGTGACCGCGGTTGTGACAATGGCACTCTTGCCATGGAGTGGGGATCTGGTACTACCAACTTCCCCTACCTCATTACTCCCGATCAGGCACTTTCGGCCCAAGCTATTCAGGACGGCACCCGCTATGAGAGCATCTTGTCCAACTACGACATCAAAGAGACGCAGGCTCTGGTTGGCCAGCCCGATAACATTGCCATTGTCTTTGCCAACTCTAACAGCGGCGAAGGTTACATTAGCGTTGATGGCAATGAGGGTGACCGCAACAACCTGACCGTGTGGAAGGGCGCTGATGACCTCATCAAGGCTGTTGCTGCTGTCAACAACAAGGTCGTTCTTGTCATCCACTCCACCGGCCCCGTCATCGTCAAGGACTATGCTGCTCACCCCAACATTTCTGCCATTCTGTGGGCTGGTGCTCCCGGCCAGGAATCCGGAAACTCTCTCGTCGATATCCTGTACGGCAAGCAGAGCCCCGGCCGTTCTCCCTTCACCTGGGGTCCTTCTATCGAGAGCTATGGTACTGAGGTGATGATGAAGCCCAACAACGGCAACGGTGCTCCCCAGGATGATTTCAACGAGGGCCTCTTTATCGATTACCGCCACTTTGACAAGGTCGCCCCCAACAGCAAGTCTGCCAATGCTCCCACATACGAGTTCGGTTTCGGTCTGGGTTGGTCCACCTTCAAGTTCTCCGGCCTCAACGTCCAGAAGAACAATGTCGGCACCCTGAATCCCCCCACCGGCAAGACCATTGCAGCTCCCGTGCTGGGCGCTCCCATTAGCAAGAACCTCAAGGACTATGACTTCCCCAAGAACATCCGCCGCATCAAGGAGTTTATCTACCCATACCTCAACAGTGTCACCTCTGGCAAGGAGGCTTCCAACGACGCCAACTATGGCCAGACTGCCAAGGAATTCCTCCCTGCTGGAGCGACCGACGGCTCTCCCCAGTCTCGCTCCCCTGCCTCTGGTGAGCCTGGTGGCAACCGCCAGCTGTTTGATATCGTCTACACCGTTACCGCGATCATCACCAACACCGGCAAGGTCATGGATGACGTTATTCCTCAGCTGTACATTAGCCACGGTGGCCCCAACGATCCTCCCAAGGTGCTGCGTGGATTTGACCGCATCGAGCGCGTCGCTCCCGGCCAGAGTGTCATCTTTAAGGCAGACATTACTCGCCGTGATATTTCCAACTGGGATTCCACCACCCAGCAGTGGGTGGTGTCCGACTTCCCCAAGACTGTCTACGTCGGCAGCTCTTCTCGCAACCTGCCCCTCAAGGCTCGCCTGCGCTAAGCAGCGGCGGAGGACAAAGTTATGATAATGTCTTAATTGTATAAATAGTAATTAGTGTTAAATCAGCTTAATGGCAAACATGATACCATCAAAATCTCTTGGCGTATGTCTGTGAATGCAATGTTAGCTGCTTACTACCTACGCATCTAGCTTCATATAGCGTATGAGATCACGATGAAGAGTACATAATAAGCATTAGAGATTTGGTCTCAATGAAGCTGCTGTGTTAGAATCAGCTGTTGACAAGTCCTGCTATCATATGTTTTGTTTCGCCCGCCTCTCACCGGGTGCTGCTTTTTATGCGAACCCATGCAGGCAATCTACGGAATGGACAGTGAAATCTCATTAAAAGCTGGAGTCTATCTCTTCTCACGTGGAGCGATGGCCGAATGTACCGACGAATTCATGCAATATCGTCTGCTCTTGAACAAAAGGCCTCTAGCGCGATCGAAAAAGAGCGAGACGGGACAAAAGAGGACGCCTGCCGATTTGGAAAAAAAACGACACAATGAATGGTAAGATCAAGCTCGAGTGCAGATTCGACGAATGGCGTTTCACCGCTGCTGCATCCTGGCGTGACAGTGGGCAAATAGCTCGATTAGCCTGGGCGCTTAAAACAGCAGAGGAGGGAAAAGGTGTAGTTTGATTGGCTGGAGGGCGCTTTGACTTGGCCCCATGGCTGGTGATGATTATTGGGTGTGGATCACCCCAGGCCTAATATTAGCCATGCAGTCAGTCACTGGCATGGGAGAGTCGTAATTGGGACGCTGGACTGGGAAAAGAGTGAGCATCTGCTGGTGTTTTTTACTCTCTTCTTTTCCTTTTCTTCTTTTCTTTATACATCTGCATATTCGCAAGCGAGAAACAAGAGAAACGAGACTTTTTGAGAGAAGTCCCATTGTTTCATTTTACGCAGCCCTGAGACCCCTCCTCCTTGTTTTGCCAGCGGCTCCGCGACTTTGAGACACGAAACGTGTGACGAGCGTCCCACCTGCGACAAGCTTCTTCCCTTTGTCTCTTTTTGCAGGCGTTTCTTTTCGGTTGGGCGCGCTGCCGAAGGAGATTTGAGCTTTTCCAGCTGCTACTACTGCTACTACTATTGATTTGATTACTTGAAGGAGGGAGATTTTCAAGCCCCGTACGTATTAGATCTCATAGACGATTTTACCCCATGTATAGGGGAGCTGAGGCTAACTTTTGACCTGTTTTGGGTCCTGTTTGATTAGCCTAGCCTAGGGTCTGAATCTCTCTTTACCTTTTCTTTCGGCGCAGCGCAGCGTTTCTTTGAACTCTTCTTTTCCTTTTCCTCTTCATTCATTTCTTTTTGGTGGTTGTGTGCGACTTTGCTACGCTCTTTTTTTCTTCTTCCGTATACTCGCTGGCGGGTGGTTTTTCCAATCTTTTAATCAGGTTCTCTTTTTGACGACTTTTTGAATTATATCGCTAGCGATATTTTTCAATTGTTTTCCGATTTCGCGACAACTGTATAACGCTCATCACGACGATATTTCATATTTTCAATCTCATCTGCCAAGAGAAGCAACAACACCACCTACAACAACATACATCATATACTCTCGCCACATAAAACCAACCCGATTAATTCACCTCCAAAATGGGCAACAACCTCTCTTCCACTTTTGAGCCGGACCTGTCCAAGGTGGTCCTCAGCCCGACCGATCGCCGCGCCGACATCATCCTCGGCGTCACGTGGCTGGTTGTCATCTACATGATGGTCATGATCTGGACGACGTGCGCGCTGGTCGACAGATGGAAGGGCCCGCAGGACAGGATACATGTTGGAGGCGGGCGCGTGTTGATGGCGCTAGTCATGTCGGCGGCGTGGCCGGCCGTGGTGGTGTATCTGGCGATGGCGAGTGGATGAATTGGAATATCGATGACGACAAATGAATGGGAAACTGGAAGCTGAACTGATTGGGATGGCAAAGACTACTGCGAGGAAAGGGTTAAAAGGAGATGAGCATTGTACGTTTTTTTGGTTTGGTGGTTGATGGGATATCCAAAGGGGGTGGTTACAGGTTTGATACCGTGCCACGGGCTGGCAGTTGTGTCTGTTATGTCTTTTTTATTAAAAGGAAAACAAAAAATAATATCGTGGTATATTGCAAATGCCGCACAACTCTTACACTACACTTGTTCTCTACTATCTTAATCGTACATGCCGAACACATCCATCTATCCAACCAGCGTGTTTCGACGGCTCCTGTCCGAGCGCATGTCCTTGCGCCCAACAATGCTCTCCAGCGTCTGCGCCAACGCCTTTGCATCGTATCTTCCTCCCTTGCCTTGCCCATCTTTCGGCCCGTACAGCCTCATCGTGTCGATCCCCAGCTGCGCAAACACCCGCTTGTCCACCGCGGGACTTTTGGGTCCTTCAATGTAGATAACGTGCGTCACGTACTGCGCATACTCGTCAGTGCCCGGCCGCGACAAGCCTCGTGAATCGGCGCAGGCGTTTGCAATAGCAGCGACAAAGTCAAGCCCGGAGAAGGGATTGCTGGAAGGCCCCGTCTCGCGATCCGTCGTGCCGTTGAGAAGGAGGATCTTGTTGCGGATGTGCGGGCTGGCGATGGCCTCGCCGACGCCCTTGAGGATGAGGTTGGGGATCAGCGAGGTGAAGAGCGAGCCGATGCTGTAGATGACTGTGCTTGCGCTGCGGATGGCCTCGAGGACGCGCGGGTTGGCGGGGATGCGGATCTCCTGGCCGTAGGGGTTGATGTACCAGATGCGGGCGATGCGCGACGGCAGGTCTTCCTCGTCTTCCTTGGAGAAGGTGATGGCGGGCCGGCGCAGGGCGGGCAGGCTGCCGGGGAGGTTGGCGTCCTCGATGGTGTCGTGCTCGTCGAGGTCGTGGTTTGTTGACAGGGCCGGCGTGGCGACTCCTGTGTTGACTCCTGTGCTTGGATTTGGTAGAGGCACCGCAGCCGTGGGCGCACTGGGATGCGAAATGTCATTCTGGCCCGTGATGACAGTCCCGTCCGTCAAGCCCGCCGCAATGTGATGCGCAAAGTTGGTGTTGAGCGCCGGCAGCACCGCCACGCGATCCGGCACCGCGCAGATGGAGCTCAGCAGGTAAATGGCCGCCTCGAAGCTGCCCGTGAACAGCCGTGCGCCCGTCAGGAACAGGTTGCCGATGCTGGAGCCGGAAAAGTCGAAGCGGCTGCTCGGTCTCATGCGCTTGACGACCTCGAGGTTGAAGCTGTTGAAGAATGAGCGGATCAGCTCGCGCTTGGGCGAGCTGATGTTGGTCCACAGCGGGTGCGTGCCCTCGACGATTTCGAACCACTCTGCGCGGGCGGAGGCGTAGATGGTGGGCAGGCGGTGGTTGAAGAGGTGCTTGATGGCGGTTGTTTCGGGCTTGCCGTCGTTGGGGATGAGGCGGACGAGGCGGGAGCGGACATCTCCAATGCCTGTAGATTAGTTAGACGAATGATATTAATATGAATTGATATGAAATGTGAGTATAACCTACCTGGCCCCCCAAACACGCGGATAATCTCGCTCGTGCTGCCGCCATTGTCCGAGATGGGAATCACGTAGCTCAGCGTCGCCGCCGCATTGGCCGCTCGCACGCCTTCAAAGACGTCGACGAGGCTGTTAGTGGCGCTGCCGCCTGAGAAGACGACGATGCCGGACTTGGGCTGCGGGCTCGGGCCGGGGCTGGAGGAGAGCCTGGAGAGAGGCGGCCGCGATGCCGGAGCCGGAGTCGGTGCCAGGAGGGCGGCTTGGGGGTTTATTTGCTGGGCCATGGGTAGGATGCGTGATTGGTTGATTTTCTTGGGTTGTCTGTGGTCTGATATTGAAGTTGCAGTAGAGATGCAGCAGCAGCAGGTGGTTTGTCCTCTTTTTGTCTAGAGCTAAATGATGCTTATCGCATTCTCACTTTCTGCTCATCCAGCACTTCTTCTTCTCATTCCCGTCCAGCTTCTTAAATACGACCGTCTACACATGGACAAGTGTCCTGTTGAAGCATTGCGCTCAATGATGATGCCTCATACGTGTCATTTACGGGCAACTTAGGGAGCAACAGAACGTGTGCTGCGTTTCTGACGAGGCTGATGCGCAGAGTTTAATTAAGCTGGGGACTGCACAGCCGCTGACTTCTCTGGATGCAGTAAAGGACAGCAGTTCAGTATACGCGGATCTAGTCTCGTGCCAAGAATTTTGGTCTAAGAAATTGATTTCCCTTTAGTTGCATAGTGCTCTTTAGGTGGATTTCTGTTTTCCTTGGAAATGCTGTTCAGCTGTGTTGGAAGTTGAGATTTCAGTGGTGTTGAATGAATCGAGTGAAGCTCAACTCTAAATTCAGAAGCCAGTCATCAGCCATTTAGCTTCTATTCCACTTTGAATTTAAAACCAATTCAACCGGCGCCGCTTAAGACGCCGTCGCCGAATTTTCCAAGCAATTCAGCTCTCCTCGCTGTCCGGCGAGCAATTCACACCGGCGCGCATTATTAACCACACTTACAAATCTGCCTCCATTGGTAACCTCCAACGGCCTGGAACGCCCTACCTATCAACTTCCAGGTTGTCTTCTTTTGAAGCTTAGAAACACGCCCGAGGCTTTAAGCACAGCGAGTCGTCCTATTGGTAGATGTTATTGTCACGACATTGTCTATATTAAGCCTAGGCTCTCATCGGAGCTGCTTTCATGACATCAGCAGCGCAACTAATTTTTTTCGAACAACTGCAGAAAAAAGTAAAAACTGACCTAGCTGTAGAATTGAAAGCAAATGCCCATCTCTTCTTTGTCCCATTGAGTACATCCATTTTGGCAGATGGTGTTTAAGCCACTTTTGCCCAATTGGGCAATTGCTCATGCCAGGCACTACGCTCGATATGAGTGACTGCGCATGATGCTCATGTAAGTGCTTTATATATATTAGGCTACGATCTCTATGAATTGCCTGTTTGCCAAACATTCATTCCCTCATCGTAACCAAGAAGCTAGATAGAAGACCAACCGTGCTCGTCTACATCTTGGACAAAAGCTTTTCTGCAGCCATATCTACTAGCCGCCAACACAGTCACAATGGCTTCCGAGCAAATTCCCAAAACCGTCAAGCATTGGAATATTGAAAAGTTTGGTGGATTCGATGGGCTCAAGTTCTCCGAGCAGGCCCTGCCTGAGTTGGGCGACGCTGAAGTTCTAGTTAAGCGTATGTGAGGAAGCTCTTCGATATCTATTTCCATACAAGAGAGAAGAGAAAGTGAAAGCCTTTAAAGGGAGCTATTGCTAATGTTTATTGTTCTACTACTAGTGGAGGCAGCTTCTCTCAATGTTAGTCAACCGGCAACATCGTCCTCCTCAGCTATTAATTTACAGTGCTATAGTATCGTGACCTCACCCTTGCCAGGGGAGAATATCCTCATGGAAAGAGAGAAAACGTCATCCCCGGATCCGATGGCGCAGGCACAGTCGTAGCCATCGGCAAGCAAGTGTCTCGCTTCCAGCCCGGCGACAAAGTCGTCTCCACGTTCAACCAGGCATACATTGGCGGAAACCTGAATCCCCAGACGTTCAAAACCAGCACCGGAGGCATCCTCGACGGCACACTAAGAACGTACGGCGCATTCAACGAACATGCTCTTGTCCGCGCGCCGTCAACTTTGACAGCTCGCGAGGCGTCTACGCTGCCCTGCGCCGCATTGACGGCCTGGAACGCTTTATACGGATCCCTCGACCACGTCGTCAAGGCCGGTCAATGGGTCCTTGTCCAGGGCACCGGCGGCGTGAGCATCTTTGCCCTGCAATTCGCCAAAGCCGCCGGCGCAAGAGTCATTGCCACCACCGGATCTCCCAGTAAAGTCGAGACCTTGAAGAAACTCGGCGCCGACCACGTCCTCAGCTACAAGGACGACCGCAAATGGGGCGAGACAGCGAAGAAGCTCACCGGCGGCCGCGGCGTCGACATCATTGTCCAGGTGGCCGGCGTCAACGAGATGGAGCAGAGCATCGAGGCCATCCGGATGTGTGGCGTCATCACCATCGTCGGCTTCTTGGCTGGCCGGTCGGGCGAGAACGAGATGAGCTTCCAGAGGTGCCTGGCGAAGATGTTTACGGCGCGGCCCGTCTTTGCGGGCAGTAGGGTCCAGTTGGAGGAGATGATTGAGGCGATTGAGGCGCATCCGGATGTGCTGAGGCCGGTGATTGACGAGAGGGTGTTTAAGCTGGAGGAGCTTAAGGAGGCGTATGAGTACATGTGGTCGGGCAAGCACTTTGCTAAAGTGGTGATTGAGATGAACTAAAAGCACAGCCTCAAAATAGAGTAGCGTAATGACAGAATAGTGATAATGATGAGTAAAGAATATGGCCTGGTCTCGGAAGGCGGCCTGTTCAACGTCGAACAACTATTTTGTTGAGGATGAACCCTTGCAGACCGTCGGGATAGTCCATGTAGGCAAGCGTTCGAGACCCATTGTGTTGGGATCAAGACATGCTGTGCTGTCGAGCTATTCGAGTAAGTTCTGTTACGCAGCAGTAGGCTATGATATGGATGGATGAGTAGAGACTCGGATAGATGTGGCCACCCAGACATGGCCGTCGCTATCCGCTGCCTGTGACCTATGGCAAGTCTGACCATATGCATCGCCTATTCCGGCATGATGTACTCAAGCAAGACAATATTTTAGTTCATACATTCATCCGAGTTGATTCTCACTTTCGCATTGTCAAGACCGAGATACTCCGACATCATTATCGTATGCACCTCGGCACTGCAGTTAACCTTGTTTTTAAACTATAAAACTGTTGCCTCCTTATTTCGCCCTAATCCGAATCATCTGACCAACCACTAATGTGCGGCGATGCATGTGTGCATGTAGGGGGCACGGCATTGTCCAGTCTGCATCGTTCTCTCATAGAGGCAGCCATACCGACTGAAGGAGGGATACACCGACAGAGGCAGAACCGAGTTTGTGCCATCATGACTAAATTAAAACATTCAACCGGTCTCGGACGTTCAGATTGAAACATCAATCACTGTGTATTGCCGACTTTGTCTGCAGAAGGACGGATGTGATGATATCAAAAAGTTTGCCTCGCTGGCGCTGTTATTATTTCATTAACTAAATTACCAATTAATGGAGTCTGTCCATCGGTATATGTATGTATATGTGTGTGTATCATAGTAAAAGGACCGTGTCATGCCATAAAAAGAATTCGTTGCCTTCCTTGCCCATTTATTTCCAGAATGCCATGCCCCCCAGATAAAAAACAAATTCGTAATGCGTCGTGTCAATATGCCTGTTTGATGCGTGCCGTGCCCACAATGCGTCCGAGTTGATACTCATGAAAGCAAAAGGAATCCACCTTTGAGTAGTGATTAAGGAATGAAAATGATGAAAAAATGCTGGTTAAAGTTGCGGTGTGGACGGGGACCCTCTTTAGTCCTTGTAGTCGCAGGTCATGCTCCAAGCCTGGTAGCCGACGGTGTTCTTGGAGCATTGTTGAGGGGTGAGGACTGTCTTGCCCTCGGTACATTTGAGATCGGTATAAGCCGTCACTATGAATTATGAATCAGTAACCAAGTTCCTAAAAGCACTTTCAAAATAGGGAGAAGCAGTGAAAGAGAGCTGAAGAGATCTTACAAGTGCAGCCGTTGTTGATGTCGGTCAGGTTAAGAGAATGAGGCACGGCGCCGTTCTCCTCATCATTCAAACTGTTGCATTCGCCGTTCTTGAAGTCGTCATCAATGACAGTCCAGACACCGAGGTTGCCGGTGAAGCAGTCCTCGCCGCTGTAGAGACGGAAATCGGAGACGTGGACGTTGCGGGGGATGAAGAGGGCGTTGGAGCCAGCAATCAGAGTGGCAGCAGCGGCGACAACTGAGAGGAAATGCATCTTGATGGAGTTTTGATAGTGAAGTAATGAGAAAGAGGAGGAGTAGGATTGAAGATGAGGGGTTGTTCTGTTAGTGGTAGACTAAGAGTATAGTTGAATAGTAGTTGTTTTTGCTGTTGAGCAGATTGGAGCTTGTTCAAACGATGCTTCCGGCTACTCTTTATACTTTGTCAGGCTCCGCCAAAGGCTCATCTAGATCCTCGATCCGGACAGGCCCAGGCGAAGCCGATCTCTGACGAAAACAATCAAGAGGGATACGAAAAGCACCACGACATTCGAAGATAGTGCAGTGGAGCGGCGCAGCTGCAGTGTTCCTCCCGGATACGATGTCTCTGACCTCGAGCCATCTCCAAGTCCATGTATGTAGGCTATCCACCTAGAAGCCTGGGTTTACCGAGTCCACGCACTGTACGCAAGGGCCTCAAAGAGCCCTTTACCGCATCACCCCATCTGATTCAAAGACATGATTGAGCTGGAACAATCATACGACAAGGCAGCACGACTCGTTCAAAGCTTCCAAGTCACAGTGCGCAACACCAAAAGGCATCATCCCCGCGTGACCCCAAAAAGCCCACCAAAAGTTGTGCTGAGCTTCAACTCCTCTTTTCATAAAACTGACAGATAGAGTTCGAGTCCAGCCCAAGCACCGCCGATCACTGATCTCATGCTAGACCCCCAAAAATAACAGAGAGGCTGGCGTCTGTTTGCTCCACCGTGTTGCCGCTGCAGCTTTTTCGGACGCCTCGGTGGCGAGTAGCTCGACCGAAAGTTGCACTTTGTGCTCCGTGCTTTGTTCAAGGCCGGTGCTTTTTCTACAGCGCTTTGGTTTGTTTCTTTTCAATGACTATTACTGTACGGAGGCGTCGTCATGGGCGGAGTTGGGGAGCTCAAGGCCCGCTGGAGCCTTTGACATCATCGCCGCAGAATCGGGCCATCGCCTTGCGGGTGCTAGTGCTACTATGTATAGAGAATCCTTACGTGACTTGTTTGTTGATCCTTGCAACCTGTTGAAGTAAGGAGGTCAGTGCATCTGGGGACTCAACACCATCTGCACAGACACGGGGTTGAATACGAAAAGCACGCCCGCAGACAGGTTTTTCATGATCATGATGCAGAACGAAAAAAGAAAACAAAGAAACCAAATCATCGTATTCAATTCCAAGGCTCGGCATTCCCGTGCATTTTGCGCCACTGTGGTGTTGTGCAACCAACGGCAGCACAGCCGTCCGTAGTAGTCAACCACTGCCGATTCATATCGTATACACAGGCTGGGTACGAAACAAACAGTAGCAAACCATCACGAGAAAGCGCTCCGTATACCGGAGTAGAATGTCCCCTCACAAAGAGAAAGAAGAATGGAAAGTTCCACTGCCAAGAGGAAAAAGCAGTGGAAACCGGCATTTCACCCATGAGAGCCAAGGCCGAGACTCCATGCCATTGTGGCTGCGGGTACGACTAGGGTTTTTCAGATCCGGGCAGTAGTGCATCGGCACTTTCTTCACGTGGTCTTACACCTCGGTGTGCGGAGGAAAAGAGTACCTAGTCTAGATGTTGCTGCGGACGTGGCATCAGAGGATACGCATCTACAGTATGTAACCAGGTAGTATGTGAAATGAACGATCATCTGCCTCGTAACGTGAAGCTGACATCTAAATATAGTGTGGTGTTTCCATGATCGGTCTGCATTTATTTCCACGTCATGGCATGCTCCAGTGTGGAACTCTTATTACGTGTTCGAGAAACAGAATAGGGGACCTTGTGGACATTGATAATGGCAGCAAGAGGGTCCAATTATACACCCCTTACCTCGGCAGCTCACAAATGACACAAGAGGTTTTCGCTTTAGGTAAGCATAAAGGATGTATACAAATTGAATTAACGTGATAATGCGAAAGCCAATGGCTGTATCTAAGCTACGTTTATTCGCTGTATTATGCGCAGTGGATCGTATCTTGTATATATCCTTCACCGCATTATAAGTTTTGAACTGTTGCTCAGCTGTAGTCTAGGTTTAGATCCAAGAGTAAGGTATAAAATGTAGAGTCATATACTATTTAATGCCTTCCTCGCAGTTAAGAAGACATTTAGAACAGCAATTGGCTACCTGCACTACACCCCACGAGGATCTATTTTATTAGTTTAGTACCAGCACCGTATACGGCTATTAATCTGCTGCTTGAGCAAAGACGAATGGAACCAGTCTTAGTGTTATAGCAAATTGATGGCTTAGGTTCTCTGTCATAGAGATTTGTGTAAGAAGCTATAAGCGCTTGCAACCAGTCGAGAATTGGGCCAATTCTTCTCGTACCAAACTAACAAAATAGATCCTTTTGGGGTGTAGTAAGTGGAAATGGAGCATCAAGCATACGTCTATCAAATCGGCGGGTAGCAAGACAACACCAGCAATACACAAGCAGAAAAGAACATGAATATCTTTTAAATAAATAATTGCATACATTGATATTTTAGCTTCTTATTCCTAGTAACATCTGCTCTCTCTTCCGCTGATTTGGATAATGTTCAAAGGGCCTACGGGCGATTCACAAGTGTCCATTGAAATGGCGTGGGGGTGCTGCAAGTTCTGTACGAAGATGAAACAACTAATAACAACATGGGTAAAAACATAGCCTTGGAATGGTAAAGATGAGAGCTCACTAACGGTGCGTAAAATACGTATGGCAAACATTTGAGCTGAGAAAATTGATAACACATCGTTTAATGATGCATGCTATCACGAATAGACATATCTTTGGGTGCCTCTCAACACCACTATTAGCTTGATCTGGCGGCCGACGCACCAGTAAGCCTTACCATTGAGCTGGTTTATAGCAGTGACAACGCACCTTATTACCCCGCAAAGAACGCCTTGTTTTTCATCGCAGCTGTATGGGTAAATATGCCTATTCAGCAGCCCATTAATTTCCTGTTTGAAATAGCTTGGCAGGTCGTGCAGCGGCTGAAGCCGCAGCAACTCTAAAATGGACGTTGATTCGCAGCCCATCGTGCAGCATCTATCTTGATAATCCGAGGGTGTAGAAACATTCTTGAATTCGATTGGTAGCCTTACAATAAACTGCCACGTATCTGTGACTCTTATAACGCCTCACTAGACTCGAGACTCGAAGCTCGCTGTAGACAACCAGTGGCTTGAGCCGGCCATATATTTGGGAACTGACGGCCATGGCATTTATCACTTGAAAGACGAAAGACCAAACCATTCTCAACATCACAATCACTCTATTCTGCACCGCCCGCTGTGTTAAACAACTCTTGTTTCTATTTTCCCAGACTCAAGGTTGGACCACTTTGTCGCACATCCAGCTTCCTCATGGCTCAGCAGCTCGAAACAATTGATGAAACCATCACCATCAATGGCAAAACCGGGCAGTACACCGGATCGGCATACCCTATCACTTCTCCTGGATGGAACATCATTTTCGGATACGATCCTCATGGAAGGGGTATATTGAGATACAGCGACGGCAGCGTCTACGATGGCCAATGGGAGCATAGCAACTACTCAGGATCAGGAAAATATACTTCAAAAGACGAGGAGTATGTCGGATCATGGGTCGACGGACTCAAATCAGGCCATGGGAAATTGATTACAAGCGACGGGCAGATTATCTATGATGGCTGGTTTGCAAACGACAAGAGATCCGGCGCCGGCACCCTCAATTACGTCCAAACAGGCGTCAGTTACACGGGCCAGTGGAGCAAAGACGTGCCCAGTGGGAAGGGCACTTGGAAATGGGCAGATGGAAGTTGGTGGGAGAGCACATGGGGAGGATCCAATGGTAAAACTGCCAGCGGTAGCGGGAGGACGCGCCGTCTTTTCGCGAATGGCGACCTTTATGAGGGAGAGACGACTAACCACGAGATGACTGGCACGGGCAAGGTCACTTTGTCGAGCGGCGAAGTGTATCGCGGCCAGGTGAAGAACTCCAAAAGGCATGGCCAAGGCAGCTTCAAGACATTGGATGAGATGCTGTATGAGGGGAAGTGGGTTTATAATAACAAGTCGGGTCGCTTCAGAATCACTGACCTGGCGAAGGGCAAGGTGAGGCACCGTAATTATTGAGCTACAAAGGATGGTGATTTGGCTTCTTTATGCGAGGTTTTCATGTTTGTATCAAGGCGTTATCTTTTATGGATGAAATGATGTTTAGCCAGATAGCATGTATATCTTTGAGAGAGCCTTGAAAGCGTGGATAAACGAAAGTTTGTTTCATTTGACTTGTGTCTGTATAAACTGTTCAGTGGAATTCTCAATATATCATTAGCAGCAGAAAGCGAATATTAACGATGGTGCCTTAGACTCATCGTGAGGGTACCGAAACCGCATAACTGAACAAGTTTGGAAAACGCCGAGCGTGAGAGCGAAACTTGATAAGACAAGTTAGCGCATATTTTAGTAGACAGCTGAAAATCAGCGCTTGATACGAATAGCTCTTGATGTGACGAATAAGAAGCCATCGCAACTCCATGGTGTGGTTGCATGCATGAGACTGCAGATGTCTTAGTATACAGATGTAGTCTGGTACAATCTCTGCAACTCCGCATCTCAATTGCGGTTGCATTTCAACTGATGCACATACGTCATTTCCATTTGATAGGATAATATTCAATCACAATTTCACTTATGTGATTGAAGGCTACAACAGAGTCGCTGTATGCAGTATATGTATCAACGTTCGATGAAGTCGGAATCAACTTGCCTCTTCTGCATATACTAAATCTTCAACTGCGCGCCTATCAAAGATGGACTTTTACGGTACTGCTTCAACGGCCGTTGGGCAACTCATCCAGGTGACCATTTTCATCAAAGGTGTCATTACCGACATCAAAGAGTTTGAAGACAACTTACACGATATCCAATTCAAAATCAACATTCAGCTTGCGACACTAGAGTTCTTCCGCCGGCGTTTCGTCGATAGCAAAGATGCATTGATGCTCCCTGGCCGCAGCTCGGAATTTCTCGTGCAGACAGTTACCGATCTTTTGCTGACGATGACCGGGAAGCTAGCAGTTTATGAGGCTTTTATGAGAAAATACGACATTATAGATGAGAATGGCGGCGACGAGAAGACCGAAATTGAGGGTCCACCAGAAGGAGAAACAGACTCAAAAGTGTCGTTCCTAGAGAGAGCTCGGGCAAAGTTCAAGACGCTCAAGCTCAAAGGCTATGACTGGGCAATCTTTGACAAGAAGAAACTTCTTTCAGTTCTGCAAGACTACAAATCAGACACGGATAGCCTTCGGGGTATGATGCAGCACTTTTCACAGGAAGCCATATACAGCTTTGTTGAGAGCTCTTCGTTGAAAGGCACTGGTCTGGAATCGGTGATCAAACGACAGAAGTTGGCGAAAATTGAATTGCCTTCAGATTTCGCCGAAATTGAAGGAGAATTCGCTGAAGAAGGAGTCGCGGCAGAAAGGTTTCAACTGGGTCGCTGGAACCACCAGGGATCGTCGACACAAGTGATAGTCGAGCATCACGAGTACGAAGACCAGCTTCGATCCGACGACTTGGACGAAGATGAGGTAGCCAAGCTGAAGCAACCCGTCAAGACACTTGCCTGGCTGCTTCAAAACTCGTCCTTCCGCGAAACAGGAAAGGAGCTGAGCGAAGAGCAGCCGGTAATTTACTCGCTGCAGTGTCTTGGATATAAGGACGATATAAAGGCGAAACGGATGACGTTTCTGTACAAACTACCCTCGCCTCCTGATGGAACCAGCTGGCGATATGATAGTGGAAACACACTGGCGACTCTACATACCCTAATTACCAAAGTCGATAAGAAGACCAAACGAGTGTTCAAGCCACCTCTTGCAGATCGATATAGTATTGCCAACTCGTTAGCATTGACAGTGTTAAACATTCACGGCTCGGCCTGGATTCACAAGAACATCTGGAGCCACGGAATCTTGCTGTTTCTTCAAGACAAGAACGGCAGCACATACCCCCTAGGCGCAACTACAGAAACATCAAGTTCCGCACCCATTGCAGCAACTACAAAAGACGGGGCAAAGCCCCGACTGCTCGCCTTCCTCGGCGATTGGGGCTACTCGCGCCGCATCGACGGCTTCACCGACATGAACGTCGACTTCGATATCGAAGCAAACCTATACCGCCATCCGGAACGCCAAGGAAAGCCAAAACGCCAGTTTTCCCGCATCCACGACATATACGCCCTGGGAGTGGTCCTTTTAGAAATAGGCCTCTGGCGCACCGTCTCCCAGCTCTTCGACAAGCAGATCAATGAAATTCGGCAGACGGCGGAGACGAAGCTGCTCAAGGCAAAGAATGTCACTGCTACGCTGACGGGGTTGGCGGAGAAGGAACTGCCAAAGGAGATGGGGGAGAGATATGCCTCTGCGGTTTTGGCTTGTTTGACGGGGGATTTTCATAAGGAGAGCGATGTGGATTTGTCGTTGGACATGAAGGAGAAGGTAGTTGATGTTACGGCGTTGGGGGTCAAGTTATAGAATACTGGCAAATATGAAATGAGACATGTACAATACTTTATTCTCAGAAAGAGTCACATCAATTTCTCCGAAATCGGCTTTGGCAGATGCAGAGCCGCATCGATGTACTCATACATTACGAGTACCTTGCAAAGAAATAGAGCTAATGCAAGTTCATATCCTATTTCGTCTTGCCGCATGAGACTCGCATGTGCTTGGTAGTACTGGTTACTCTGCCTCATGTGCTGCTTTCGTTGTTGATGTGCATGGGTTCATACACGCATGTATACAGTCTTACTCGCACGACCATTCTGAGCCTCTGGTACTATCTGCTTCACAGCAAATTTAACCCTCCCCAAGGCTTTGAGTTACAAAAGTCAGATAACTCCAATAAGTCGGATATACTCAAACTACATGTGGCTATAGTCGTAATGTATGGCTATTACTCATGGACAGCATCATCAGCCACACAGGGAGCAGAGTCCCAAAATGCTGAGATCTCAGTCGATCTGGGCCAAACATCCGACATCTCAGTCAATCTCGGCGAATCTTCTGCAATCTCAGTTAACCTAGGCGAATCAACCAGTCTAGTCGCATACATCACAAACAGCGGCGTCATCGAATCATCTGCCACAGCAGCAACAAATGACATCAAAAAGCACATCGCCAACAAAGCAGCCCTCAGCTCACCTTACAACCTCTTATCCCTCCTCGCCACAGCGCAAGACAAACAAGTCGACTTACTCCCCATAACATGGGACGAAGCGACCTCCGACCGCGGCGGCCAAGCCTCCATCAGCCAGTCCTTTTTCAACGAAAAGCTCAGCTACGTATTCAAGCGCCTCCACCGAAACTTCAAGTACCCAGCCGACGAGATCATCGCCCTCAGAGCTGTCATTTCGGAAATCGTCGTGCTGGGACACCCTGAGATTCGGGGTCATCCGAACATCGTGCGGCTAGTGGGCGTGTGCTTCGAGATTGACGCGCAGACAAAGATCCCGTGGCCTGTGTTGGTGCTGCAAAAGGCGGAGCATGGGGATTTGAAGAAGTTTATAGAGTCGCCGCGGGGGAAAGGGCTGAGTCTTCAAGAGAGGCTAGATTTGTGTATTGATGTAGCTGCTGCGATTACTCTTATGCATCGTGAAGGTAAAAGTCCCATTTCTTGTCATTGAATGGGTACATTAAGAGACTGATAATATCGTATTCTTAGGCATCATCCATGGAGATATCAAGCCAGAAAACGTCTTAATCTTTGCATCCGAAGCAGACAACAAGATCAACACAAGAGTCACAGACTTTGGATATTCCACTCTCCACGCCGGCAACTCATCAGAAGCGCAAATCAGACTCCCCTTCTCAGTACCGTGGAACGCTCCAGAGACAGTCGCAGACCGCGACCGTTTATTCTCTGTTCATGACGCAAAACTGACCGATATCTACTCTTTTGGGATGTTATGCACATGGGTGCTCTTTCACGACTCTTTGAGAAGCACGATGAGGTTGTCGAGCATGAAGAACAGTGGGCGGCTCATCCAGTCTATCCAAAATTGGATTCACAGAGTAGCTGGTCTTGACCCGCTTCAAAGGAAGAGTCTGTCGAATTTCTTCTCTTCTGCCATTGCGTTTGACCCGAAACATCGGCAATTGGATCTGCAGGAAGCAATGAAAGGCTTTGCTCAGCTTGTGTAAGTCATTATGGCCATTGTCTTCCCTCTCTGGAGAACGATGCACATGTCTACAAATCGCTTACAAAACCGCTTCGAGTGTGCCACCTCTGGAAAACAACGGCTTCAGCACTTACGAAATGTACATGCCATATCTCGGCGTGCTTCCTCACCACAAAGACTTTGACGTCGAAAAAGCCCAAACAGATCACTACGCCAAGTCTAGCTTCAGCTTATACGATGCCTATTTCCCACACGAGTCAGCATTTGCGGGGGAAATCAGCCCTAATTTCAACGTAAGCATCTCTTAGCAACGCCATGATAACTAATTTGCAATCCAAAAGAAAAGAAAAGTTATTCAGCATCCCAGTTCTGTTGTCCAGCTGGATAACTTCAGTACATGTATTGTAAGGTATATGTAGCTGAGGCTACTGCTGCTACTGCTGGACAACAGAACTGGGATGCTGGATAGCTTTTCCCAAGAGTAAGCAGTAGATTGATAGCTAAAATCATCACTTAGATCCCAAAAAGCTACAGACAGCTGATGGGGGCAGACTACCGGCTCTGGAGCCACATTTTCAGGCTAACCAAGGCCAAAGCGGAATCGTCATCCGAGGACTCGCGCCCTTTTGCCTTTCAGACGGCCTTTTGCTACGCCGTTGGGTTCGGCACGAATATGGACGAATCGGAAGCCAGGCTCTGGGTCCAGCGGAGCGGTAGAGCCTGGCACGATCTCAGGGCCGAGATCGAGTCGTGCAAGGCAGACCTGACGCCCCTGGTATATAAGAACCTCGAGACAGATTTTTCGCCAATGCGGTACGTGAATTACTACGAACAGATGGAGCAGCTGGCAGATGTGCTCGAGGTCTACAATGCTGCTGTGCATAATACGGCAATGGTCCTAGGCGATAGCCACCCAGTGTACTTGCATCTAAGCCAACTTCGGGAGCTGCTACTCCTTCGAAAGGGGGACTAGAATAAAGACCACCATGGCCATTTTTCCCCCATATAGTAGTTGTACTACTGTTGTGTGGAGGAATACTGGGTCTAGCCTGGAAGGATCTCGAGAACTGCGGCTATACAAGAGATTCCACTTGTACTAGCGACTCACTTCGCTTAGGCTGGGAGCACTGCAGATGTACAAGAGCCCGATACGAACACGAAGTCTGTTCAAGAGCCTCATGGTGCCAGTTGCTCCGAAGATTGTCATAAATCTCGAGAATGGGCGGCTCGGGCCAGAAGCTGGAGGGTGCGACCCATCCCGTGATGAAGGTGTTTTATCACTGCCCAATACTGTCCATCGAACATAGCTTCGGCACAAGACAAAGGGGGATTGGATGAATCAGCTCAGCATAGCAAAGCCTAATGACTTCCTTGCGCCCTGAAGTAACGGACGTTTCGGAGACTTTGGTTCCCATGCAAACCCTGTTCTTGCCAGCCAACTAGCAGTTGATTTGAAATCGAGAATGGTCCATCTGCATGTCGCCATCATGTACTTGAGTGATAAATCGTGGCGATGATGTCGCAGTGCATATCGTCTCCTGGGATTGATCAATAGGCAATGCAGGAAGTGCCATCGTCGCCGATAACATGGTGTGTTACACGAGACACTGAAAAGCACAAGCGGGAGGCATAAAGTAGCGCATTCGGGACGGTTGAAGCCTATAGCTTATGCCTGTGTTGTAAATTGGAGTTCCGTGAAGAGAGCACTAGCCACTCGACGTTCTCTTTTCTCTCCTCATTGATATACTCGTAAATGCTGATGCTGATGCTGATGCTGATGCTGATGCCGATGTCGATGTCGTTGATGGCGTTGATATCCAAGACACGTGCAGCGTCAAAAGAACCCAGTCAGATCAGAGCCCCTTGTACCATGATAGTGTGCCTGCTATTAAGACCCCGTGTGTGGCACAACATCGCGCGCGCGAAAGGATCAACGACAACAACACCAGCAGTGATAACAAACTCCTGAAAATTTAAACAAGGGCCAATGGGTCGTTTTTCACTCTTTCAGCTGCTGCAATTAGCCAGCGACCAAAGTTTCGGGGCGCCGTTTTGAGCTTGTGCAGCCGCCTAACGGAATGGCGGCGAGGGATCGAAACGCCTTCGCGGATGACGATTGCGCCATCCCGGCGGTGCCAGTAGCCAGCCGAAGCGTGTCTACAGTAAGTCGAGGCGTATCGAAGAAGCGCCATGGAACTATCAAGGGGCTAGCCAGGCCTAGGAGGTCGTTTGAGAAAAATCGCTACCAGAGATCGACAATCGAAAAAAAAAGAAAGGGCTCGACCCCATGGGCAGCAGGAGGACGGTTGACAGGGCTCCAGTTTAATAGATTAATCTCAAGAGTCGAGCCAAGTCTCTGTAGTGCTCGTGCTAGTTGCAATAGCAGCACACCCTTATTGCGGATGAGCGTTGGTGAGCGTTGGATGGGGTCGAAACGAACGGCTATCGAGCAAGTTTCTGCACGATTAGGGAGGTGACTTTGCAAGCTTCTGTCTCAGGCCTGCATCAAAGCATGTCTCTTTGTGGAAACTGGCGCAGCGGGATGGCAGAATTAGAGTTGCAGTCGCCCAGACTGAGCCGGCGCCAGGGTTAAGCCGTCTGGATGCTACCGGGAGCAGCAGAGTGGTGTAGCAAGGCATGACGACGTCGTATGTAAGGAATAATGGCTGCGTGTGTGCTGGGACATGCCATCCATCGCCGTCACAATCATCAGCTGAGGTCAGAGCATTCAGCCAAGGATTGGTCATTGCGCCGGTCTCGTATCATCCCTGGCCGAATTCTGCTGCTCAGCGGCTGTCGGAGATTCTTGCGGTGCTCATCGAGGATCGTCGCGGCTCCTGGAGCTGCTAGTCGGGAGTCGGAGCCGCGCTGTTGTGCTCCATGGCGTCGATGGCGAGATCATCTTCGGCTCCGGCCAGGTGTTCGCAATTAGTTGCGGCGTTCAATTGGCTTATGTCAGGTGCGCTAGGGAGCACGTGAGCAGCACGCAAGGAGGCAAAAGTCGAGTGGAAACAAGAGCTAGACCTGAGAATTTGTTAAGATTTTTTTTTTTCTTAATAAGATTTTTTCCTCTGTTTTTCTCTTTTCATTGGGGCTGCTGGACTTTTATGACTAAAGAGATCCTCCGCTACACTGTTTTAGTGGCAGACCTCTCCTCTGGCTGTCACCCATCATCGGGTCGTCGGGGTGGGGCTTCAGAAACTCCCTGGCTCTTGGCAGCGACCTGCCAGCGCTCCCATAGGCTCCCCGTAGTGCTTCCAGCGACCCTCTGTAGGGTTCTCCTCCTAGCGCCCCATCCGTTAAGCTTTAGCGACAACGCACGCTGCGCGATAACGCCATTTCGGCCCCATAGCACCCAAGCACTGCTACAGCTAGCGGACATTTACTACGAACCCTTCTGGCCACGGCCCTCCATTTAGAGTCTGCTGACTTTGCCGCGATCATTTTTCAGCGTCCCATTGTAAATCGATCTTCGCCGTCTTCTGCCAACCATCATCCCCTGCCTGGATCCTCCTCCATCTCTGCAGTGCCGAGCACCCTATCAAACCGTTCTCTCTCTGTCCAGCTGCAGCTTCGTGTCGTGTGAGAGACTACAACGGCTGCATAAACCTTCGATTCGTCGACTCTTCCAGATCGCCGCTTATTCACCCGCCCAGATACCGCCTCTGGCTTATTTCATCATCTTCACCACCACCAGCGCCACCAGCCAGAGCTTCTATTCGTTATCCGCGACCCTCAAATCCGACTCGATTGCCAACAGCCGTGTTCGTATCCTCGCCAAACCCACGGACCCCTTTCTCTCAAACGCTGTGAGCAGACGGGGGCCCTTCAGCCAGGACGCAACAGCACGCCTTGGGGGTGGTGTCTCATACATACCAAGCTCAAGCACGCAATCGCCTTTGCCTGGCAGCGCATGAGTCGCCTGGCCGCTCGCAATCCCAAGTAACCTTTGCGTCGTGCGATAAGGCCCTCACCGCATATTATAACCATGGAGTCCCTGTCAACAGCCGCCGGCCACGAGCCGAACTCCCTCTCCTCCACTCCATCTCGATCCCATTATGAGTCTACCTCAATGGCTACTGCAGCTGCCGCTGCCTCTCTGACATCAACAACACCTTCAGCGTCACCTTCGCCTGCCCTCTCGACCTCCACAGTGACAACACTGCCCTCAACGTCCATCTCCTTCTCTGACTCTGTGCCTGCCTCCAACCCTGCCTCCGCGTCTGCCCTTGCCTACCAGTCTTCTTCCCATCCGCCATCGAGAGACAACTGTGAGCGCCGCCGCGAGGGCGAGGAAGAAACGCCCTCCAAAGGCCTGATAAAGATGCCCTTCGATCTCGCCGGCAAGACTCTCAGTCCCTTCCTCAAAGAACACATCCCCGGCCTGTACGCCCCCGTCGGGAAGAATCTAAAGAAAGAGGCCAACACGAGTCCCAGTAATGAATTGGTAAACATCAAAGACCCCAACACCAAGTACTGCTACCGTCATCGTCCCGACTCCAAGTGTCGTCGGGCAGCGGACGAGACCAAGATGGGTACCATTCAACGGGTAAGTTGCCACTGGAACCGCTATAGCATCCCTGCTCAACCTGTCTGACATGTCACCTTACTAACCAATTTTCTCTTCTTGCCTTGTAGGAGCTCAACAACCTCCCATCTACCGATCAAGAGGCCATTACCCATGTTTGGTCCCTGTTCTCAGCCGCGCCCGCCAAGCATCGCGAACTCATGCTGCAGGGCATCATCACCCAATGCTGCTTTCCCCAGCTGTCGACCGTCTCCCGCGAAGTTCAAGAGCAGCTCAAGATCGACTTCATCGCCACACTGCCTGTAGAATTATCCTACAAGATCCTCTGCAACTTGGATACTGTTTCGCTATGCAAGGCCGCGCAGGTCAGCCGCCGCTGGCGAGACCTAGCCGATGACGACGTCGTCTGGCATCGAATGTGCGAACAACATATTGACCGAAAGTGCACAAAGTGTGGCTGGGGTCTGCCGCTATTGGAGCGGAAAAAACTCATGGCCTGGAACCGACATCAACATACCGCACATGCGAACCCACCCACGCGCAGTGCCGAGGATTCGGCTGAGCCAGCCGCAGCTCCCGCTGCCCAAGGCTCCAACAAGCGAGCCATGGTGGTCCGCGACGACAGCGGCGCCAAACGATCGCGAGTACGAGGTTCACCCGTCAACGGCCGAGCGCAACTCGATGAAGAGCGAAAGTTTCGACCCTGGAAGGACGTGTACCGGGACCGCTACAAAGTCGGATACAACTGGAAGACGGGACGGTGTTCTATCAGGACGTTCAAGGGCCACGAGAACGGCATCACCTGCCTGCAATTTGATCACAATATCCTGGCGACAGGGTCTTACGACACCACCATCAAGATCTGGAACGTCGAGACGGGAGAATGCATTCGCACCCTGCGTGGACATACTTCGACGATTAGGACTCTACAGTTTGACGAGGGCAAGCTAATTAGCGGAAGCTTTGACAAAACCATCAAGATCTGGAACTGGCATACTGGCGAGTGCATCAGCACTCTTCAGGGCCACACCGATGGCGTCTTGTCCATCCATTTCGATGGATGCAAGCTTGCTTCTGGATCCATCGACAAGACCGTCAAGATCTTCAATTTCGACACCAAGCAAACCTGGACTCTGCGTGGCCATTCCGACTGGGTCAACCACGTGCGCATCGATTCTGCATCCCGCACCGTATTTTCGGCTTCTGACGATCTCACCGTCAAGCTGTGGGATCTGGATTCAAAGCAATGCATCAAGACTTATCTGGGACACGTTGGACAGGTTCAGCAAATTTTGTTGATGCCTCCTGATTTTGAGCCGGATGAGGATCCTAACGCTGACGTGGGGGATGCTGCATCGGCAGCTAGTGGGCGAGGCGATTCGCCGATGCCTTTGCCAGAGCAGGCGCCCGATAGCCGTACTGCGTTTGGACCCGGCTTCTCAAACCCTTCTCGTCCTCTGCCTCCCCGTTACATGCTCACAGGCGGCCTCGACAACACCGTACGACTGTGGGATGTTGCCACGGGCAAATGCATTCGCAGCATGTTTGGCCATGTCGAAGGCATCTGGGGCCTTGTCGGGGATACCCTCCGCGTTGTCACTGGTGCTAACGACTCCATGACCAAGATCTGGGAGCCTCGCTCAGGCAAATGCGAGCGTAGCTTTACGGGCCATGCCGGCCCAGTGACCTGCGTTGGTCTTAGCGATAGCCGAATGGCAAGTGGTAGTGAAGACGGTGAGGTTCGTCTATACAGCTTCGAGGGCAATAGCTTGGAGGAAAGGGGAACACCATCATAAACATTTAACAACGCCAACTTTCCCAATCTCGCTATCAAGCTATAACGACCTTTGCCAGCAGTCGCTGTTGGTTTACACGTTTCTTCTTCTTTTGTTTTTGGCACTTGATACCATATCAACAACTGTCCTAATCATGATTCCATTCTGGTTGTGTTGAGTTGATATTTTTTCATCTTTTCTTCACTTTGTTTTATCTTATCTCCGTTCACAAAATTAGACGGACGGGTTTTGGTTTTTGGGAAACTGGGTTGCGCGGGCTGCGCATGGACACGATTTCTTTGTTACAAAATACAAAACATAGAGCGATTTCTTCTGATTTTGGGCTGGTAAAAACAGCAAAAGGGAAACAATTACCCTCGGTGGGTATTTACGGACTTGGCGTTTTGGGAGACACGATAGTATGGGAGTAGATGATGATTTTTTGCGGTATATAGTCTGTATCGGTACGCTTGCGGCCCAGATATTTTGTTAGGATGATTGGCATCTTGTCGAAAACAATGCACATGATTATGAATATCGCGATCTCTACCTCTGTGAATTTGTTTAGATCTTAATGAAGATTTGATATCAATTGGTTCCACTGTTAGTTATCAGCTTCACCTCCAACTTGGCTACTGGTTGTATCTGATAGGACTGTATGTCAATACAAGCTTTCAATCTGGATACCTCCTGCCTATCTCATAAAGTGGCAAGTTTATACCAACAAGGTCACATGACAGACAGCATCAATATCACCTTCTTCCTCCAAATTCCCTTCTCATCCCAAGATAAACTCTTTCCAACATGGGCCATCGCCAAAAGAATCCATCTCATCGCCTCTTCCAATAGACCCAATCGCCACTCTTTCATAATACTCCCCCCTTGCCTTTGGCTCTACTAGCATCACTCGGTACCGCCATTCATGATCATCTGCGTCCATATCCTTGCCACCCGCTGCTGTCACATCTCTGGCCTCGCATATCAACAAGAATTCCCTTTTACATGGCGCTGCATTCTCTTTAAGCCATGCCGTAGGCACCTCGATCAAGCCGAGCTCGTCTCCTGACTTGCCAATAATGCCAAGCTGCTTCCCTGCCGGCGGGAGTCCTTCCTCTGGCCATGGTGTTTTGGTCTCAGCAATCTCAAACTCGGCTGATACCGTCCAGAATTGCAGGTAGCCAGAATATGGCCGCGTGCTAATGACATCAAAGTAGTATTCCTTGGGTTCAAACTCGGTCAGAATACGTGGAGTCGGCTTTGTCTGAGAGCAATCAAAAGGGAACCGCTTTCGAATGGGTCCGCCATGGAAGTTTTGCCGGCTGTCTGCAGAGCCTCGCCCATGCTTGTGTACAAGGCTGCAGCGCGTGCTGTGAGGTCCGTGTCGATGGTACCAAACGATCCAGGTTCGATGTTTCAGGGCCTTACGGATGGCTTTCATATCGCCCGTGTACCAGCTCCACATACGAGGGAAAACGCCGCCCTGCCAGCCTGACCATGACCAGCTGGGGGCTTCCCCGCGGCGAGTTGGCTCGTTCTTGAGCGGAAGCGGCTGCCATAAGAGGAGCCAGTCAAAGTACTTGACTGCCAGGCCATGGCATATGTCGCAATTCAGCTGCATCCGAATCTGACGAGCAACGCCGGCAAAGGCGTTATAGATGTCGGACTGTTTTGTCAGCTGCATCTCTGAGTAGTTCTGTATCGGGCCTTCTACCCCATCGCCGATATCGTTGCCCTCTCCGGCGAAACTTGGTGGCCGTTTCGAGGAAATGACCGACTCATCGTCCCACGTGTCTTCCTGGAACGAGATGCCGGACGAACATTGAAGTGAGACTTGGCCATTGGCAAAGGTAAGCAGTCTGGTGGCGAAATGTCTTTCTTGATATCTAAACGAATGTCAGCCGCACATATGGATGAAGTAACAGTAGGACACTTACGTCCATCCTCTCTTGTAATAGGGAAAGCTCGCTATGCTATCTTGTGGCTTCTGGCGATAAGCAAGTCGAAACCCCGGCGCAATCTCCTCTATCGGCTGCTTCAACTCTCGGGTGCCGGGCCGAACCCCCGTTATGCCCGAGTGGGCGCTTCGACTGCCTGCGGCACAGATGACGATGTATGCGGCGCCATACACATAGTCCATCATACGAATAGCCCCCATCTTACCCGCCATAATGACCTCTTCTTCGCCAGTCATATTATCTATGTCAATGGGATCCTGGTAGATGCAGAGGCTATCCACCCAGAGATAGCGAATGCCAATCTCCCGTGCCACCATCATGGCATCCTGTATCGTGGCAGGGATCTGGCTCCATATCTCCTCCTGGTCGAACGCACCCGGCCTCTGGAGGACGGCGAGATTTTCGGATGTCATACAGAAGAACGGCTCCCTCCCCCAGACGTAGCTAAGCGCGGCATAGCGAGGATTGCCGCTAGCACGGACGAGGCAGCGGGCTTCAACGTCAATGAAGCGGAAGTCCGGAATTGCTCCCGCAGGATCAGTCCATCCCATCTGCTTCATATTCGCACGGTTCCCGCAAGCCTTGGAGTGATTGATTTCGCAAATGGCTAGCCAGCGCCGGACAACTTTAAAATCAATACATTCGGGTTGCATCGGCCGAGGGAGGAAGCGCTGTGCCTTGGCTGGAGCTTCGCTGGGGAAATCGTTTGCAAGGAGCGAGATGTCGGGGAAAAGATTCATCTCGTCGATGTCGAGAAACCCTCCTAAGCCGGTGCGTCCGTGTATCTGCAGAATACGAATTTCGCTGCGGCGATTCCACGGCATATTCTGGTCACTCGTGCCGGTGGTAGCCCAACTCATCTGAGCTTTAACTGGTGATCCATCGCTGGCAATGTTTGGCACCCGGTCTCCGCCCATAGCCAGCAGCACCAGTCTGCAAAAGGGGCAGTTTTTGCGTCGTCTCAAGTCCTTGACGTTGCCCAGCTCGATGAGCTTCGCATCAGGCCGTTCATAGCCACCGTAATCTGGATCTTTGGGCCATACTATGAAGCGATTCCTCTTCAACCTGAGGAGCGAGCAGTCATGGCAGAGCTCATCCCCGGGTTGCACATGCTCCGGGACATGAAGCAGGGGAAGGGGCGGTGGGATTTCGGCGAGCACAAGCTCATCATCGGCTGAAAGGTCGTCGAAGTCGCTCTCGGTCAACCAGCCTTCGTCCGGCGCCGAAGCATTATCGATATCGACTTTGTTGCCCGCCATCTTCTTTGGAGACGGTATCACTTCTGCCCTTATAACGCGGCTACTTGTTTCTCCCCGCGAGTTACTTCAAAAGACCCTTTCAGGCATTCCCTGGTGCATTTCATTTCTTCACACATTCTGTTACTGCGATAGACCTACAATTCATAAGGAGGTAGCGCAAGTCAGGCTATTGAATTGATTGACATGATAGATTTGCTGATACGGTTGTACATATCTCTATAATCTCAGTAGGTGCAGCTCTTCCCCGCACTCTCAGCTATCGTCAAATCAACAGACGCCAGACTGTTCGAGCTATCCCAATTAGTTCAAGAACGCCGAACAGGACGGAGCTGAACCTGCAAGCACTCAACAAGTCGGATCCTCCATTTTGAGGTTTGCACCGAGCAATTGACTGTCCCCTCTACTGTAGCTCGGACCGCAAACTTGGCCCCCAGACTTGGTTCGTCAGATTGCGGAAAGAAACAGAGTGGCGCGCTTATACTGAATTCATATACCAAAGTGGATTTGTGTGTCACTTTTGTTTCTTCCACCGCATGCCGGCATGAGGTTGTCACACGGAAGTCGTGTCGTTTCTGGCCAATAATAGAGAGACCGACTGCCACCCACTAGCTCACTACGAAGTTGTCAACGCATTCCTAGACAGAATGCTGGGCAACGTTAACATCAAGGTGGGGGCGGGTTTGTTCACAACCCATGATTGCTGACTAGATGCGAGCGCAATACTACTATAGTAATACGCATGACTGGAATAGGCCGACTTCGAGGCTCAAACTGGGGGGAAACTAGGCTAAATAGTAGCTGCAGCCCCTTTCCCCTGGCTTAATCCATCCGGCTTACACGATAGTCGCTGCTATTGATAGCCTATGCTTTTCTACCTCCATGGGTTTACAGAACGGGGCTACATTCATCCCGATCGATCCTATGTGGTAATTATATTCATCCCGAGCGGTTCAATTTTGGCTCTCTATGGGAATAAATGAAGATACTGGTGAAAATAATTACCGACATAATTACCGGCTCATATCCTACCGTCGGGGGCTTCTTCTGCGACTCCAAATCTTCTTCTTTTCTATCTTACTATTTTCCTTCTCTCTTTATTTTTTCTTAAAGTGGTGGTAAATTCAGGATCGTATTTCTTAAGAGATAATAGCAAACCATCTCAACTCCATGGATGCATCGACAGAAATGTCTCGTGCCTGGGCAAAGTACATAGAAATGCAAGCTTGCATAGCCCCCCATTGCGTACTTTGCACTCTAGAATTGAAAGCCGATGAGCCCATTCTTTTCAGTGAATTACTCTTCCCCCATTTAAGAGGCCAACTCTAACGAAGAACTTATAGCATCATCGAAAGAAGAACCGATTTCTCTCCAACAGGGTACATATTATCCATGCGTAATCAACAACTGCCAGCACATCGATGGGCTCTCGCTGGCTTGCCACTCAATCTGTGCAGCAGAGGGTTTGCCATCTTCAAAAACCTTGGAGGTGACCACTTGGGACCCAGGGTTTGAACTACCACTTGCACAATCGGCTGATCTCAAACGCCTTCTAGCATCTAAAAGGGCCTCAAGGCGCGACCTGGTGCGATCAACTTTGAAGACAAGAGAGAAGATAGTCGGGGCTTCAAGCGGCCAAGTGAAAACCTCCTTCCGTGTATGGGCAACATATGTGACATTACATGGCGAGACGTATGTCTCATCGCTAAGCAATAATCATGGAGATGACCTTGTTTACGATCTGGGGTCGAAATCAACAGAAGATGTTATCTATGTTAGACGAGGCCCTCTGGGCGTGAAGAGGATTGTGGTCGCCTGCTCAACAGAGACTCTGGAGATGGAGAATCATCCACTGGATTGGTGGCAAGTCCTGCCGCTGGTTGAAGACTCTATACTCCATTTCGAGTTTGATGTAAGTAAACATCGTGTGTCTCTTTATCAGCTGCAGTCTTGTTGATGCATGCTAACTACTAAGGGATTCAAACTACGCGATGTTCGAGAAGCCGAACGAGGGATCTGTCGACCGGCGTTATGGTCTGCCCCATTCTGTCGACGAGACCTCATCCGTTTCATTGTGTCACATTCATCGAAGCCATCTAGATTTAATCGCCTCAAGATCAATGACCCAGAAACGACAGGATACTCAGTAGCGTGGAACCCCTTTCACCTGGCGCTGAAGATTGCGAGGCACACGGCCACGGATGACTTGTCATGCTACGCCGAATTACCTCAAGACATGACGACATGGCTATATTTCCCTATGGGCCGAGGCGAGCTCCTCAAGGAGATTTGGCGTCGAGAGCATACACACTGTTGCCGAACAGAGATTGATTTGGTCCTGGTGACTACAGCTGGTCGCGTGCACGTACTGGGAAAGCACCCGATACCAGGCCATACATATGTTCATACACGTATCACTGCACTTCGAAACGAGCCAGATTATCTATACGTCGATGACTCTGCTGGGATACTCGAGCTGGCTCTCAATCCAGCGCCGCCAGAGATTGAAGACCCGTTTGGTAGCTTGAGCTTGCCGGTACCGACGTCCCAGTATCCAAAAGCCGCTTCTGCCGAAAGCTTTTTTTACACGTCTGCATCTCTCGATAACCTGGATTCCTTGGAGCCGTGTAATATCAATGGCGTCACCACCGGCGTGCTTTTACACTATGGCGACGGATCACGAGCAGTCGTAGGGCAAGTCAGATTGGACAGACTGAGCAATAAGCAACATGTGCCCCGCGACGCAACGATCCGATTTGTCGTCACTCGGAACGTAGCCCAATGCCCGAAAGTCCGCGGCGTTTTGGTATTGACGGCGGATATGCATGAGCAGATTCCTCCCGTGAATGTCGGATTGGAGTTGGAGGTTGCTTGTCGGGGGAGGTTGGAATGGTGGTATACTTTGAGGCAGTGCCAGCTTGCTTATGAGGGACGGACCAGTGCGTCAGTAGTATAGCCAGCGTTTGAAGATTGTGGGGTACTTGGCTTAGCATGTATCATGTTCGATATAACGAGTGCTTGATGCGATTTGGTGTTTTCTGCACAGATGAGATAAAGATTGGGTTTTGGTCGGTTGAGATTGAGTATTGTACAATGCAAATTGGGTATTGATCAATGCAAATTGAGTATTGGTCAATGCAGGTTGAATAGAGCGTCGGACTACAAAAGTAGGCGCCGCTGAAGGATCGCTGACGATATATTGGTAGCAAATCCTTCGGAATAAGTAGTTACATTTGCAATAACACAGGGGAGCCACGTGAGGTAAGCAGATTGTCCTACAGAACAGTTACTCTATTTTCCTAGCTATTAATAAGAGAGTTGTCGCTTCCATGTTGTCTGCTTAAATAGTTATGAATAGGCATATATACACAACCTCTCGCTTAGTGCAATGAGTCAAGCCATCTACACGCCTCCGATCAGCGTCCAAACAAAACGTCAAATGACTCCTCCCCTCCTTTTTTTCCCACTGCGGCTGACTCTCTCTGTCTCTCTCTCATTCTTGGCTCCTACTTGCAACTCCCCATGAGCCGAATTGCAAACGAACCTCGGCTCAAGACGGCAAATCAGCGGGTCAACCTAGGGGTGCCTCTCCCTACGAACTTTACCGCGCCTCCGATCCCTCCCGGCCTAGTTTCGATATTTCTGTTTGTAGCTTGTTGCTCTATTGCTGAACTTGTTCTTTGTCTTAGATAAGATTGCGAAAAAAGGATACCCACCCGGGGGGGTGTGCCGTCATCACCTGTGGCTCGGCACCCCGCATTATCACAAGCTCGGCCTGTGGTCGGTACGAGGGAAGGGACGAATAAGAATAACGTCACTTTTTTGTTTGTTTTTTTTGCACATGGGATGATGGTTCGGGTGTTGCACAATACCTACAGTACATTACATAGTAGAAGAACAAGAAATTATTGTAACTTTTGATCAATATTTTTTCTAAATAAAAAGTAATCCCTCTGAAGATAGTATGCATGACAATTGCTGCATGTGCTTGTGTACAACCCCTGTGCTAGTTACTGCCTCCGGCCACACGGAGCTCCTCCACACACAGATCGGACTGGCAGCCCCGGCCATTCAAGCCGAAATTCCTCCACCCGTCCGGCTATGGCCTTCTTCACCTACCAACTTACGTATGTACTCATCCCATGTCCAACGTATTACGGTACTGCTACCCCATAATTGATCGTACTGAAACCGAGCTGTATTCCAGTCCAGCTCCCATCAGCCTTTCAAAAGACGAAATGATTCCCACACCCCCTTCTCCTTTCCTTTCCGTAGCATGTGGGGGTACCCAGGGCTGAAAGGTGACTTCTCAAAGCCGCGGGCCAAAGCCAGATTCCCCATGTTTTTCGTTGTGTTTTCGCGGGGTCCCAGCGGCTTAAGCCTTTTACAAGTTTATTGGGCAAACAATACACACGTCTTACCAAAACCAGCCTATAATCATCTGCCCAGCACCAAAACCCCGGCTTTCCGGCCTGAAGGGGGGGCAAATCTATTCCAATAGACACAAAGTCTACCGAGCTGTGGCTCACGCTGTTCTTACCTTATTCAAACTGTTGATGGACATGGTGATTTGAGTCTTGTGATTGGGGCTGAACGGTCCAATGGCTGTGGCTTTCTCTTCCTATGTAGTAGTAGTTCCTACATTCTAGCTCCAAATCGGGCAAAAGGGGGGCGTGTGTAGAGAGAAAAAGCCATGATGCTGGCTGGGGGGCTAGAGAAGCCGGAATCATATGTCAAACTGGTGGCTGCTTTCTTTTTAAAGAAGCGTATATCGGCTCTTTTCTTTGGAGTATGACTCTTTCTTTTTGTGTTTGTTCCTCTTGTTTTCTTCCTTCTTCTTACCTCTCGTGTCAATTCCCTCTTCCTATTTCTCCTCACTGTCTCATTGCATCCCTCCTGCTATGCAACTCTCCCCTGCATTCTAAATCGCTTGATTGAATACCCGGCTCCTTGTGGTCCCCAAATCGCCTAGCTATCCCCATAGCTTCATATTTAAACAAATATAAGCTCGGCTCTTTCCGCGTGGTGGCACACGATATCCTCGGCAGCACAACAGTGGTGACTCACTAGAAAACTGAAAGCTATAAACAAAACAAAGAAGCATATTCCGGAGAGCAATCATTCCTAGAAGAGCTCATACATACTTCCTTTTAAATCCGAAGCACAGCCATCACAATGACAAGAGAGGGTTCAAAACAACCGCCTACGGCGGCGACAAACCTCATCGGTGCGTTATTGTCCTTTACTTTCTCTTCATATAATCAAATGAGTTGTCAATGTAACTAACATGCTTCGTTCCCATAGCTGGAGGTGGTGCCGGCATGATGGAAGCTCTCGCCTGCCACCCGTTAGGTACGTCCTAACCTCTTATACAAACTCACAATCCACAATAAACCATCATCATAATAACACCCACGCAGACACAATCAAAGTGCGCATGCAGCTCTCCCGTCGCGCGCGCATGCCTGGCGCCCCCCGCCGCGGCTTCATCAAAACCGGCGTCGAGGTCGTCAAGAAAGAAACCCCCCTCGCGCTCTACAAGGGCCTCGGCGCCGTCCTGACCGGCATCGTCCCCAAGATGGCCATCCGCTTCACCTCGTTTGAGTGGTACAAGCAGCTCCTCGCCGACAAGTCCACCGGCACTGTCTCCGGCCGGGGCACCTTCATGGCGGGTCTGGCGGCGGGCGTGACCGAGGCCGTGGCCGTCGTGACGCCCATGGAGGTCATCAAGATCCGGCTGCAGGCGCAGCACCACTCCATGGCCGACCCGCTGGATATTCCCAAGTACAGAAACGCGGCGCATGCGCTGTACACTGTCGTCAAGGAGGAGGGCGTTGGTGCGCTGTATCGCGGCGTTAGCTTGACGGCTCTGAGACAGGGATCGAACCAGGCTGTCAACTTCACGGCGTACTCGTACTTTAAGAACTGGCTCAAGGACTACCAGCCTCAGTATGCGGACGGCAACCTCCCCAGCTGGCAGACAACCATCATTGGTCTTGTCAGCGGCGCCATGGGTCCTCTCAGTAATGCTCCCATCGATACAATCAAGACTCGCCTGCAAAAGACACCCGCCGAGTTTGGCACCACTGCGTGGACAAGAATAACCACCATTACCAGCGACATGTTCAAGTATGTCTCTAAAGAAAGCTTGGATTGATGCAGAAAGCTAACATCTTTTTTCCACCAGACAAGAAGGTTTCCACGCCTTCTACAAGGGCATCACTCCTCGTATCATGCGAGTCGCCCCCGGCCAAGCCGTCACTTTCACCGTCTACGAGTACCTCAAGTCAAAATTAGAAAAGAGCAACTTGGCCTTTGTCGGCGGCAAATATGAGGAGTAAGAAAATGGCCTTGTTTGAGAGTCGATTGCATTTTTTTGCGATATACCCCTTTGCTTTTTCATTGATCGACCGAGATGAGAGGTCAAAGATAGTCTCTGACTGTAGCCTAGTTCTAGAAAAGAAATGAAACAGGGTCAGCCCTTGCATGCATAAGAAAGGATATTATGGTTTGTGAATAACGGTAATTATATGACGGCAATCATGTTTCGTTTTAGAGCTTTTATCTTGCACCCCCGGAATGCGGAGTTGGATCATGTACGTTCTGGGAGAAAGGAAAGGAATTGTTCCCAAGGGACTTTCAGTAAAAAAGCTGGATATATATCTTGTATAAAAAAGTATGGACAATGTTCTATTCAGGCTAGATCGTTCCGTTCGTGTGTGTCGTAACTCGTGAGGGCGTCTACCTGCCCGGGCGCTTGGGCCTGCTAAAGCCCGATGATACCACCTTCTTGGGATGGAGATCGTTGAGTACTTCCTCCTCGGTAAGCTCGCTGGGGTCTTCCACCTCAAACTTCTTCTCCAGGGTGATGCCAGCCTCTTGCTCGGCAATGGTGAGGACGGCACGCTTCATAAGAGGGTACAGCATCCTGCTCTTGATTGCCTTGTTTCCAGCCGTGGCGGGGCAAGTGTAAAAGAAGAGCACCGGGGTCTGCTCAGTTCCTTCGTGGGTGTGAGTGAACCGATAAAAGGTGAACCGTGGCTCGACTGGCGAGATGCTCTTAATGAGACTGGTGAGAGAGCTCGGATCCAATGAGTCAGTCGCCAGCTCGACTCTCTCGGTAGCTGCGTTGATTTTCTGCGTCACACATGATTAGTCTCTTGTTTAAACCACTTTCTCATATCTTCAAGGAGGCTTTACCAGTGTAGCTGCGGCCTTTTGCCCTTCAGCAACCTCCTTCATTGCCGCAATGGCATCCTCGTTTACCGGCATCGACAGGCTCTTGCTAAGGTGGATTTCTCGGATAGCTGTGCCAGACCCAGCCTCCTGCTCAGCTCTCTTCACGTCTCCCAGCGTCTTCTCCTCCTCAGTCAGGGGAGCCTCCAGTGCATTGTGTGCATCGTGGGCCTTGAACCCCTTTTCCGTCAACTCGTGGGCCATGGTCATGAACGGCGTCTCGCGGAAGTGCTCGGTGCCCAGTTCCCGCGTCAGCGTCAGACGCGTCGAGGCGAACAGCATCTTCTGGCGGACCTTGGCGGCGTCGGGCACGTACGTCACGGCAACGAACCTGGGCGAGTCTTCGTAGCGGCGGAGGATGGCATAGAGGGCGACATCGGGCTTGATGAAGGGCTCGAGCACAGAGAGGTTCTGTCCAAAGTCGGAAGACGTGCCCGGGATGGTCTGAACGGGCGTCAGGGTCTCGCGCTCAATGGTCACCAGCAGGGCAAAGTCGGACGGCGTCGCCAGCAGCGAGCTGAAGGCCTTCTGGAGCTCCTCGGAGGCTGTCTCGAGATTCTGCGGTCAGCACACCGCAAGGGGGAGGCCAGTTGGTCGGCCATTGCATTGTCACGGCATCCGTACCTGAGATTCCAGACTGCATGTTGGCCCGGTGCTCTTCAAAGATTGCAGTCTATAAGTAGTTTTCGGTTCAGGCCGGTCTGTTGCCTCGATCCGCTGATGAAGACTCCAAGTTTCGGGGTTCTGGCCAGAGCCCGACGACGCATCCAAGTCCAAGCTGCTGCCCCGCCACGGTTGCACAACCGCGAGAGCCCCTCCACACAGTGCCCCACCAGGTGGTGTGTGTCGATCCATATTCACAGCTACCCTACGAACAGGATTGTGAAGGTAAAATGATACTAGCCAACTACTGGGTAAAGCAAGTAGGTGTACAACAAAGTATATACATAGCAATGTCATTTCATTTATGAAACAGAGTTATTATATATCGAGGCATTCCCCGAAAATAGCCAACATGCTGGCCACAACCACAAACATCTGGGCAGGTATCCAAACATTAATCTACCTTGGGTGGTTGAGCACCTGGATTATGAATGAAATCATAATAAAAGTCACTTATGACTCGTGCACTATGCGGTCAAGAGAATAGTCAAATTGAATCAATTATTTTGCAGTCTTTCTTGTACAATATTGAGTGTGTGCGTAAGTCTTTACTGCACCTAGCTATCAACCACTGTACCAGCCGTCAATCAGCTTCCAAAAATCTCCCAAACACAATCCACTGAGATATTGCTCATTATTGAGCTCCTCCGGCTTATCAGCTTGACAAACAATAATTCGTAATATTTTACCAGATAATTGCTGCTGCCAGCAAGATGAATCCGCCACAGAGAGGAGGATTGGACCCAGAAGGAGAATCTGATGCCGGAACGTGAGAGGGAACCGGAGGATCACCCTCGGGTTTCTTGCTTGGCCACGGCCAGAGAGTGCTCTCGGGGGAAATGACAGGAGATTCATCTGGCCCTCCAGCAGGATCACAGTCATTCGCTGAATCAACACCACCAAGATGTGCACCAGGAGAGCCTGGAGCATTCCCACCAGAATAAGACTCTGGTTGAGGTGAAGCGCAATTGGCAGCAGGTGTCGCATTTGGAGCTTGTTGATTAGGGCTGGAGAATGTTTTGGGCTCCGGAGCATTGTCAGTTGGAGTAAGAGGTCCCTGGGAGCCCTGGGGATCTTGGGGGCCCTGAGAAGGCGTGCTCAAGCCAGTATTGCTCTCAGTAGCGCATGGTGATTCTTGAGGACTCTGAGAGGCGGGAGCGCCAAGAGTTGGATTCACTGATGCTGCTGGATCTCCAGATGCAGGACCAACGAAAGATGTTGGAACTCCTGGTGCTGGCCCTTCTGGCGTGATTCTCTGAGGCTGCCACGGCTCTCCAACTGACGAGACGTCGGTAGATGTACAAGAAGTATCAGCCACCGCGACAGAAGATTGAATGCTTGTTGGGTTTCCATATGCTGGCGCCTGGCTAGGTGTAACTCGTGTGTAGACGTTGGCAATGATAGGTGCATTCTCTGGGCAGATGCTCCCACACATGCCGAGAGTGCTGTCTCCCGCGCAGGGATAGTCACACTTTGACTCGTCGGCTGGTTGAACACCATTCGCATCATCTCCACATCGGCAGGAACTGTAAGATTCGGTTAGAGGCCTAGAATTTGAATCAGAATGGCCTTGAAACTTACTCAGGAAGAAGAGCGGCGAATTGGTGACCTTGGCAGGCATGTTGGCACGCTTCAGGAGTCAGGCGGCTGTCAGAAAACACAAGCGCATTTCCGAAGCAAGACGGGTCGATCGAAGAGCAGCCTTGGTACGAGAATGAGCCGTAGCTGTGCAAATTCTGGCAAAAAGCACCAGTGGCACCGATAATGGCGAGTAGAAAGATGCCTATCATCTTGTTGATAGGAGGGAGCGGCCGAGTGTAGGATTTGGACTCTGACACTGACAAGGACAGAACAACGAGAGACACAGTTGGAATAATGAACGATGGGTGCAGATTGATACGGACAGAAAAGAGTAAGGTAGGAAGAAAAGAAAAGAAGTTTTGGACGAGTTTGGGAAACTTTTGGGCGTGAAGGTGGAAATGGAAGTCAGTGCAGAGGGAAGGAGCGCAGGCACTGGGAGGCAGGTGCTGTCTCTCCTTCCTGTAACACCAAATGATCATCTCGAGTGCCGAGAATTAGCGACAAGATTGAGATTCAGTGGAATAATTGGAACGAGTAAGAACAAATATATTAGGCAGGAACTCCTGTTTTCTTTATCCTCGCGAGGTCTTCATTGCGGTTGCGTTTGGCATCTCCTATGGTGAGCCGATTAGCAAGGTGACATCAACTTCGTTGCATGTTTGGCGAGAAAGCTGTAATGGTATGAATGAAATGTAGAATTTTCAACCAACGTACTAGATGTCTTATGATATTGTCCTGGAACATGCTGCAAGAGTTGATGTTCTACTCTTAATGTGGAATTGTCTGATTGAGTGCAAGAATACTTTCACATCTGAAGCACAGCCCTCTGCATAATACACCTAGCAGCATATAAGCTAATTTGCTACCTTTTTTTCGGCAAAGAATCACTGAGTAAAAGCAAAGCAAATCTATTGAGCCATTACAATCTACATCAATGCCTCGATTTTCGATTTGAAAGGCCTCAACATCTCGAAATCTTGAGAGGCTTCACGGGATTGGCCAAGAATCCGCGTCTCTAATTGACGGACCCACAGTACCTTATCCAGTGGATTAGGCCCATATTTAGTTATCGCCTCAGGCCAAAGCAGCCTGCTAGCCCTTGCAAGCGCACAAACGTGAGCAGAGGGCACGAAAACCCCAATTTAGCGAACCCATTTTCCAAGTGCGCCAAAGTTTACCATACCAGGCCCCTTCGATTTTTCAGTCTGCTACTATCACGATCAACTCATCCCAACCCACCGTTGAGCAACCACAGCCAAGATGAGCGCCATCAACAAGATCGCCGCCAACAGCCCCTCGAGGCAGAACCCCTCCGAGCTTGAGCAGAACATTGCTCAGGCTCTGTTCGATCTCGAGAGCAACACTGCCGACCTCAAGGTTGCCCTGCGACCTCTGCAGATCGTCTCTGCCCGTGAGGTGAGAATGACTTGAATGAAAAAGAAACAGCTAGAGACCGAACATTCTTCGACATCCTGTTCCCAAAGCTCTCTACGAATGGCTTCGACGTACGATTGGGCGCGTTCCCTCCCTCGCAGAGAAGGATATATGTTGTATGAATTACCGATTCGACAGAATTGAGTCGTTCGACAACCCTCTCTCCGCGAAAGCAAAAATATTTTTGGAGGGACGCGCCGTCTGGCCTGAGTACTATTGACTTCTGTGGAGCAGGACGGGAAGCGGTCCAAGGCATTAAACTGTCCTGGAGCTCGCATGCTGACTTTGGGATCTTGATTAGATCGAAGTTGGCCACGGCAAGAAGGCTATTGTCATCTTTGTCCCCGTCCCTTCCCTGCAGGGCTTCCACCGTGTTCAGCAGCGGTAAGCAAAACAATTCTCATACCCCAAGGCAGCCAACTAGAGACTAATTCCCATCTGCAGCCTGACCCGTGAGCTCGAGAAGAAGTTCTCCGACCGCCACGTCCTCATCCTGGCTTCTCGCCGCATCCTTCCCCGCCCCAAGCGCTCTGCCCGCTCCCGCAACACCCAGAAGCAGAAGCGTCCCCGTTCCCGCACCCTGACCGCCGTCCACGACGCCATCCTGGCTGACCTCACCTACCCCGTCGAGATCGTCGGCAAGCGCATCCGCACCAAGGAGGACGGCAGCAAGCTCCTCAAGGTCATCCTCGACGAGAAGGAGCGTGGTGGCGTTGATTACAGACTCGACACCTACTCTGAGGTTTACCGAAGACTCACTGGCCGCAACGTCAACTTCGAGTTCCCCCAGACTAGCGCCTCTGAGTTCTAAATTAGTTAGAGGAGAAAAAGAAAATTTTAATCGGCATTTCTAAACTTGTCAATGGGAAGCCCTTGGGAAACAAGGCAGTTAAAAATGCGTTGCTCTGTTTATAAAGCATCGGTGGGTTGGTCAACATTTGGGCATGGCGTCTGATATCAAGGTAGCTTTTGTTTTTTCTTCAAATGATATAAAAGCTGCTGGCATGATTTGATCAATTCACTTATCGCTTCCTCTTCCCTAAATTTTGTGCTCTATCTTGGTCTTTGTCTATCTTCGGTGTCTATCGCTGTAAAACAAGTCGTCGTCCATCAATCTCGACTGATGCGCCCGACCCCCAGCACGCACCAATATGCCAATTCTCGCTTCTCCCTCGTCTCCTTGTTGTCCTTGCTAGGACGGTCGTCCATGTCAGCTTGCGTATCAGCCTCCCATTCCATGCGCACAAACATGGGTATTTCAAGAATATCTTCGCCGCTCTTGAGCGGGCTGGTATCAATCTTCTCATTGCCCTTCCTAGGCAGATGGTCGATTCGTAGAGAAGCCGGGATGACTTCCAGCACGATGCTCACCCAGTTTCGCCCCTTTTCCCAAATCTTGCCCACTTCAGGACCTTCATCCGCCTTGCGGCTCCTGTCCTTTTCGTCGTCCTTGAGCGCATCATCCCACATGTCGGTGTTGGCGTCGACCTCAAACTGTGGGCACAACACCGTAACTCTGCTGGAGAAACGGCCAGGGGTTGCATTTGGCGAGGCCAGCGTGACTTTGATGTTGTCAAAGAGGGGATTCTTAAAAGTAACAACAAAGTGGTACGGCTGATGCGGCTTCAATGGCGCTTCTTCCTTGACCATGGGCCTGTATGTGACGGGTGCAGGCGCAGCGGTTGGATTAAGCGGCCGGATGGTGATTGTGGGTATGTACGATTTGGCAACTAGACGAATCTTGAATCTCGTAGACGTGACTTTTGCCTCTGGCTTTGATATGATGTGGCGACACGCCGGGCAACGTTTTGACCGCTTGCTGCGAAGCAGGTATGCAATCGGCCGGAGTTCGTCCTCAAATTGTATAGGCTCTGTCTGCTCCTTTCGCTGTTCCAGTGAAGCTGTAGCGTCCCATCCTCCGCTGATGAGCTTCTTGATCTCCTTTGACTCATCTAAGTTGGCGATTTTCAAGCCGTCGTTAGTACCGAGTGCCTCGCGCATGATATCCGCAGGACCTTGCTGCAAGCGACCCTGGTGACCCCGGCCGGTATACAAGGACATGATGCGAGTCAGAGCAGCCGGAGACGAAAATCCAAGTCCATCATGTAGTGGCAGCCCGCGTATTGAGGTGTTTGTTTCCGAGAGCCGGCTCTGGTAAAACGCCTTGAGGTTGGCAAACTGCAAATCGGCATCGACCTGGTCGTCGGGCACGGGTGGCTCATCTGGATTATCTTTTCGACGGTCCTTGACGTCCCGTAGCGTGAGCTTTGGCTTGCCTCCGTTGTTGATCTTGGAGAGCTGGTTGTATATGCCACTAGGGCGATCGAACTCGATGCCAATCTCGGTCGAAGTCCAGTTGCAGTACTGGCAAAAGAGCGCGTACGGCCCCCCCGTGGGATTGGTCTGATACTGCGTGGGCAAAAGGTTCGCATCTGTGGTGGGTTGAATGGCGCCGACTTGGAGCGGGCCGATGCATACTGGACACTGATAGCAACTTCGCGTACATCTGGACCAAACAGCAATCAGTTTTTGATCATGACAAATCTTCGTTCGCGACGAAAGGGGCCATGCTTTACCTGTTACCTTCGCTGCGCAGATTGCTGCTAGGCACCTCAAAGAGGCAATTGGGGCAGTAATAAGTGACAGACTCTTCTGTCACGCATCTTGGACATCGAATCTGCTGGCAGTCTTCGCAGTAGAGGAGATACTCGAGAGGATATAGGCTGTAATTTGATCGCGGGGCTTTGGGGTCAAAGGTTCGCTCGTCCTCCTCAGCATTGCCGGAACTGAGTACAGTCTGATCCGAGCATGGGCACTGGATGTATGTGTAGGGAGTCGAAAGCGACATTGTTCTCGTTCGCTACATCTCCGTTGGTTCGATTCCACGAGTGCAGGTGGGCATCGCTAGCCGTTGCTCTCACCCACAGCAAAACCTCGGTGAAGAGCTCCCACCTCGAGCAAGGTGAGCTCGGTAAAGCTCCATTTCCACGTGATCCACTGCTGCTTATCAGATCGCCGACCGACCGCTTATGTAAGTACCTTTCTAACCAATCATTTTCGGTACGTCCCTCGTATTTGTTCCCCGCTTTCTCTTTTGCAGATGCGCCCCGGATTCTGGATGATCGTCTTGGCCAGAGCTCTCACAGCGGGCGATCGATATATTGCAATGACGCTGACATGATAAGCAGACGTACATCTTCGATTGACATGCGCACGCTGAAATTTCGGCAGTGGCGGATCGGCAGGTCTTTGCTCGTGGGCGCTACCATACGAAGGGCGAGACGGAGCCGGCCGCTTTCGTTTGATGCTTGCAGCGCTTTCAGAGCAGATCAAGCCTTTTTACTTTATCGCCGGATTACTTTCTGTGGCAATTTGTTCAATCAAAAGTCTACTTTTTATCTTTCACTATCATAATTAATTTTTTCACATCCGTGGTTGGGTTTGGTCAAGATCGACTCTCCGTACTCGCTCTCGTGTAAGCCAGTCGGCCGACGCCTTTCGCTGAACCGTGATAGACGACTTGGAACCCCCTTTTTTCCATATGGCTTCGCAAGCTATACGAAGACACAGTGTAATTTCTAATTGTTAAGGCACAATTACTCCGTCATGTGCCACTCTGTAGCAACCCTAATTATTGTTGTTGCCTCTTCTGCAAGCTTGTTATGCGGCTAATGAAGGCAGCTAAATTGTAATAACACTTCGTATGAAGCATTATGGTTCCAGACTATAAGGTGAACTGCCACTAGTGCTGTGATGTCAGTTGCGTTTGCTGTCTCTCACTTGCTATGGTTGGTGGCTCTACTAGGCCGTGTCTTAGAATGCAATTGCGGCCAACAATATATACGAGTATGCTGCCGCCAGGTTTTGTCGGTGAAGTTTCAAGTGCTTTCATATGTCTCATGAAGATACTAAACCAGCACGTTGCGTGGCTAGGAAAATCTTCTACAGCTTTTCTACTTTAGGAGATGTAAGCGGGGGGGATGAGAAGTCTGTCTCTGGAGGCGTGTTGGTTACTCGTACGGATCGTTGTGCCACCACGCCTCTTGGTCAAGTCAGGCCAGGAACAAAAAGATAAGGAAGGCACGGGAAGAACAGGAGTAATCAGGAACAGCGGCTTGCTGCTCGTATTTAGCCTTTGGCTTCAGCTGGGCTGAGTGAGCACACAAAATCACTATTTTACGAGCGTACGTAAGGCTGACAAAATAGATGGGCAAAAAGAAAGTCAATGGGCTTTTGTACTAGGAATCTTCCTTGCCGAGCGTAGCTTGAGTGGAAACTGCCTGTTGTTAAACGTTTAATCGGTGCGATACAATGTGGAGATGTGTCTTGGATTCTTTGCCTAGTTGCCCAGGCATAAGGGAAAAAAAGCAAGACTGAGACTAACTGTGGACGAACAGCAGGACCCAGCAGCGTCTCACATGCTGTAAAACCAACCACCTGGATAGAAGGGAGAGGTGAGGGGAAAGAGGATAATATGGAAACAAAGCAGCATTTGAACGCTTTTCCTATCGGCGGTTTTCTTAAATCGCCATATGCTGCTGATTTCGGCCACCAACCCGCTGCCAGCCTAGGGCTCTTTTATTGGGGGCGATGCAGGTAACGCAATTCTGGCAGTCAATGATGCTGGCTGTCCGCACAACGTCGGGCGTGTTTTGGCGCATCGGATCTGAGATGGCCGCAGCCCGCAGTCCGCCAGAGCCGCCCAAGTGGGGATACAGCTGGGGTGGTGAATATCGCGGATCCCTGTCCGATGGAGATGGAGAGAGACGAGAGACTTGGACGGCATGGCATGATGATACTCATCACTTTTCTGCTTCGGCCCACTCCCGGGCGCTTCTTCAAGGATCGGCCACGAAGAGACAGGGAATTGTCGCCAGGATGGTATTCCAGCCGTTCGGAAGAAATAGAGGATTTTGTGAAAAATAGCCGAAGGAAAATCTGATGCGCCCTGGAGCGATAGTCAGGAACACACACCGCATCGGCGTCGTCGTGTAAGCTACTGCGAATAGGGAAACGAGACATGTAACAGGTCCAGTTCCACCAGCATGGCTGCGGCAAGCCCGCGAGCTTCTTGCGACTGTGTACAAGTACAAGTAATTGCCATTGCTGAGCTTCCTCTCAGCTTGTCAATAGCGTGAGTGACGTGGATGCATCTCGTTTGTGTCTTGTGAAAGCGGGCTTGCGGGAGAGAGTGCGAAGGATCCCTGGCGTCATTGTCGTTGCAGCTACAGTACATGTACCCAACCAAGGCTTGACTGTAGCATGCGCAGATATGCCACGGCATGTGCATAATGGGACATGATGGGTGAGCACTGCGTGGTGGCGGGACCCAGACCAAAATCTGGTTTTTTTTCCTTCTTCCCTCGTGGTCAGACTGGCCTGGCCGGTCGCGGCCTTGTCGATATTATGCATCCGGAGGTTGGGCCATGGCCGTTGAGCAGGCTCGCTTCTCCGCCTAAAGAGGGGAAGAAGAGATGGATTTAATCAATTCTGCTGTCGAGGGCAGGGATCATATACTATGTACAGTAGCATTCGACGCTGCTGTCTAAATCAATTACTCATAGGTGTTGGTGCTGAGTCCATTTTCGTTTCTTCCTGCTTCTCTCGACTTTTTTTTTTCCCTCCATCGTGGCCTAGCCGAAGTGGAGTGAAGTCATGCATTTCGACCACATCAGACTCCATGTCGCTGCCAGCTCACCACCGCCTCGTGGGCGCTGCAGAGCCACTGAGCGGCTGGCGGACCCCTGCAAGCGACGAACGCTTAGCATGCGACAGCGCCCCTCCACTTCCAAAAGCTGTGAAAGACGCCTGGCTTGGCTTTTTGCAGACCAGAAAGACGGCGATGCCATCCCTGCGCTTCTGCATGTGCTCTGGCGCCTGTACTTATTGGCTGCGCTGCGCACAGCAACAGCTCAAGGTACACTGCCTGACTGCTAATCTTAGCAATTGGGCTATAATAGTGCCAAGGCGCACCGGCACTGTTTTACTTGCAGGTGTCTACGCTGCTTGTAGAAGACGCTTGTAGATCTACATCTAATCTGCCTGGCGCTATCCGTACGTGTAGAGTAATCTGTCCATTCAATGGTTGAGTGTATTTAGATGGTCGCGGTGGTGGCAATGTCCGTAGTTCCGTGGCCTGTAATGGGTACATCATGATATTACATGCGAGGGATCGAATTGTTACCAGCACCCGGCGCTGATGCAAAATACAGGGGCCGCATCCTTGCAGATTTTTGGCTGCTGGCCTAAGCTCCTGGCTGCTAGGGGAAAAGGAAAAATTGCAATGCACTAATTCTGGGCTAAGCACCGGGCTAAGAGCAATTGCCTTTTCAGCTCCCGAGAACAAGAAGAGCTACGAAAACGTCGTCCAGACCTCTGGGCCTGGCACCTTTTCTTCCTCTCCTCTGCTTTATACTTTGCTGACCTCTGCCACCGAAACGCCCCTCCCGGCTCGTGTGAGCCCCTTTCCACCACTCGCGAGGCAACGATGGCTCTGGACCAGTGACCGATTCTATGGCCGCTTTCGACTGCGAACCCGTACTGCCGTGATACCGCCATCGAGTCGACGGGCGCCCAGCAAGCTTCAAGCCTTGCAGGAACCACACGCCGGCCGTGCAACACGAGAGCGGGCTCGCCATATTAGCCTGTGACGTCTCGGCATTGGCCTCTGCGTGATTCGTTACTTGACGTCGACTGGCTGCCGGCCTGGCCTCTGTTTTACCTTTGGATCCTGCTTGGGAGGGCTGGCATGGTGTGAAGGACGCAAGACGAGGAGCATTTTAGACTTTTCTTCTTCTCTTTTTGTTTGCTGTGGTGGATGCTGCAGCCTGCATATATCAATCTTATATACACAGGGTATATATACTAACTTGACGCCGGGTGGCCTGTCTCATATCATTGGAAGCTATCCCGCCCCCCTTGCCCAGCAGTCTCCCTCACCAAAACGCCGGTCCTTTGCGGGCTTCGTTTGCTGCACTCCACTCCTGTGTGTGTGAATAGCTCGTCTGCCGCCTCTGATGGCCGGCCCGAGGGCGAGATCAAACAGCGTCCGCAGGGCTCGCGGACTTTCCATTGGAGAGGATGGCAAGGTCGTGCCGCTTAAGCGATGGGACGGCGCCAGCAGGACGTGCAGGGACTGGGATGGCCTACGAAGGGTGAGTCGAGACTGATAATGACAGCGAGGCCTGATTTTGAACACGAGGCTAGCGCCCAATTGCGTCTTGGTAGCATTCATCTGACTCTATGGTGTTGCTTATAGGACTCGGATATCTGGGAGAGGAACGGCAACTGCCTCATCCACTTATACGCCAAGGGCGATTCAAAGCGTGGGCCGTCTTTCAAGCTGCCATTTGCCGCTTTGCTCTCGGCTGGCTGCTTGCCTCTTGTCGAGAAATTTCTAGTTCTCGAGGGCATCGCATCCAATACGGCGCAGGAGATTGAGCGGTGGGATCAGCTGCATCCTAGGTCGACAGCTGAGCTGTATATACCGGCCCCGCTCAATGCCACTGATAAGCAGGCGAAGCAATATCACCTAGCCATACGAAATCTTTGCGCATGGATTCTGGGGAGACCGATGGTGGGCCGGCACTTGGGCAGCACCCTCGTTGCGCTCCTTCACTCTATGCGCGAGTTCCGATCCTCGTCAGGAAGCAACGTCGATGACTTGTTAAAGTATATGCGCCAGGCGCAGTACCTCGACATGGTTGGAGCGCCTACTCACGCAACGGCGGCCCTTTACGTAGCGGAGACATTTCAGCTTGGCAGTTTGTATAAACGGGCTTTTGCTCACTGCGTTGGCATGCATGACCGCCTCTTCTACAACTCGGAATACCAGGTAAGGAACGATACGCCCAGAGGTTGGGCATTAACCCACATATTTTACTTCTCTCTCCTGCTTGGTTTACTGGTCATGCAATAAGTGTACAACCCATGCTAATTTCATCTCATGAAACAGCTCATCAGTGCGATATCGCGATCGCTCGTCCGCAGAGCACGTCTGGAGATGAACGCAATGCTTCAGCAGACAACCACCAGACTCCGGAGCTTCCTCGACGAAGAATTATCTGAGACAAACTTGGGCATTCCAGCTGCCACTCGCGCCCACCTGGAGCGGTTTCGAAGCTTTCTGATGTCCTTTTATTCGGCCAAGTTCGGCTACTATCCTCCTATGGCTTTTGACTCTGGCCTGCTTAATACCATGGCGAATGATTTCGATGCGTTGTACGAGCTATTGGTGGACAACAACTATACTGCATCGGACAGCATACCCTCCACAGCAGTGGGTGGCATCTGCACTGAGCAGCTTGTCCAAACCTTTGATGAGACCAACCACTTTGAGCCTCTACCGCACCCTCTACCCCAGCTGCCTCAAGTGGAGACTTCTACTGATGGGCTGCGTCTCCTGTCCAAGATCCCTTTCCTAGAAAAGGTAGCTCCAGAGCAGCAACAAATCACGATTGCAGCTCTGATTACGGCATCCAACTGGACGGAAAAATGCTTCAAGAATGATCTCGTACAGGCGTACCGCAGGTTCGAAGAGGCCATTATCCTTTCCCCTACCAAGGCCGATAAGAACGAAAAGATCTCCCTACTGGAGGCGCGCAAAGTACGATGGGTTCTGATCTACGCGGTGCACCAAGTTCTCCGCCGTGCAACGCGAAAACCAATAGAAGTGGATGGTGAGGACGCGCCGTACCACCTTACAGCCTCGATGAGCTGCGTCCCTCCATGGTCATCGGCACCTCGTGATTCAAAGAAGTCCTTACGCATTCAAACCGACATTATTGCTATCGATGAAAACGCGCCCAAGCGAACCATCAAGATTCAAGAGACGGCAGTCGGCAGGATAGAGATCAAGCCCGACATTGACTATTTCGCCTTGACGCACAAGAACCGCAATTCATCCTTATCCACCATGTCTGATAGCCCATCGCCCACCACCTTGTCCCGCTCAAGCTCATTTACTATGAGCCTGCGGCGCAATTCGACTATCCGCAGGTCACTGAGGATCTTGAGGAGGAGCTCCATGTCGTCGGGATCACAAGCGTCAATGACGCCGCCTGGGAAGCCATTGTACCACGAGATTGTTGTACAGGGCTATGGCAACGGAACACAAACAGTTACCGTGGAGGCGGACGAGGAGGGGCTGACGATGAAGGGCAATCTGGCGGGTCGCAGCGACTCGACGGCATCCACACAGTCGAATTCGAGCTCCAGCACCACGGCCTCGTCAATTCCCGAGAGCATGAGCAGCACGATCGACACGCTCTCCTCGAGTGTGTTGTCCAGCCCAGCCACGCCTACGTCCGATGCGGTGTTGGAGCTTGAGCTTATGCTCGCCCGCTGGGGTCCACAAGACAAGGCGCCGGTAAGAATGGGGCTGCCGCGTTCGGTCTCAGCCAGCGCCCTTTCCGGCGACGTGGAAAACTTGGCGGCGGGGCTCCACTACTACCCAGAAGCCTTGCCCGAAGCCCCCTTGAACAGAAAAGAGGATATCAAAAGAAAAAGAAGGAGTTTAGAGCCCGCACGGTCGGCGCCGGCGCCTGCCGCCCTGCAGCGACGCTACACCATGCTTGGAGACCTTCGACGGAAAAATTTTGGGTTCGAGACCAGGCCCATCTCCGTCCGCATTCGCGAAAATCGCATTACCGAGGAAACGTGGACTCCCAGCCGGAGAGATTCAGATGATTGGTCCATGATGCTGGCGTTTATGGACGGGACTGATACTAAAGACGCTACAACAACTAATCAAAATGACGCCTGGGCACAATATTCAGATCTTGGAGGACTTACCGATATAAGTTAGTATATAGACATGCCCAAGGTTTGGGGCGTAATGCGCAATATGACTCGGAGGAGGACACATACCAAAGAGAGGGAAAAACGGACACGACATTTTCCAAGGAGGAAAAGCAAATTTTTTTGGCATTTCATTGTTTTCATGTTTTGTTTTTATGGCTTGGTTGATACCCTGTGTCGGCTGACACGTTTACGATACCATTTTCTCCGGCGGTCATTCATTACTGGTGTATTGGACATTCTTTCTGTTTTACAAAGTCCTGGGATATGGTATAAATCGGGATACATGCTTAGGTATACAAGAGGAGTCGCCCTCTTAGACTGGACGCTTGAATATTTATTTTGTAAGAGCTAGTATCTGAAATAGCAAGTTGAGCATTGTTTTTTTATTTTTGTTTTCATTTCTTCGTGCGAATTGCTTTGCGGGTATAGTGCCTACAGACAGAATTCATAAATGCATATCTATATACACACCTTTTGTATGTATATTTATACAGATACATACACGTGCAACTTGGCCTCTTGCCAACTCCTTGGCTCCTCACACTGCTGGAAGATTGAGCGAATATTCAATACTGCCCGTATCCTAGACACAGTCTTTGAAGTCCTCCGTTCGGTTTGATTCGCCGCTTTTAGTCTCTCTTTGAGCGTGAAGTAGAATTGAGCGAGTCGATGAGGTCGGCGCCGATGGACCAGATCATGTAAGTTGGGCCGACGAGCCAAGCACCGCTGTTTCCCAAATTAGCACTTTATTATTCATCATTTATTTATTTTCCCCTTTTTGGTTCATAATTGAGATTGATGTTGAGGAGAAAAAGATGGACGCACTTGGGAATGATCCAGAGGAGAATGAGGTCGTTGAGCGGGTTGTGGCCGATGTTGTCAAAGCCGCTGTAGTATTCGTTTGCCCCTATAATTCGTCCAATTGGCGCTTGTTAGTACGCGTTTTTAAACATGCCATGTCAATTGAAAGAAAAAAACAAGGGTTCATAATTTTGACTTACAATACAGAATCGTCTTACTGAGCGTCATGACAGCAGCGGCGTAGCCAAACAGCGTAGCCCTTGCACCGCCTCTGCCAGCCAGCACTCTGGAACCCCCATCGGTAGTCTTGCTGCTAAACAGCCACGCGGCGATATAGTACAGATACATGAGCGTCTCGGCGGCATTGAGCAGGCCCTGGGCGCTGGTGAAGCCGTTGCCGGCGTTGAAGGCCTTCCAGCCGTAGATGTGGTCGACCTCGCCGTAGAGCTTGTAGGGCGCCCAGACGGGCCAGTGGAGGGAGCCGCCGGGCATGGACAGCGGGCGCAGGAGGACGTAGCCCGTGTCCCAGATGACGAGGGGCAGGGAGATGGCGAGCCAGACGAGGGTGGCGGTGGTGGGCGCGTGGCGGAATGAGGTTGAGGACAGCTTGGACGAGGAGGATTTGGATCTGGCGATGCGTTTGGCGGAGGGGGTTGCGGGGGGGAGGGAGGAGAAGGAGGAGGAGGGCTCGACAGAGGCGGCGCGGGAGGAGGAGGCGCGGGTGGTGACCATTTTGGTGTTTTGGTTGATTGTGAGTTGAGGTTGAGTTGAGGTTGAATTGGAGGTGTTAATGGGTGGCGGCGAGATGTATCGTGAGATGTTGTCAAGTGTTGTCGTTGATGTTGTTGTTGTTGGCCTCGATATTAATTGAGATGAAAACAATGGATGAGACGAGACGAAAAATGAAAAAAAGTAAAAAAGAAATGAAACCCCAATGGCCGGAGGAATAAACAACTTTGGAACCCTGAAATGAGGGGGAGGGGCAAAATAGCGCGTTAGGTGTGTGTTGGTCTCCGAATTAAGTGTGATGGGATGGAGCAACGCTTTTATGAACAGATGGCGATCTTTTTTGGCTTCAATTAGGTTTTTCTACTAACGGTTTTGTGACAAAAGAAGAGAGCAGGTGGAAGAAGGAAACTTTTAAATGAAAGCTACTGAAGAGATATTACAATTGTTACAATTACTGTGTGTGTGTTGGCGTATTACGTGTGTGCGCGTTGTAGAAAAAGGACAGCATGACAGAAAGATAATGGCGAATCACAGTGAGGCGGGAAGGATGCGACATGGTGTGTGGTGGGCGGCGTGGCGCCACGCTGCGCTGGGGTTTGAAGAGATTCAATACGACGCTGCTGCGCCAGGTGAGGCTTAGATGAATGAGCGTGACGGCAACACGCTGGAATTTGAAATTATAGATGGCGATAGTGATAGCGAGTTTCGCTAATTGTTGCTGGCGCTAAATACGTGTATGTGCCGAGGCTGAGATTGAGATTGAGTAGAGTAGGTACAGCTAAGAGTGTTGAGCGGTATTGGTAGAGTTGCTCCGAAAGCCGTAGCTTCGGGGCAATGATTACATGGGAACTGGTGGACAGCTATTTAAGTTAGTTGTGTAAGTTAAGAGTGAGGGGGCATTGCACGTGGCAATTGAGTGGTATGTTGGTATAATGGAGCTTTTTATATGCATTGGTAGGTAGTAGGTATGCTTAACCGTACGTACCCAATGACGTATGAAGGGGGCCCTCAGCGCAAGGCCTCGGGGAAGAAAAAAAATGCTGTGAAGCAGTTGGCGATGGCGACACTTTTTTTTTTACCTCATACGCCTTTTGTCATTTACCAGATATAACTGATCATCATTTGATCTTCCTAGCAAAATCGTAATGGTAAAAGGCAAACAATACAAGTGGCGACTTGTGAAAATGAGCCTTGATTCGCCAAAAGCAAGATTGATTATGCTCCGCTGTGCTTTATACGTGTTGTTGGCTCATCTTCTCTCGTCTCATCTAATCTAAACCTCGTCTCATCGTATCCATGGCTACATTCATCGTATCTATATGCTGGGAATGCATATTCATCTCTCCGCCTATGCAACATTAATGTAATATCTATCAATACCTCGCTCACCCGCCAAATGTGTCTCCCCCATTCTCCAGATACTCGCGCTCCTCATCCGTCGTCTCGCGCCCCATGACCCGATTCCGATGCGGATACCGTCCAAACCGCTTTATAATCGCCCAATGCCTCTTCTCAAAACCAAGATTCAGCTGTCCGTACTCCAAGGCCGCCTCTTCACTCGACTGCACGACTCTCTGCGCCGCGATGTGATACTCGTGCGCCACCTCGGACTCGTCGTTCCAGTCGACGGCCATCTCAGAGGGCAGTAGACTCTCCACGTCACGTTTTAAGCCTTCGTACTTTTCCACCGCGAGGTCGTGTAGCGAAATGTCTTCTGAGTGCATCAGCGGCACGTAGAACCAGCTGCGGTAGGCAAAGCGCCAGCGGAGCTCGGGGCACCTTTCGGGGATGCCGCGCTGGATGGCTGTGAGGGTGACTTCTCTAGCCATGGGGTCGAAGTAGTTGAAGACGATGTTTGAGTTGTCTCCACGGTAGCAGTTGCGTGGGATTTGATCTAGTAGGAGGATCAGGCTAAGCCAGTCGTGGGCGTCGTTTGGTTGCAGGGCGTAGATGATGTCTTGGCCTGATTTGATGCCATCACGGCGGAGCTGTTCAAGAGTAGGGGCGAAGCGTTCTCTGAAGTATTAAAAAGGTCATCAACATATATTCTATTTTTTCAAAGAAGATGATGAGTTTATGACAACTTACACGCATACTCTGTCAAACTCTGGTCCGCCAAAGAACCACCTCTTATTCTCATCTGTGGTAGGCAGGACCAAACTATCTGGCCCTGACAGATGCTCAAACCAAAACTCTCGGACGCTCAGAAGCAGTTCTGGCGATAGGATTAATGATATGCAAGTCATCTTTTCCTTTGATGGAGCTGATGAATTGTGAATGGCGTGATGGCGAGCGCCAGTAGGGGTGGATATGAGTGGTCTCGGCTGCAACTGATAATGCCCCGAATGTGTCTGCTCTTGACTAGACAATGTTCTCTTGATATGAAACCCTTTTGAATACAACCGCAGGGAAATGGGAGCAACTAAATTTCAGTTAGTTCAGCTCGTTCTATATAATGGGATATGGGAAAAGTTGACCAACCCCGAGAGCAGCAGCACAGAGGCCCAGCTCGGTGTATGCCGGACAGCGAAACCGGCGGCAACTTCATCAACGTTGATTATGGATCCAAGCCAAATATTGACTAAGCACGCCAAGCCGTCAAATATGTACATGAACAAAAGACAAACACGAAAATTGCAAAAAGGGAAGATGCAAAAGCTATAAAGAGCAAGTGCAGCTATCAAGACGGACTTTTGGCACGGGGCCAAGCCCACATTAAGGCTGATTGAATTTTAGCACGCCGCCCTTGTCGCTCTAGCACCAAGACCGAAAAGCCGAAACGCTACAAATTTCTCGGACAAGAATGGGCACTCTGTTCAGCACATTATTCATCACCACTTACCCGCTTACCAAGTCATGAATCACCGCGCGGGAAAAAATAGCCCGTGCAGCCTGTTTCTCTCAAATTCACACAACGCAGACAAACTAGCGAAAACGACCTAAAATGGAAGGATTGCGCCGCGCAGCCAATCACACGCCGTCGTCTGAGGATTTATCATCATGGCGATACGCCAGGATACTAATTGGGGTGCGTTTTGCGTTGAACACTAAAAAAGGATTCGCACGACTCATTAGCCTTTTATCTTGCGCGTGCCCAAATTGATTTCATAGATATATGTGGGATGAAGAGAGCGAACGGAAAACTTACATATCTCCATTTCTTCAAGAGATAGGCCTTTTGTCTCTTTAATGAAGAACCACGTGTACAGCACCAGAGCCCAGTTGAAGCAGCAGAACATGAGAAACGCCTTGTAGCCGAGGTTGTTGACGGCCGCGGGCGTGATTTGGGAGAGCGTGAAGCCAAAGAGCCATTGCGTTGCGGCGCCGACGGCGATGCCTCCTTCGCGGATGCGCGTTGGGAAGATTTCGCTCATGTACAGCTGCATTTTCGCAAGAGATTAGTATATCGCGTGATTTTGTTGAAAGGTTGAAACGTACCCATGGTATAGGTCCCCACGAAATGTTGAACGTCACTATGCACATCGCATTCAGTGTCAGCGATCTGGACGAACTTGTCTACATCAATTTTCACCAAATAGGCCAAATAGGCACTCACTCGCTTCTAGAAAAATCATCGTCAAAGAGGCAATGGCCGGCGGCGTCAGCGTCCCGCCGCTCACAGGAGGATATCGCTGCGTCAGCACCGCAATGATGAACATATAAGTGCCCATCAGAAACGACCCGGCGAGCAGAGACCATCGTCGGCCTATGCGCTCCACGAGGAAGATTAAGAAGAATGCACAGCTGACGACCTTGCACACGCCGAAGAAACCGCTGAGTAGGAGAGCGTTATGACCTGCGCCGACGGCTTGAAAGACTTGGGGAGAAACTATACGAAAGTCAGAGAAATATTCAGGAGCTGGGATCGAGAAGAGGCAAGGTTTATCCATACAATACGCCAGAGGTGTATTTCCCGTCAATTGAGCCCCTAGAATTCGGATCCGGGTTGTCAGCAGCCAGCAACCATCACCCAGAACAAAAAACTCACCAATCTGAAGAGTGACGGCAATAAAGATTCGATACCGATTCGCCGGCAGCCAATATTCCCTCCATGTGACCCCAGCAGTCTGCCGCTCCTCCTCTTCAATGCCCGCCAAAATCTGCTGAAACTCCATCCGCACTTCTGTACTATCTCCTCCACGTACCCATATCAATGACTCCAAAGCCTCCTCGTGCCGATCACGCTGAGCAAGCCACCTCGCGCTCTCTTTCGTCACCAACATCCCCAATCCCAGGATGCCACCGGGTACAAGCTGCAAGGCAACGGGGATTCGCCACTGTCTCGTCGACGATGGGACATGTTGGGCAGCGCCGTAATCGACCCAGTAGCTTACAGCTACGCCGAGAGTGAAGAAAAATTGAAAGAGGCTGCCGAGCTGGCCGCGGATTTCTTTGGGGGCCATCTCGGCGGAATACATGGGGATGATGACGGTCGCAATGCCTATTTCAGCGAATTGTAGTTAGAATTCGTCGCATATAAGCTAGGGGGCTGGTTGTTTGCTCATTATCTGCGTGTATCTTTGATGTCTTTGGATGATCGGATTCACCTGCGCCAACGCCTGATATTGTCCGTCCAATGTACCAGGTAACTATTCCATGCTGATAAAAGAGCTGCAGCACAGCGCCAATGTTGAATATCAGCGATCCTACGGCGAGAGACCATCGGCGACCGTAGCGTGCAGTAAATGGCCAGACGAACAAGCACGAGAAGAAGGCTATACATAGAAAGACAAGTATTAGAACTCATGCGCCCGATTTACTACAATTCCTTCTTTTATTTTCCTTTTCTCCTTTCTCCAGCTCGTATTCTTCGTCATGTAGCATTCAAATAATGTGCTCTCATGTGTCTAATACATACCTCCGGCTTGCAGCAGACTGGCCGACAGCGAAGTGACATTGTCCCTCTCTCCATCGCTAAAGCCCATGTCGCGCATAAAGGAATCCAGCGTCAGGACGCCGCCCACGATGCCCGTATCGTAGGCGAAGAGGAATGATCCGACACATGACAGGGAGACGAGGTACGTGGCCCTCCATGTGCCGAGGCGCGTCATGATGGGTTGCTGGTCGTGTGAGATTTCATGAGGAGGAGGAGAAGAGAGGAGAGGGAAATATGGTGTGTGGGATGCACAGCCCGTTGGTGCGTGTTTAGTTTGTGCGTATGTTTATATAAACCAGTGGCGTGGCGATAGCTTTGGCCGTAGGAGGGTCTTGGCTAAAAGACTGAATTAAGCATGCTTGGTATACAAATGGAGAGGAGCTGCGGCCTCGGAGAATTAGGTTGAAGAATCGTGAGATTCGGTCTGCAGGATTGTGCATGCGAATACGAGTATTACTACTGCTGCTATTCAACTATGATAGGAACTGCTGATCAGCATCAAGCCGCGGCCTCGGATCTCCCAGCAGGCCGCTTGACGTAATCCGAGACTGCGGCCATTCAGCCGAGCTGGCAAAGCACACATCAACAGGCCCATGGAGATTTCCCTACATGGTGTGGGCAGTCTTGGCTGCGGGGAAGGCGTACAGAAGGTCGGTGCGGAGAGAGTGGGATTTGAGATGAAGATAGAATTCCGGCTCGTTAATTGTAAAACTGGGGTAGTATTAGGCCAGATTCCGCTTTGGGAGGGCGTCTTTTGGCCGATTTCACTTACACAAGCATCTTCACAGAGATGAATTTGTGCAACTTTTAGCTATTAGCTTACTCGTAGATCTACTCGAGTCAGATAGATACTTTTCGTTAAAAGAGGTATGGTCATTTGATTTCACTTTTTTTTTTTTTGGGTATATTTTCAACCTGCAGTAGCGAAAAATTGTTAGAACTGCTTGCTTGTCGCGCTTCTACCTTCCACTTGGCTGCTGTGGCCTTACTGGTGGCCTTCATGGTGGACATGGCAGCGCTCTGCTACAGTATATGCGTTAAAAGATAGCTATTTGACGGGATGCAGGTGAGAGGATTGTAGAGAGAGAGTATAAGATAGATTGTATTGGATTAAAACGAGAGAAAGACCATGGTTATTGTAGATGGATTGAATAATGTTCGAGAGATCGCCAACGGAAAAGGAGGCCTTGGCCTCTGGTGCCGTCGAGATTACTTGGACCAGCTTTTGTGTAAAAAAAAAAAAAAAAAACAGTAATTTAGAAAATTGCATATCTCAGAACGATGAGAGATGGCGCATTCTCAACTTTTTACGTAGTGTAAGCTGGGCAGTGGGTTTGTCCATATCAGGTTGTTAGGAAGTTCGACTTTGCCGGAGAGAAAGCACCGGAGAACTTACGCACTGGGTGACAGGCGATTAACTCCACGAATCGTGATCCCCCACCACGGTCACTAATTGTTTGAGAGAGAACACTCTATTGCGTCTTTCATTCCTTACCAGTATCCATTGAGGATAGTCTTCACTCGGCACCGTTGCTAGATTTATTACAATGGATGTTGGGCTTCATTTTTGCAGCCACATTCATTCGTTGCCTTGCCATGGTAAAGTGGAAAGCTTAACACCTCCCCGCCGCAATTGAATTACATCTTGGAAAGGGCAGCTATGTCTCTATAATTGGGAAAAGGCCTTTTCTTCTTCTTTACACAAACTAATGCGAAAAATTAGGTTTAGATACGAATCTTCACCTCATCGTTTCATATTGACCACGTAGTGATGACAAGATGACCACAGTGCATCGCTGCGTCACGACTTTGCGTTGAAGCCGCCAGCTTACAGAGTGTCAAGCCTACGGTGCAATAACGTCACCACATTAATATTTTGAAATCAGGCACTTTTGATTGGTCCCATCTATGCTAATGTTATAGATTGAGTTATGAATGATCATCATAGATCATTTGCGCATTACAGGAACCATGAGCTATAAAGTCACCATTTCGAGCAACATCAATCTCATACAATCTCAACCTCACACCCAACAGACACACCAGACTTTAAACAGGCATGTTTAGTAGTGTGCGCACCGCTCCCCTCAAACTCCGTCAGTGCAGCAAGTACTATTCTCCTTTCTTTACCAGACGCACCATTCAACAGGCTCTTGCAATGTCTACCATATCCGACGCAATTACCAAGGATCACCGTGAAATAGAGCAATACTACAATGAAGTGATTAACAATCCGAATGATCACGATCACCAAACTCGGTATGGAAACCAGTTCGTCTGGGAGCTCGCCCGCCATTCAGTTGGCGAGGAGCTGGTTGTCTATCCTGCAATGGAGAAGTATTTAGGCCAAAAGGGCAAGGACATGGCGGAGAGCGACCGAAAGGAACATGCAGTGGTGAGTGCTGAACAATTTTATACTGATATGTTGTAAAACACCTTGCTAAAACAATGTCTTTCACAGGTCAAGCAGAAGCTCAAAGTCTTTCAGAATATGAAGGCCACTGACCCAGACTACATCAACAAGCTGCAGGACCTTTGGGGACCGCTCTCTGAGCACATCAAGGAGGAGGAAGAACAGGACTTGCCCGCCTTGGAACAGCAGCTTCAGGCAATCGAGGGAGAGTCTGAGTCAATGGCCAAGAGCTTTGGTCGCACCAAGGCTTTTGTACCCTCACGCAGTCACCCCAGCGCTGGAGAACATCCGCCATTCGAGACTGCCATGGGTATGCTTGCTGCGCCAATTGATCATCTTGCCGACTTGTTTCGGAAGTTCCTTGATAAAACAGTATCCCCTAATCCTTCAACCAAATAGAAATGGTCGAAGTGGTTAGTTTGCTTAGTATGTAATGAATACACGAAGACGATTTGCACTTGCTTGACCCAAAGAGATTTTGATGAATTGACAAAGTCTCTAAATAAAAGGACAAGTTTCATCTGGTCTCATCAATTTACCTTACTAGCTGGATATCGTGACACATGTTGCTAAACTTCCGGCTCGCTTCACCAAAGTCAAAGCACTTTAGTCAATTGGCTACTGGCCAGGCATACTGCTACTACAAAGACAAGCGTTTCTGATCTTTGACATGGCACAATTCGGAGAACAAAACATCGTAACCGTAAATCCTCTTTTTGCTAATCCAGAGCGAGCAACACTGCATTTAAGTGACAATATGGGGCACTAGATTAGAAAAGAAGCTCCATCTTCCATATCTGCATCCCCTACAGGCGGAATAGCAGAGGGGGAAAATGGTCATAAATCACAGACAACTATGTAATCAATGTGGGTGAAGCTGAAGATTAAGTCAACTGGTCTTCCTCCGCCTATATCTTAGCAGCACGCAGAAGAATCTTTCGCACAAGTCGCACCTTCTGCTCCGCGGTTGTCGCTAGAATAGAGATACGGCTCCATTTTGACCCCGGATCTGCCAGAATCGGCTAGACGATCAGCAATTGGTTAGCTCTAATCAAAAGGTTCTTGTACTTGCATCAGATATCACGGTTGCTTGATGTCACGAACGGAGTGATTACGGTGGGAACACTCCGGCAATTATTCACTATTCCCATTCAATGACGATGACATAGTGATTGAAAATGCTACAAACCTACCCTCCATCATGTCTAAAGTGGAGTGAGGTCATGAACGCTCCTCTCAAGGCAGGCAAATTACCGTTACCGTTACTTTGTCTGACCTTAGGATTCAGACGACGCGATGATGTCTCGATGCGCACTAATAAAAGCCGCCGGCTTATTTCCATCCTTGCCCAAGAAATGTTGTATAAATTCAACACATCTCAGCATGTTGTTTGCGCAAAGGCATAGACGAGTAGAATTCTTTCTAACGCGATACTTTCATTCATATACCCTCTGTCGGACTTCGAACATGAAGTCTGAGCAATCATTCACTTTCGAATGATGAAATCTTTTTCTTCTGAAAGGGAATTGACAAGACAATCTTTACCACCACGAGTACAACTGCACCTGAATAGCATTTCAACTCAGCCCCTACAATACTAGCTGAGGACATTATGCTTCGACGAATTGCTCAATGAGGAACGAGGTATATTAATAATATTATAAATCGATTCATCTTAGCATGTAAGGCTAATGAGAAGCAGGAAAAAGGCCCGAATATGAATATCAATGACTACCATGGAGAGCAGCATCAGGAGGAGGCCTCGGCACAGACGACAGCAGTCTTTGGCAACATAGAATCGGTGACGATATAAGGGCCACCGATAATACAGAGCTATAGAGCATAGAGCTATAGATATATCACGAACGTTAGATTAAAGATTATAGATAACGAAACGAAATGCTAGACATAGACTATAGAAAGCTAGATATGAGCAGTTTAAAAGAATTGTACTTCATTGCAATATTCTATAATACATTAATAATCTGACGACTAAAAGTAACACTGCTTGCTGAGTGCAGTAAATCTTGAAGACAAAAGTGACAGGAAATCCATTCATTTGCATGGCTGCTCTTTCTTAAGAAGCTCTATAGCCGCATCCAGTGTTTCGCTCTGCACTCCCTCCAGCGGCGGCACTACGCTGATAATTGTAGCGTCGTATTCATTAATCCTAGGGCGCTCCAGTACATCAAACTGGCTGTGGACCAGGTTTGACTTGGCAAAGTGGTTCTGTCTAGCCTCTGTCCTCTGTCGCAACAGGGACTCTGGGGCATCGAGAAAGAAAAAGTGCACGAGAGAATACCCGGCACGATCGCAGCTTTCCCTCAAGATGTCCCTGTGGGCTCGTTTCAGTGCCGAACATGTAATGATGAGATGGTGGTGCTGGGATTGTTGCCGGTTATAGGCTGAAGCTTGCTCGTTGATTGCTTCGAACCAGCCTTGGCGGTCCGCGTCGGTCAGTGGCTCTCCTCTATGCATTTTGTCGATGTTGGCTTTTGGGTGAAGCTGCCAAAAAAACATTGATTAGCCATTGGTGTTTTTTTCAAGAATTTGGAAGCATGCTGGGGATCGCACGTCGTCGCCTTCTAAGAAATTCGCTCCTAGCCGCGAAGCGAGAAACTTTGCGACTGAAGACTTTCCGGAGCCCGTGGGGCCCGATACAAACAGTATCCATGAGGGCTCCTTTACAGAGCCTTGGTCAGGACTGCCGCTGCCGTTTATGGAAGACATTGTGGCATCTACAGAGTCGAACGGAGCGGTTTTTGGCTTTAATGAGAAGATTATATCAATTAAAAAGTTCGGGTTAAGCGGTGCTGTCGAAGACAGATTCTATAGAACACATAGAGCCCCACAAAGCAATGGCCGGCCTTGTAACACCCAATCCGCATATCGTTCTTATTACTAGTAGTAAATGAACATCGCCGTATCAATTCTTGAAGTTTCTAGAACTCTATTTACTAACCGTAGCTATGGCGTAACAATGGAGCTCCTGCTGCTCAACATGACGTCAAGCTTCTTGCTTCTTCAACTCCAAAGGGCGGAACTGGTCCAATGCCGGGTGCTAAACCGCTTCTATACCCGGTTTGACCAATTCCATATAGATTGGGAAAAATGGAAGATGGGAAAAATAGATTAATATCATACTCCGCCCAAGTGCGATTACTCTTCCTAAGTATCCTTACAGGTAGCTTGCCTCCTTCGAGCTTGAGGTTCATAGTTCAACTTTATCAGCCGCTCCGTCATCTTGGTCCAATAGAAATCTATTCTGGGTGCCACCTGAAAGGTCGAGTTTAGTTGATTCATTCCTCTGTTCGTTTTAAGTCAACGTGCCATTCGGAGCGCGCTCCGAGACCTATAATAGGCCCATGGATGAGGGTATCCATCTGTCTCAACTACTCGTCACTGGCGTCCTCTTAGAAACTTCCCCGGGGGGGGCTTTCACAGCTGTGAGTGGCCCTAATTTTAAGGGTCCAAACGGGTTTATCGCAATCGTGTATCAGTTTTCCCCTCGTATGAGCGCATGAGCACGCTGACATACATTTAATCTGTGTCGCTCTTACTGAATGAGATCTAGGATGCTTTCAAGAATCATCAGCCTGATGGATAAATGACTTGATAATGCGGCCAGTGCGTCACTTTTCTTGATAAATCAAGGTTCTCATCACCACTGTTGGCTATCATTAATCGCATTGCAAAGTGCGATTAACATGAATCTCAAAGAGCATTTACTACATAGTTTCTGGATACTTCGTACTATATAGTAGTTTCGCTATTGTAACAACGCCAAAGCAATTGGCAGATTTCTGCCAAAATCATCATTCAAAACAAATCCAGTACAAGCCCGCTTATACCTGTCTACCCAATCAACAATAATACACCCCATATTTCCACACAGGGCAATCGATAATACGATGTCCCAAACTGCCTTGAAGGCAGAAATGGAACCGAAATCAATTCAGGTCTCAGGAAACGGTAGACCACTGAGCATTGCACAGTTGAATATCGAGGCCGCCTCGGGTCCGATGGTCGGCTATCTTACGCACAGAAGCAGCATCTTTGGCCAAAGCGACATCATGTGCACTCCCAATTGGTCTTTACACTGGGGATGGATCCCTACAGAAGATGAACCGCATCCGTTTAGCAAGTCATACACTTTCAAGCCTTTGATACCGAGTATCTCGCAAGAAGCTCCAGAACCACAGGACAAGTTATCCTGGGCGGATCCTGGCTTTGCCAGCGACGTGCCAGACAGCTCGTTATGGTTGGCCGCATCATTGCTGAAGGACACGACCGACAACCGGCTCGCACCCCTCTATGAATGCAACGAGGCTTCATCAGCAGTCTCTGGTGAGAAAGAAACTCACGACGTGGTCATGGAAGATGATGATGGCAAAAGGCGAGGAAGCAGCAACTCTGCTGATCAGCAAGCTACTGATACAGAAGAACAAAGGCGCATGCGCCGCATAATTCAAAATTTGAAACAGTTCGAAAGCGAGCAGAAAAAATATGGGAAGCAGCAGCTGAAGGCAATAGAAAATAGCTCCGCTTAGTATGGGGGCTCTTTGAATAGTAACTGAATTAGATTGTGAAAAGGATTAAAGCGATGCTGGTAGCATGCATTAGCAAGGGGTATTCCGGTCTGGCTTTTAGGAGGAAAAAAAGAACACTTCAAGTTCGTGTTCCTATAGCTTGAGTTTTACTTGCTTCACTGGCGTTAGGAATGTTCGAGAACAAACAGCGTTGTCTAATTGGATCCCATTTCAGGAAGCTTATACTCAAGTGCAGATCTGGAATGTAAATATTGAGCGTCTGTCGATCTAGTACCGATACCTTTAATTGGTGATGTTAGAACGCGATGCTACAGAAGTGAGGCCGAAGACAATGGCAAATTTTGAGAACCAATATCGCCCAAACTAAGCGTAGAAGGGGAATCAAGGCGTCTTGAAAGAAATAACTACTCTGTCTCTCGGCTTTACTCTAATGAGCCCATGCGGAAAGTCGTGCACGTCAGTGTCTGAACTTTCGCCGCAACTTGCGTCATCTACAAAGTCTGAAATAGGTGCTGCAATATGACTAATGGTCTTAAGCGTGCAACTAGATATAAAAGACACACATAAACATATTTCCATCATACGCATAACAATACTCATATTCAGAAGACAATCAATCATTCTATTATTACACATAATATTTTGTGAACAACCTCAGAATGTCCAGACAGAGACTCACAATGGTGGCGCTCGCCGGCGCAGGAGTTATCGGTGCCACAATGCTTTTTCCACGGAAAGCCAACCAAAGAAATGATGTTCAGGAGAGGAGAGATAAAGCACAAGACGCTCGCGAGCTTGGACTCGGGAGCGCAGGCGTGGGAGGAAACAGAATGACGGGCGGTCCGAGCGATTCGACAACTCCGTCGGGACCCGATAAAGACCCAAGATACCGTGAAGTTGATACGGGAGGCTCGAAACAGCATCTACCCGCTGGTGGCGTTAGCACCGGAAGGGGAGGGGGAGGCACAACCGCCAGCGCGTCGGAGAAGCTGGGATTCACGGGTTCCATCTTGGGCAGTGCTGGAAAGAAAACTGCGAGCCGGAGCGATGAGGTGGGATATCACGATACGCGAGGCATCAGCAGAATGGGCCCGGAAGTTCCATCAAAGAAACACCCGGAGTAGCCCAGAGGGGTTTAGAAACGACGGTTTATTCGAAAAGAAAAAGAAAGAAACTGGATTCGATGCCAAAATCATATCTCTCGTTGCCATTCTTGTTTTGAAGTCAGTTCAATATGGTGGATAGGTATACAGTTTGCTTATGGCATAGGCTGCAATTGAGCTACAAAATGAACTTTTGTTTTTTGTTATTCAAACTCACCAAACAGAATCGCAGATTTCATTCACTACATGCTCTTAGTTTAGCCTTTAAGCGACCCGAATCATTTGCTTGTGGAAGCAAGGCTGCTGTTCTCGGGCCATAGCTGGCGGCTTAATTGTAAAGATTGTGCACTGAATCTCCAACGCCTCCGCAATCGTTAGCTCCCATAATTTCGTCTTTAACGCTGCAATTCGAAATCCTTGTAGAATTTTAATAACTTGTGCTTAATTGATCTTGTAGCGCGCGTAGATATTGAATGCAGATCTGCGGGCTTCTATCTGTGTAGCTTTCGACGTCGACGTCACGACAAACCGATAAAGCTCTCTGGCTTATCTCAGGAAATTGATTCAGTCAATTGAAGGAAGACCTCGCCACAGCTTTAACTACACGGTTTAGAGATGGCAAATGTGTAACTTATTCTGAACATTGCGCTACATGAGAAAGGTACTTGCTAAGCCAATAGTGACGTTTACATACAGCTGATAGGCTAATGACGCCCGCTGAACGTCATGTATATGTCAACGAACCCGTACATTTATGCCCGTCGAAGTATTCTGAGCCACCCTGACAGGACCGTGTCGCCACTATATGGTGAATTACCTCCGGAGAATAAACTAGACTAATGCACGCCAAGCTCGAAATGCGCAATTTGTATCAATAGCTAAATAGTGATATGAAGCATCGTCGCCCAAACTTGAGATGAGAAAGAGTCTTCATCAAATTATCGAAGGAGGAGAAAAAAAAAAATACACCAATAATTGTATCGTGAGCTACAAGAGGAAATAATGGCTGGAGAGGTTATCGATCAGCCGGACCCGCCACCCACAACCAGCCATCTCCCGGTCTTGGTAGAACGTCTCCAGGTAAAGCCGCAAAGGGCGTCATTAAACAGCCATGATTTGTGCTCACTCAGAGAATTCCAACGGGCGGCATGCTACATTGCTAGTGGTGAGTGAACAGAGAGCAATTCAGCATGTAAGCCGACATCCACATAGTGCTAATAGTCTCACAGCTATGATCTTCCTTAAGGACAATGTTCTTCTGGAGCGTGACCTACAACTCCAAGATGTGAAGCCAAGGCTCTTGGGTAAGTATTTCGTTACTTTTAATCAATTGATACACCTGTTAACATTTAGTCTCAAGGCCATTGGGGCACATGTCCCGGGCTGATACTCATCTGGTCGCACCTGAATCTTCTCATTCGCGACAGTTCTGTGGATATGCTATTCGTTATCGGACCCGGTCATGGAGCTCCCGCAGCTTTGGCTTGCCTGTGGCTTGAAGGGTCGCTGCAACGCTTCTATCCAGACAAATACCAACTGAATAAAGAAGGACTGCGCAATCTCATCACAAAGTTTTCTGTTCCTGGAGGGTTTCCTAGGTATGCATATCCGGCAATGCTGGGTGAAAAATCGTTCAAAGCTAACATGCTCAAGCCACATCAACTCAGAGACTCCAGGCTGCATCCATGAGGGCGGCGAACTCGGCTATGCACTCTCAGTCTCTTTTGGTGCCGTGATGGATCATCCGGATCTAATAGTTACATGCGTTGTGGGAGACGGCGAGGCCGAGACTGGCCCTACAGCAGCGTATGCATCAAATCCAGGGCTAATATTCTTTGACCAACTCACTAACATGCAGCAGAGCATGGCATGCTATCAAATATCTCGATCCAGCGGAATCTGGCGCAGTCATACCTATTCTTCACGTCAATGGCTTCAAAATCAGCGAGCGTACCATCTTCGGCTGCATGGACGACAAAGAGTTGACTCTGCTGTTTTCTGGCTATGGCTACCAAGTGTGCATCGTAGAAACATTGGATGATATCGATGCCGAGCTGCACTCTGCGCTGTTTTGGGCTTTGGCCGAGATCAAGAAAATCCAGGGTGCAGCACGATCAGGTCATCCTGTCGGCAAGCCTCGGTGGCCGATGATTATTCTCCGGACTCCAAAGGGATGGACGGGCCCTCGGGTGGTTGACGGCCAGATGATTGAAGGCTCATTTCATGCTCATCAGGTCCCGTTGACAAAAGCCAACGAGTCTGAGGAGCACCTTCACATTTTGCAGGACTGGTTGAAGAGTTACGATGTACACAAGGTATTACCAGATGGAAAGCCGTCTCACGATGTTCTGGACAACATACCACCGGAGGACGACAAGAAACTGGGCCAAGTCAAACTTGCATATGATTGTTATCTCGGCCTAGATATGCCAGACTGGAAGCCACACACAGCCAACAAATCTGAACAAGCTAGCAGCATGCAGCAGTCAGGAAAGTTTCTCTACGACGTTGCAAAGAAGAACCCAAAGACCTTTCGCATATTCTCGCCTGATGAGCTGGAGAGCAACAAACTCGGCGCCGTATTGGACCAATCCGGTCGAAATTTCCAGTGGGATCAATACTCTCGCGCCTCAGGCGGCCGCGTGATCGAGATATTGTCAGAACATTGCTGTCAAGGTTTTCTGCAAGGATACACCTTGACGGGAAGAACTGCCGTTTTCCCCAGCTATGAGTCGTTTTTGGGGATAATTCACACCATGATGATTCAATACGCCAAGTTCTCAAAGATAGGCCGCAAGCTGTCGTGGCGAGGCGACCTCAGCTCCATCAACTACATCGAAACAAGTACATGGGCGCGTCAAGAGCACAATGGCTTTTCCCATCAGAATCCGTCATTTATCGGCGCGGTGTTGAACTTGAAGGCTGACACAGCCAGAGTTTATTTGCCTCCTGATGCGAATTGCTTTCTTAGCACTCTGGATCACTGCCTCAGGTCTAAAAACTATGTCAACTTGATGATTGGCTCCAAACAGCCCATGCCAGTGTACCTCTCTGCTGAAGATGCAATCCAGCACTGCAAAAACGGCATCTCGGTATGGAGGTTTGCGAGTACGTACAATGGCGAGGACCCGGACGTGATCCTCGTCGGAATTGGCGTCGAAGTGACGTTTGAGGTCATCAAGGCCGCAGAGCTTTTGTCCAAGCTTGTGCCAGAGCTACGCGTTCGAGTCATCAACATTACCGATTTGCTAGTCTTGCCGGATGAATCTCATCACCCTCACGCTTTAAATGCAAAGGACTTTGAAGCCATGTTCACATTGGACAAGCCCGTGTGTTTCAATTATCACAGCTATGCGACAGAACTGCAGGGGCTTCTCTTTGGACGTCCGGCGTTGCATCGCATGACGGTGGAAGGCTACAAGGAAGAAGGCAGTACGACAACGCCGTTTGATATGATGCTGGTTAATGGCGTTAGCCGCTTCCATGTTGCTTTGAGAGCTCTTAAAGCTTCGGCTCAGCACAATGACGGCATTCGGGACAAGTTGAGAACGTTGCAAGACAAGATCAACGAGGACATGACGAGCGTCAAAGATTATATCACAGAACATGGAAAAGGTGAGTCCCGCGCTTAACCTGTGGCAAACTGAAACACTGGCTAACGCATTACTTAGATCCGGATGATGTTTATGAGCTGAAATTTATCAAACACAACACTTAGAAGGGACCTACATAATTACATAGCGACAACAGGGGCAAGCCTTGCCTGTTCATAGCGTAGAAATCGAGATTACTTCGATAACAAAAGCTGTACGATTACTATGTTTAACTGGTCAAATACTCGCTTCTGAACTTTCATAATAGTTAATTTGTGTGAATTTATTCCTCCTTATGCTTTAATGCTTCTGGATTGTGCGCAACTCCATGCCCATGCTGGTCCGTGAAAACCACCTAAGTCCGATCAGTTGTGTGTACTGTGAGGCTTGAGACTATCTTGACGATAGCCGTTCTAGATAGATACCTTTGGAGGATGCTTGACATTGGCCTCTTTTGCCTCTTCCTCCGTCGTCACAACCTGCTCTACTTCTCCTTCGCGTTTTCCGCCCCTGATGGGAGTCCAAACATCGTCGCCCTCTTCAATTGGCTTTCCTTCTTTGTCTTGAACCTTTGACGCCATTTCTGCGGCTTGAGTGTCTTCCTGGGTCTAAACAAAAGACAGCATTCCCAAATGCAGTTGAAGCTGTGAAAATTGAGTTTTGATTATATCAATTCGAAAACTCAATTTTATCAATTCAATAATTAGGGGCTTGCTTGAATACGATATGTAGCTGTAGGGGTGCGCCTAGAATCAATGACGTCGTCTTGACACCCGCTGCCCTCCCCATCTTGTCACCGCCGTCATACATTCGCGAACACCCAACTTTTATGTCATGTTACAGTAATTTTTACTAGATAGGAAGACGTAGCAGAAAATATTTCCTTATATAAGACCCTGTTGATCCCTCTTGCCAACAGCTGCAGAGCTTGGGCAAAATTTCATAGTTCATAGTTCCTCTTACTGTGCATCTCAACATTAATCAAACATGGCAACTTCACAAGCAGCTTATTTGGCTGAAAAAGCCGTCGGTCACGATGACAATGCCATCATTGCGCAAGATATCGCTAACTACGAAGAAATCGGAGCGGCGACCACGATGAAAGCGCTAGTATGGAGAGGGAAGAATAAGGTTGAGATTGGTTTGTGGATTCTGTTCCGTGTCATGTGTGGCAAAACTTGCAGTGTGCTTACAAGCTTCTCTTAGCCGACGTTGCTAAGCCCCAAATTTTGGAAGACACCGACGTGATTGTCAAGGTCACTGGTTCGACCGTCTGCGGCTCTGATTTGCATCTTTACCATGGTGTGGTTGTGCAACTCGCAGATGGCGATATCCTGGGACACGAGTTCTGCGGAGTTGTAGAAGCTGTTGGTAAGGCTGTCCACAAAGTGCAAGTCGGAAAGCGATATGTCGCTTCTTTCCAAATTGCCTGTGGAGAGTGCTACTACTGTAAACAGAAGCTATCGTCACAGTGCGAAAAGACAAACTCGAATACGGCTATGAAGGGTCTCTACGGCGGAAGGACGGCAGGCATTTTTGGGTATTCGCATCTTACAGGCGGATTCGCTGGTGGACAGGCAGAGTATGTGCGTGTTCCGCTAGCTGATGTGAATTTGTTGGAAATCCCAGACGATGTTCCAGATGAGAAGGGTAAGCTTGTTTAAACCTCAAAACAGTTTCAAGACCTGTATAAGTGGAAACTGACATATCTCACAGCTCTATATCTGTCTGATGTTCTCTGCACCTCTTACCATGCGGTTAAAGATACTGCTGTCTACCAAGGCGATGAAGTAGCCATCTTTGGAGCAGGCCCTATCGGACAAATGGCGGGAGTCTTCGCTCTCGGAGATGGAGCATCCAAGATCATATTCGTCGATACCGAGCCGCGTCTCACCATCGTCAAGGAGCATTTTCCCGCCGAACACCGCAATAAGCTCGTTTTGGTCGACTATAAGAAACTATCTTCTGGTATCACCTCCAAAGAGACTATTGTCAGCAAACTAAAGGAGATTTGCGGCGGACGAGGCCCAGATGTCGCTCTTGAGTGCGCCGCCGGCGAATACGCCAAGGGCTGGATGCATTGGCTGGAAATGGCTGTCGGCGCTGAGACTGACACCAGCGAGATTGTCAATGAAATGATTGAGGGAGTTCGCAACTATGGCCGCTGTGGCATCACTGGTGTTTATGTCGCATACGTATGTACACGTCTTATTATTCCTTGGAGTTGGAATTGTCATGAGCTAATGGAATTGAACTAGACAAACCACTTCAACATTGGTTCGCTCATGCAGCGAGGCATTCGCCTTATTGGAAACGGCCAAGCACCGGTGCACAAATACTGGGACGAGTTGCTTGAAAAGATTCAGAAAGGCGAGCTCAACCCATTGCAGATGGTTTCTCATAGAGTAAGGCTTGAAGATGTCGACAAGGTATATGCAAAGTTTGATGCAAAGGAGGATGGTATGCAAAAGGTATTCATTGAGACTAAACACTCTTTTCCCAAGGCGGCAGAGTCTCCTGAAGTAACCAGGTTTTAAAAACGCTCAACGACATTCGCTTTCCAAGGTTAGCTTTAATAATGACAATCCATACTTTAATGTTTATCAAGGGGAAAGTTACCTAGGTATCTAGCATCCCAATTTTAGTACTCGGTAGCTGAGATTGAGATATAACCCCATGCATACAGGCTACTGCTACTGTTGCTACTGTTGCTATAAGATCCTGACAGAGGTCAGTTGACTCAGATTGCCGGGACATTCAAGTCTATCTTCGTCGGCAGCTGGCCAATGGCTGAACAAAACTTCTTGAAATGTTCTGGCATCCAGATGTCATAGATATTCCTGGTGAACCGGTACGCAGTCCACTTCTCTTTCCCGTCTAGTGTTGTAAAATCAAATGTGTAAATCGGATGACGGTGGTATTTGGTATCTTTTCCGTCAATAACTAGATAGTAGCCGTATGTCCTAACCGAGCAATGGTCGTGTGAGATGGAAAAGGAAATTATCTGGCGGTTAATCTCGTCCTCGCGCTTCACAAGTCGGAAGAGCTCGACGATGCCCCGTGCGGCCAGCGCCATGGTATGAGCATTCTGGCTATCCGCAACATCCAGCGCGGTGGCACTGCACTTGACTTCGCAAGCAAGGAATGGGAAGTACATGTAATACGTGGCCATGAGAAGGGACAGATCGCCAGCGATGAAGTCGCCGATAAACGGCGATAGCTTGGCGAGCTGATCGTCGGGAAAGGCCTCTCGCCGGAACCCAACGGAATAGTCTGGCTGCGGGCGCGTGCCGGTTAGGGGATCGAATTGTTCCATCCTCCATTGACACTTTCTACGAGGTCTTCGAGGTGTATAGCGCCGAGTGTAGCCAGGCTTTCGGCTGAAGGGACGATTAGCCGAGAGATATCTTGGATAACCCGCTCCTCATTTCTATTGCGAATCTTTTGACATGCCGACTCGAAGCTCTCTTCACGAAAGAGTGAGTTCTCGGGGACCGGTTGGTTCTTTTCAAGGAGGCTGTTGCAAAGCGCCCTGCTTTCGCTAGTAATTCCTAGTTTCGATTTGGCCATGAACACTCCCTTGGTCACAAGCAACGTCTCATAGCGCGAATCTCGGTGTTGTGCACTCTTTTCCTCCCGCGGCCGTTGGTCGCTTGGCGTCGCAGAAGAGGCAGAATCTGATCGCTTGCGTCGAAGTGTGAACAAGGATCGTTTCCGTGCCAGTGCGTGCTCCATGTCGGCCTCAAAGTATTCGCGCGGCCAGTGACCTTCTCTAGCCCAGAAACCGACGGGGTGATCAGACCTTTGATCTGCCACTTGGTCGGGTCTGCCCTCCATATTGGACATGTAGTGTAGGTGTTATCTGTGTCATTAAACGACTGGTGCGAGATGGAGAGAAGTTGAAGGCTCGACGTTGAGCGGCGTCTGCGCTCTGTGGCTGTTAACTGAGCGTAATGCGCTACGCCCGTAGCCGTCCCCGCTGTTACCCAGCGGCGGGAGCGCTAATTGCTAATCGCCAGGCGTCTACAAGGAACCTGCAACCTTTAAACATGAAGGGTCTAGCTCAATGATATTGAGGTTGTTACTACATTTGATGTAATAATAAAGGGAAGAGTTCAAATTGTCCGCCACCCCAGCTCTGATAGCCAGCATTCCAGCTAGAGTATGGACTACTGCTGCTACTGATGCTACTGATGCTACAGTTATCAGCCCCGACAATGCTATATCCATTAATGTAATTGTTACAGTCTTAGCCCTTTTTATAGCGGCTATTATGCTATTGCTTCTCATCTAAGAATACCAGGTAGGTAGGTACTATTACAAGCTAGAGAAAAACGGGCTGTTGGGGCATCTTAGTAAATTCCAGTAGATAAAATTATAAAGAGACAGCCCAGTAGGTAAATACAATAACGCTATATAAGTAGGTAGTTTTATAGGATCATAGATTGTGAAATACACATTAAGAAAAAAACATCATAAATTTCAGAATCTTCGTAGCTTATTCTCAATAGAAGGGTCTCTCTCGATTTATTCCAAACAAAAGCGTTGCGTCTCTTGACTAAACTTTTAGATTCCCATCTTTATGTACTACTTGCTCTCAGGTTCGAATCGGCTTGCGAGTTATTGCTTTCGTATTCGATCTACTGCTAGTTTCAGATACAGCTGAACTAGCGACAACGGAGGCTTGGTGTCGCAATTCATCAGCAGCTACCGACTCTGTCTCATTTCTTGTCTGCAACTCTGCTGCAGAAGCCTCGTTTACCGGCATTTCAGCTCTTGGTGGTGCCGGCTGTGCATCCAATTCATGAATCGCGTTTGCTTGTGCATCAAGCTCGGGCTTGGGTATACAATCGGAATGCAACTGAGCTTTATCGTACATGGGATCAAAAGTATCAGGTTTGGATAGCCTATGCCGCCGCTGCCACAAGTAGAATAAAACGCCAAGCACGATGGCGAGTCCGACAATGGAACCGACAACAGGACCTGCTATCCAGGCGTGGCTTGGTGGCGTAGCTGCAGGATACATATATCAGATACAAAATGCCAAAACGCTAGATGGGTTTACAAATAGTATATACCTGAAACAGATGGGCTCGAAGCCGCATTCTGGGGGGCAAGAGAAGTCTGGGTTGCCAAAGTAGAAGTTTTGCTGGGTGTTGTAGCCCTTGACGTCTTCTTGCTTGTTGTGGTTGTCCTTGATGATGCAGTGGCCGTTGCCGCATTGTTCGTCGGTAGGAGATACACAATTGTCGTTATTTGGCCATTCGTCGACGTATATGTCAACGTGGAATACGAAAGCAGATGGCAGAGATTTAGGTATGGCAGCAATGGTGAGATATTCATTGTGCCACCTTTGGGATCGGAGCCATGCGCCTTGATGCAATCGCTACAAGATTCAAGGGCCTTAAGGAAAGAAGAATCGGGAGCACATAATGGGCTCCTCAATCCTTCGGCGGAAGCAATTGCCAAAGCATCGTCTAATGGTGTTATATTAGCTCTGAGTCCGGTGGAATCTCGAATGCGATCGCTTGATAAATGCTTCGCGACGTACTGCAGGGAGCAAAGCACACAGTGGGCACAGAGCCGCCATTATCTTGCCGCGCAAAGAGAGCTCTGGACCAAACCATTGATTCTATACTGCAATAGTATTTGTGTTTATAACGGTGTTTCCTAAAAAGTTCAAAGATGAGAAAGGAAGAAAGATTCTGTCGGAATTGTGGCCTTGGAGCGTAGCCTTGTCGCATAGCCTTCGGGGCCGAGCCTGATATTGCAATGGTACATGGTGTTGATTTGACGAAACTATTCGAACCTCCGCTTCGAAGCGAGAGAAATCCTTCAGGACAAAAGGCACGTGGACCAGATGGCGTGACCAAGGCTGAATGCTTCACAAGAGGAATGTGGAAATAGTCTTTACTCGAGGAAGTTGGGCGCGAGGGAGAAGTTTCTTAGTTGAACTTGAGACTTCGTTTAGATGCATGGGGGATTGTCAGCATATATCAAATGTGTAATGCTCGTCATTGAGGTCCATCATATAAGTGGGAGATATGAACAGATAGGTAGTTATGGACATAAAGATTTGCTCTAGTCCAGCTACGGCAAGTATTATTTCGTATCCTTGTAGAAGAAGTGTCGCATACCTTGGGCACTTCGAGGTACACGATATCTTTACAGTCTAGATCGATAAATTGAGATTGAAAAAAAAAAGAGATTCAGACGTGTAAAGTAGCTCCAATAGAGGATGTTCGGAACTGATGTGTTGTAGCAGTCGAGATGCTTCATTGGAAGCAAATTCATTTTCTCCCCCAACGACCGAAAGAGGCAGCTATACTCAAATTTTCTAAAGACGCAACCCCGCTTACACAATTGACGAGGCGATTTTCTGTTTTCAAGCTTGTGCTTTTAGCCAATCAGTAGACGCCGCACATCTCCCAGCCTTGCTATATTATATCATTGGGCATCAAGAATGCCTCGGCGTGCTTGTCAGAATCGACACTCTTACAACCTCACACCGTGTAGAACATCGAAAACAAGATGGCACAGCCAGTCTTGTCTCTCGGCGAGACTGCAAATGATCAAATTACGAATAATCAGTTTCGCGACGGGACTCGGATACACCAGGGACACAACAACACCACGCTCAATCTCCATCTGCCCCACCGCCCGGCCCGAGCCGCCATTCGTCTCATTCCATATCCACGCAACGAGGATCTTGTCCATCGCCCAGATCTCGTGGATAAGCTCAATATACTCCTGCCATACCCATCAGATATATCCCACAGTGCTGCGCTCTGGGGCCTGGGCGGCTCAGGGTAAGTCCATATTCTCAGCGAGCAAAGCGTACCTATAGCTAAAAGTGGCTCAGAAAAACACAAATCGCGCTCAGCTATGCGTACCAGCGGTGCGCCGACGCCAGCTGCTCCGTCTTGTGGGTGCACGCCGATACCGAGGCAACATTTTCGCAGGATTATAAGAGTATCGCGCGGAAGCTTCAAATCAATAACAGCAGGCTGAGCGACGAAGATCTCCTCGAGGCTGTGCGCGACGGTATCGCGGCATTATCCAACTGGGTGCTCATTATCGACAATGCTGATGATTTGAGATTATTCGGCGTTGGGCAAATAGCTGAAGAAACGAAGACTCTATTTCAGTATATACCTCATGCATCTACAGGCACGGTGTTGTGGACAACTCGGGATGCCCATATTACGGGTACGCTTGTTGGCCAGCGTCAGGGCATCGAGGTCGCACGCATGACATTCGACGAGGCAAAACAACTACTTCTGACATTCGGAAGCGCAGAACCAAGTATAGAAGAAGCCGAGATTGATTCCTTAGTGGAGGAATTACAGTTGCTTCCATTGGCCATTATGCAAGCCAGAGTATACATGCAACGGACATCAACAACACCTAAAGAGTACCTGTCTCTGCTTGCACAACACAAGAAAAGGTGGATAATCCTAAATGTCAACGAATTCAATAGGCATAGAAGACCCAGGGTGCCTAACAACGTACTCGAAACGTGGACCATTTCTATGACCCGCATCAGGCAAGAGAGCGAGAACGCATACAACGTCCTTCATGTTATCGCCTACGTTAGCAACGAAAACATCCCACATGAGGTAATAACGACCGCACTCAAACATCTTGATAACTGCCTAAAAGATGATTCAGAGGAGTTAGAATCCGAAGCTGTCAAAATTATCACACGGCTGAAGGAGTTCTCTTTTATTGGCATACGCAAAGGGGAAGGCGATGGAAGAAACTATGAGATGCATAAACTCGTACAAGAGGCTATACGATACGGCTTGAGTATGGGGAAATCAGGTACAATCAACGAACATGAAGTCAACCGCAGCAACGTGTCTGGGAAGGAGACAGCGATGCAAACAAGTCAACACAGACAGCTCGTTGAATTAGCGGGCATGAGCAATGATGAGCATATAGCCGACGAAAAATATTTCTCGAGTATCGCTCTGCAAACCACAGCAGATCTTTTTCCAAACTCACAACAAGATACCTGGAAACAATGCGAGAAATTTTTAGCACACGTGTTACAAATCGGAGAGTGGGCAGATGTGAACGAGAAGCAGATCGAGACGGCACAGCTACTCTCCAAGGCATCTTCCTTTCTCCGGGACCGTGGAAGATGGAGAGAGAAAGGGCATGTGGATGAAAAAACACTACATTATAGAGAAAAAAAGTTAGGAAATACACATCTGGACACAATTAAAGCTATAGCAGAACTTGCCGTAACATACTATGAGCAAGGCCGCTATAGCGAGGCAGAGCGTCTTGAGATTCAAGTGCTAGATCTTCGCCGAGAGATTCTTGGAGATACACATCTGGATACAATCCAAGCTATATTAAACCTTGCAATAACATACCATAAGCAAGGCCGCTATAGCGAGGCAGAGCGTCTTGAGATTCAAGTGCTAGATCTTCGCCGAGAGATTCTTGGAGATACACATCTGGATACAATCCAAGCTATATTAAACCTTGCAATAACATATGATAAGCAAGGCCGCTATAGCGAGGCAGAGCGTCTTGAGATTCAAGTACTGGATATCCGTCGAGATATCCTTGGAGACAAGCATCCAGATACAATTGACGCTATATCAAACCTTGCATCAACCTATTATATACAAGGCAGGTATAGCGAGGCAGAGCATCTTGAGCTTCAAGTGCTAGATCTCCGTCGAGATATTTTTGGAGACAAGCATCCAGATACAATTGACGCTATATCAAACCTTGCATCAACCTATTATATACAAGGCAGGTATAGCGAGGCAGAGCATCTTGAGCTTCAAGTGCTAGATCTCCGTCGAGATATTTTTGGAGACAAGCATCCAGATACAATTGACGCTATATCAAACCTTGCATTAACCTATTATATACAAGGCAGGTATAGTGAAGCAGAGCTTCTTGATGTTCAGGTACTGGATATTCGCCGAGAAATTTTAGGCAACAAGCATCCAGATACAATCCGAGCCATGTACTACCTCGCTGGGAGTTGGTACGTGACCAACCGCCATGAGGATGCAATTGCATTGATGCAACAGGCTTTAGGTTATAGCCGCTCTACATTAGGGCCAGATCATCCCCTGATTGGGGATATTTCCAAGTCTCTTCACCAATTTGAATCATAACTAACGCACTAGGATACCGAGAATTACTGATGACTTCGGCTCTGCTTTCTCCTGTTGAGGGAAATCAGGTGAAATTATATGGAATCAGATATATTCGGGCGCACAGCACTGCGTGTCACAATCATGAATAGCCTCCATCATGCCTTTTTCGGAGCCTATCCGAGAAAAGTGAGAGGACATACTGCATGTGTCCAACAGTTTGTTTCCGGAAAATGTCGGCTTCGTACCCAGATGATGTTACTTTACTATTTAAGAAATACGTTGATGAGCTAATGAAGCAAGAATGATCTACTTCTTTCAGGAAATGAATAACACAAAGACCAATTTCATGCCTTTTTCGTCTGAAATATAGCAGTGGCCACCCACGAGTCCTGTTCAATGCCATTAAGCCAACTGCGGATTCCAATTTCCTAACCAAACCATTATTAGTCACGTAAATTTTGATGGCGCACCTCTAATTGTATCGGGTCTTTATCAAAAGTAACAACAAAACACACAGCGCCTAGCTACAGCAGCGAATAAAGAAGATTGGGGCTCAAACAGGAATACACTCTCAACACACTTAGGATACCGAATCACATTTTTTGATCGCCGGTTTCAAACTTGGTCAAATCTCCTTGCATTATTGTCCATAATACATACTCCAGCTACCTGGATTTCCTATATGCTAGGTATACGCGTATCCTGAGATACAGCCTCTCTTCCCAAGCTCCAGCACTGCCTCCAGCTCCCGCATGACTCATACAAGCAACCCCACAGCGTCAGCATCCTTCAGCTCACCCACGAGCCAATCGCTTGGTCAACATCACATATAAGGCAAGAATAAACCGATCACATTCAGTGAAGTAGCTGAATAACCCAGTTTAAGCTGAATAACTCAGTTGTCGTTCGACGCGTCCATCTCTGCCCATTGGGCAGAGCTCTGTTCTCTTTGAACATGCCACAGCTCTTCGGAGCCTTCACTTTTTGCACCTTTGTTCGAATCTCCCTCGTTTCGTCAATTTTCTGGACTTTTGTTTCTCTCAAGCACATTGTTTCATTGGTATAGTAGTACCTCGTTGCAACTCTTACTTAAATTGGGTTCCCTTTCTCTCTGTGATCACTTTACTGATTAGAAGATACAAGCATGAATTTTCTTCCATTCTCATACTTATATTATTACGGGGAGGAAAAAAATGCGCCTCTCATTTCTTTTTTATCTAACACATAAACGTGCTCGCAGCTCTTGTGTAAGATTTGTTCAAGTAACATCTAGTAATAAGATACACATTCTTTATTGACACAACATAGTCATCTAGATATATGTGATAGTATCTTTCCATTCGATTTGTATTAAGTCTTCAAGAGTGATAATCAAGTACGTGTATCGGCTATCTCGTACATCCTGTATATACCTAGGTAGGCGCAGATATCCTGAGATACTACCGTTCTCGAGCTCCAGCACTAGCTCCAACTCCCCGCGTGACTCACACAGCCAACCCCACACCGCCAGCATACCCGCTTCATCAATACATATAAGCCAAAAATAAACTGATTACACCCAGTGAAGTAGCTGTAATAACTCAACAGTTCTTTTGACTAGTGCTTCTCAGTCCCTCGGACTAAGATGGTTCTATCTACTGCTCTTCGGAGTCTTCACTTTTTGCACCTCTGTTCGAGTCTCGCTTGGTTCCCTTTTTTTGTGGGCCTATGTAGCTATCCTCGAATACAGCCAATTCGACGGTGCATCTCGTCCAAGCTCTACTTTGCATTTCGTTAATATTTTTAGTCTAATATTTGCATTTCTTTTTTATTTCTCATTTCCATTTCTTTTTGTTTTCTTTCTTCTAAACGTTCATACCGTTGTCGCAGTTCAAGAACGTACCCACGTCTTGCTACAGTAGCATGCTACGACATACCATTGCATAAAGCTCTATAGTACCCTACACAAGACCTCGCTATTGACCAATACTGCTCAATCTGTATTACAGTTATATTCAAGCCATTCTGTTCTACTTATTTCGACGACAGAATGAAGACTAAGCGTAGTTTACCCTGACACTGTTATTGCTAGGTATTTGTCTTATAATTTACTCTTCTGTTACATCTTGCAATCATTCAACTACCTAGGCATTCCCATCAGCATATATGAAATGTTACAATGGCAAAGCAGAAGGGGCGTGTGCTGCATTTTCGGCATGTTTAAGCGATTTAGGATCCTAGGCAGCATAGCTAGAAAGATTTCTTATGAAAAAGCCCATTACAGCTGCTGTTACTCGTCTTTCTCATGCTCGTACAGGGTATATCCGCCTACCTATGTGATGGAATCTTTGTCATGTAATCATTCCAAGTTCAACACCAATCTACCCAAAGATCCATCATTGCAATAGCAAATCCATAGTCCATAGAGACCTTCCCATAAACTCACTTACACCAACCGCCCAAGATCTCAACCTCTCGGTGTGACTAACTCACTCACCAAAAGCCACAGCCACCGCCCCACCAAAACCCGCCCACTCATCTTCTCTCTCCACTCCATTTACAACAAGTCCTTTATAAGTCAAAGTAAAATGTATAGACTTTCAGTGAAGTAGCCGCAAAATTCAGTCATTGGGAAAACACTGTTTGCTCTCCTTAAGGGGAGTCTTCACTTTTTGACTCGTTTTGTGGTTCTGTGTTCGAAGATCTTTTGTTGCACTTTTTTTGCGTATTATTTTTCGTTGGATATTACTTGTCTTAGTGAGCCAATTTGCTGCAATGAATCCTGTACATATAGAATGATACCAATCTGCACGGCGCGCCATGAACTTAATGAATTACTCATGATTCATATATTCCTATATTCCTTCTATTTCATCAGTGATGCCGCAGTCTGTTGAGCCCTACTCAGCGCGCGGCACACCTTCTCTTCCACCTCATCATGATACCAAGCCTTCAAAGAACAGTCTACACAAAACACAAGATCAAAACTAGTCACGACTTAAAAGGCTCCTTTCTAAAGCAATACAATGTCAATCACTTCACATCTGGCACTTCACAGTCAAACAATCAAATTGGTCTCAATGTCTTTCAATTCATTCTATCCAGTCCGCCATCGGAATACATCTATCCCTAGAATGCACATCAAGTGCCCTTCCTTTTCTGACGTAGGGCTCAAAATCAAATCCTGACCACGCCGTTCCCAAAAGTAAAACCAAAAATGACTTTGTTGGTAGTAAAAAACACACAAGTAGAAATTCTCATCTCCCGCTATTGGCAAGTGCCCTAAAACTCTCCAAAGGAACTAGAGTTTGTAGAGGGCAAAGGCAAGACGAGAATTAAAAAAGTAAAGAAATGAATGAAATATGAAACAAATCCCCGGCATATTCCATGTATATATACACGTATCAATCATAATATGTTCAAATATTTGAAGTGCTTGCGGTAGCAAACACGGTCTGAGTCACGACTACCGTCTTCTCAGGACCACATCCCAGCAACGGCAGCGATTCAGTCGACGTGGGAAAGGCGAAAGTTCCAGACAAGTTTGGCTTGCCTGGATTCACAACGACAGAGCTCGCCGACTCACTTTCATTACCAGGATTTTGTTTAGGCCCGGGGGCAGTAGCCACTACATCTTCGTCGCCCTTCTATGACGTCTCGTAAGAGATGGCAGTGCCGCAGAAAGTGTTGCGGTTGTCCTTGTCAAGGACAACCTGCTGGCCGTTGAGGTTGACCATGCTGATACTGGCCTTGGTGCTGATACCAAAGAGCTTGACGGATGAGCTCTGGATGTCAATCATGTTATCCTGGCAGTTGTTGGCGTCGACACAGTCCTGGCCGTAGTTGTTGAAGAAGCTGTACATGCCAGTGCCGTAGATGAGTGTGTTGCTGGAGTTGATCACACGGATACCCCAGGTACGAGCGCAAGTGGCAGACGTACACTTGGAAAAGTCAGGGTCAGCATACTTGGAGTTGAAGGTGAAAGGGACTCGGGCGTCAGGGTTGCCCTGCATGTAGGCGGTTTCAGTCTGGAGGATGCTGCTGTAAACATTCTGAGCGCCGTTGAAGTTGTAGTTGTAGAGCTGGTTATGTTCGGAAGCGGTGCCCCAGAGCCAGGCACCCTTGGTGCTCTCAAGCAAGAGACCACGGCCGTTGTAGATGTTGACCTGGTTGTGATCAGAGAGATCAAGCTCGTGATCAGCGACCCAGAGCCAAGCGTTCTCCATGTAGATGCTGGCGGAAGAGGTGACGTGCAGAAGCAAGAAAGCGCCAAAGCAAGCCGAGTTGGGAGAAGTTGTCTGGTTGGGAGTCTTGGTGCAAGTGTTGGACTGCAGCTGAGTGCCAGCAGAGCCACCAATACGCCAGTGAACGTCCCACAGACCGGCAGAGCCCTGAGTAGCACCAGCAACGTTCCACTCGACAATGATGGCACCGGGCTGGGGGCCGACGGTCTCGAACATGATGTCTTGAATCTCAACGTTGCCGACATCACCAGGTTGGCCAACCTGCCAGACGGGCTTGGGGTTGTTCATATCCTTGAAGTTGGAGCCACCAACCATGATGAGAGGCCAGATCTCACCAACAATCTTGATGTTGGCGGGAACCTTGATGGTATTGGTAATAAGATAGGCACCGTGGTCAAAGTAGACGACTTGGCCAGAGGTGGCGCTGTTGAAGACGGCCTGGATGGCAGCAGTATCATCAGTGGAACCGTCACCCTTGGCACCGTGGGCCTTGACAGACACAAAGTTGCTGGCGGCGACTGTCTCGTACTGAGGCTTGCTCTTGGTGAAGATCTTACCACCGGTGGTCAAGGCGGCGGGCTTGCTGACGGTGGCACGAGTGCCCTGAACAGCCTTTCCGGCAGCGGTGCCAGTGTAGGCGCGACCCTGGGACCATGAAGCAATGGTGGATCCTCCATTGAGAATGGTGGCGCCGCCGGTGCTCTTGACAGCAATAGGGGTGTTTGTAGTCAGGTCTACGTTATCCAGGACGAGGGAACCAGCGGTGCCGTTCTGGCCCGTGCTGTATCCGGTAAG